CTACTACAAGTTCATGAATGGCCGGTTGACCTAAAAAAAAAATTAATATTTCAATGTTTTTATTCATGTTGATAGTATGCTTACCATGTATTCCTTGTGGGTTATTTGTCAAAAAAGAACAAACATGTTGTATTAAAGTCCAAGACACACCCATATTACCGTGTATAAGTTCATCTTTTTGTTGTTTTGATAGTTCGGCAATATATTTTGCTTCTTTTTTTTCAGTGGTATAAAAGTCAGGATGATCCACAACCAAAGAAATGGTTTTTTGAATCTTTTGAGTGAGAATCAATTCCATCTAAAACTAAAGTAAGGAAAAAAGAAGGTAGGAAAAATTCCCAAACGAAAGAAAAAAATTATTTATTTCGCCTCACAATTTTTTAAAATTCAACTCTTTTTCTTTTTTTCACTTTTTTCCTTCCTACAATTTTTTTTTTTTTTTTTTTTGAGATCATTAACCGAGTTTCATGAGTCAAGAACTATATACTGGTAAGTTTATCAATTCTTCATTCAACTCTTTTTGATTCTATATCTTTTTGTAGACACCGATCCTGATTATCGAAATACGCCCATCTACTCTGGCATTCCACCACCTTCTATACGCGATATACAATGGTCAACCCGTCAATATGACTATCCAAACCAGCAACATCAAGGTGATCTATCAAGATACAATCCTCAACGACAATTGGATATATCAACAAGGACTGACTCACCTCGTTATCAGTATTCACAGCAACAACAAGGTACTTTGTCAAAAGAACATGAATCAATATACCAACATCCTGCTTCTTCTCAGTTGCAACCAGCTATAGTTGAAGCTCCAGCACAGCCTCCTCTTCCTATTGCACAACCATTACCAAAGTTGGATATGCGAACGAGTACGGATTTTATTGAATGTGGCAATGAACAAGGATCTATTCAACTCAATCTTCAAGATCTCTGTTTATGTATTCAAGTAGCACCAGCAAAGGTAAAAAAAAAAAAAAAGAAAAGAAAAAAAAGAAAAGAAAAGGAAAAGAAACATGGAAGAATAGAAAAACAAAACACAATCTTTGACCAAAACTAACTGTTTTTTTTTTTTTTTTGTTTAAAAAATAATAATAATAATAATACACTAGATAGATTACGACTTTTTATGTTCGAAGGATCTTGTCAAAACAGCTTTAGAATTAAAGGTAATGACGACATAATAAATTTTGTCATCAAGGTGTTTGACTTTATTATTATTAATAGGACAAAGGAAGGCAGGTACCTGATCATGTACGACAATCAGCCAAAAAAAGAAGCAACCCATTTGATTGTATTGGTAAACATATATTCATGAATCGAGACGCGACTAAACTTGCGGCATTGGATGCAACATTCCATTTGACACCATCGAATGAATCTACTGGCAAGGTAAACTTAAAAAAAAAAAAAGAGGACGACGATGGATTATAATTTATTTCTATTTTAGACTTTTATGTTTGCAGATTTGTGTGGTGGACCTGGTGGATTTTCAGAATATCTATTTTGGCGTGTTCATCAATCGGATGGAGGATCGGCTCGAGGGTATGGAATGACACTACGATCAAGTTTGACAGAAAATCATTGGCATTTGGAAAACATTTCTCCTAATATCACTGTGAATTTTACTCAAGTAGATGGGATCGACGGTACTGGTAATTTGTATCAAAAAGCAAATATTCTCGAATTTGATGCTGTTGTATCTAATAATACAAAGAAGCGTGGTGTTGACCTTGTAGTAGCTGATGGAGTAAAGAAGTGATGGATAGAAAAAAGAAACAAAAAAACTCACACTTTATTATTTTTTTATTATTATTATTTTGTTATTTTAGGAAGAAAACAATGATGGAAAAGATGGAAAACTGGAAAGTCTGAACAAACAATTGATTCTTTGTCAAGTGATTACGATGTTGACTTGTCTCAAACAAGGTGGTACTTTTGTATGTAAAATGTTTGACATGTTTGAAGAATTTACAGCGGATGTGGTATGGCTTCTTTATCAATTATTCGAGGGTGTATGTATTACGAAACCTTTGACAAGTGAACCTTCTAGTTCAGAACGCTTTTTGATTTGCAAGAAATTACGATATCAACATCCAACAAAATTGATTGATGCTCTTTTGGCTGTAAATGATGAATTGAACAACAAGGAAGGACAAGTAGATAGTTTTGTGCCTCGCCAGATACTAGAAAAGGACCAAGTCTTTATTGATTATGTCAAAATGCGAAATATGAAGTAAGTGATTATAATTTATATATATCAGTGTTTACCAAGTTACTTATTTTTTTTTCATTTTGGTGATCCTAATAGATTCCTATTGAAACAAATTGATGCCTTGGAACAAATGGAAACCTTTATTGCAGATCAGTAAGTATTAAAGGGAAAAAAAAGGATCATCACGATCTCATTGTTATTTATTTATTATTCAGGAACAAGACAAATGTGTATTCCCCGGATAGGGTGAAAAGACAAAGTTTACAAGAATGGCGGCTACCATTAGATGGAGAATAGTTTATTATTTATTTGTGTTTTTTTTTTTATTTATTTATTTTTTTTTTTGGAATATGAATAAATAGGATAAAGCGAAAGAATGGTTTATGAATCATGAAATTATTGTATTTGTTTATTGAATATTGATAAAAAAAAAATACGGGAAACTAATACAAATGACATGGATAGATAATATAGAGGGGGTATTTTCTACTTTCTAGTATGATCCTTCTGATAAGTATAATAAAGAGAGCCGCCTACCATTGCCAATACGGTAAATCCTTGAGCAGCAACTAGTAAAGAAATAAAAGAATGAGTTCCAACGTTTTGAATAAACTTGCAAAAATCATTTACCTCGGAGTCGAAACATATGGTTTGCATATACCTTATTTCCTGTCTTGATACCAACTGTCGCGGCAATTAAAGCAAAGCAAGTCAAAGCAACACCTTCAAAAAAAAAAAAAAAAAAAGGAATAAGTATTATTGTTTTCGCGAGAAGAAAGAAAAATATATATACTCTTTTTGCTACCTGCGGGAACAAAGGGTTCATCTTTTGATTTTCGTTTCATACGTTGCCAAGGAGATTCACCTTGTAAAGCGAAACGCATCTGTTGTATATCGCGTGAAGAAGGATTGGTAGGCATGTTGATATAAAAAAGAAGAAAAAGAAAAGGTACAAAATGAAAGCATTTGTAAGTGTGAGAATTTTTTTTTATGCGAAAAAGAAAGGGGGAAAGTTTGGATCCTTTTTTTTTCTTTTTTTTAAAATATCTAAATGAGGTTTAGCGTTCTATATTGAAATCCAACGAGTCGCTGTCTGAAAAGGAGACGATGGTTTCGTGTCCGTTAAAGAAGAGAAAATTTTTTTTTCTTTTTTTTTTTCTCTTTTTGTTTCTTTCACCTTCCATCTCAAATTATCTAAACAAAATGCCTAACCCCCAGGTAACAACAAAACATAAAAACTTTCATCTGTCATCATATTAATTTCTATTTATTTATTCTACTTTAAAAAAAGGTCTTCTTCGACGTTTCTGCTAACGGTCAACCTCTTGGTGTAAGTATAAAGATAAGACAATCTCTTTACTTTTTTAAACGCGTCATCAATTACTGAAAAGTATTTTATTTTATCTTTTAGCGTATTGAATTTGAACTTTTCGCTGATGTAGTTCCCAAGACTGCTGAAAACTTCCGTGCTCTTTGTACTGGTGAAAAAGGCTTTGGTTACAAGGACTCTATCTTCCATCGTGTCATCCCTCAATTCATGTTGCAAGGTGGTGACTTTACCAACTTTAACGGTACTGGTGTAAGTAAATGGATCATAGAAATAAGATGTGACTTGTTTTATTTACTCCCAAATTATTTTATAGGGTAAATCCATCTATGGTAACAAGTTTGCTGATGAAAACTTCGCTTTGAAACATGATCGTCCTGGTCTCTTGTCCATGGCCAATGCTGGTCCCAATACCAATGGCTCTCAATTCTTTGTCACCACTGTTATCACTTCTTGGTTGGATGGCAAGCACGTTGTCTTTGGTCAAGTCACTAAAGGGTAAGAGAAAAGAACGAGAAGGAAAATAGGGATACCCTTTTTCTCACCTTTTTTTTTTATTTGATTTTTTTTTTTGTCTTATAGTATGGATATCGTCAAGAAGATCGAAAGTCTTGGTTCTCAATCTGGCAGAACTCAAGCTGAAATCAAGATCACCAACTCTGGTCAATTGTAAACAATCATTAGTTTATGTATAAAGTTTTGAATTAGTTCATAGTTAGTATGATCAAATAAATAAAAACTATCGTATTATGTTTTGTATATTTTTCGTATCAATGATGAATATGTTGGGATGATGGGTTCCTGCTATGAATATTGTTAACTACATATAGATACTGTAAAGATAAGAATGATGATGACAATGGTCAGCCTGAATTTTACCAGTTACAATCTATACTTGTCATAATCTAGCTAACACGCCTTCGTAGGGGTGGGAAAAAAAGACATCACTGAGATGTTTTTTAGATTCATCTGACGATCCTTTTTTTTTTTTTTTTTTTGATGATTTGGTAACTATTGACTCCTACTTGATTATAACGCTCTTTCTTTTTGAATAAAACTATTCTTCCTAAAAAAATCTTTTTTTACATACTGATATATTTATCAGAGAACGATATAACATAGCAGAAATAGGCATCTAGAATAAATCACATGCAGCAAAAGATCTTTTTGACATAACAAAGGTAAGAAGCGGGGTGTCAAAAATTTCCCCACTCAAAAAAATAGAAAAACCCTTAGTCATTTTAACTTTTTCAACTTTCTTTTTCTTTTTTTTTTTTTTTTTTTTTATTTTCAAACACGATTCCCCACATTTATTTTTCTTATTATAACAGTATATCAAACTCTTCATTATTGTTATTAATATTATATGGCTCCTTTTATCAGCGCAGATCTGAAGATATACGTTGGTACTGGTCAAGATAATCAAGTGGTTCTTGTTTCCCCAGCTTTATGGACCGACTTACAAGGAGACACCAGTTACAATGATAATAGTCAAGGTAAGCAAACGATAAAAAAAAAAGTAAGCAATTCATTCCTCCATCCTTATTGTTACTTTCAAAACTATATCATCCTATAAATAGATAGCAAAACAGTGTCCATCAAAATCCCAAGTCTTGTTGCTCCTACTCCTTTTACATCCTCTCGATCTGAACCATTACTAGAATCGTTTATAGCTTATGTTAAACCTCATTCACAGGTAGGGACAGATAAATAGTTTACAAAATGTAAAAGACTATAAGAATGAATGATGAACTCATTCTTTCATTTTATTAGGATATTGGTGATGAACGAGTTGTTTATGCTAGCTCTCATTTGATTAAGGCTGTGTATGGACCCGACGCATTATCGAAATTGAATGAAGAAGAAGACATGGATGATGAAGAAGGTGATGTTATGGATTTACGCAATTTGGATTCTGTATGTTCTATACTGGTGGAACCTATATCTTTGATTGAATTGGATGAACTCATCATCGGTGCTTTGGATAGTGATTCTTTTAATCATGCTCAACAAAGTAAGTCATAGAAAAAAAAAAGATAATAATGTAAGCATTGGATAAAAATTAAATGACTTAACTTTTTTATTACTATTATTATTATTATTATTAATATCACAGAACATGAAAGTCTCATTCAGTTGATCAAAGAATCTCAGCCTGCTCTTATTCTTCGAAGTGGCGGTATATATCATTTGGATGGATTTTCTTTTCAAGTTCTTATGTCAAGTCCGGTTCAACAAGGTCATATTTTGTCTGATCGTACCAAAATCTATATTGTGGATATGCCATCTTCTCCCTCGTCCACTGGTTACTCTACACCAATGAATGACTCTATGACTCTAACAACGCCTTCTTTCCCTATACTCAGTGGGTCAATAACATCAACATCTATTGCAACACTTGAAACAGCAGAACCTCAAGAATTTACAGCACATATCCTCAAACAAAAATGGCCAGAAGCACGATTATTCCCAACTCCTCATCCTACTGAAGATGATGACAATAGAGTGTTTATTGATGTGAAGGATCTGGCAAAATGTCATGTATTCAGCGGGGATTGGGTATTAGCAAGCGCAAATGATAGCAAGAAGTCTCGGTTATGTCGTGTGTATGGTATTGATGGCAACAACGTTGATGATGATAATGATCAGAACGGCGTATCAGCAATCTACCTTCCTCCTGTACTTTATTACAATCTTGGATTACCTCTACCACCTGCTATTGACACATCATCAACAACAACAACAACAATATCAAGTGACAGCAAACTTACTGTATGTCTCACCAGACTCACCAAACCTCCTCCAAAAGATGGTCCCCCTCTTGCTACAGCAGTTAGTGTGGCTCGTATTGCTTCCCCTTCGTTGATGGACAAGTCATTACAATCGGCCTTTTTGCAATCTCTCAAGCAATGGTTTGAAAGTAAAGAACGGATTGTATGCAAAGGTGATGTGATTGCTATTACATTGGATGAAGAACAAGTACGACTCAAACCTCACAACAATGATAATGAAGATGAAGATGACGATCTCAAGTTACACACCAATATTCAACGAAAACCGACAACAATGGGATATTTCAAGGTGACAAACCTTACAAGCGAACAAGAAGTATCTGATGATGACCATTCGATTCATCCAGCCTTCTATGGAAGTGGACGACGTATTGATCCTAGTCAAACACAATTGGTACAAACGGGTGTTGAACAATCAAGAGTTCCTATTGGCTGTATTTCTCATTACTACGATTTGGCGGAAAAATTACCCTTATATCGATCTACAACAGCAGCTCGTGCATCTTTGATGGAATTAATCACCTCTTCCTTACATCCCTTGGGTCGTGATTTTGAAGTATCATGTAATGCTCTACTACAAGGTCCTAAAGGTGGGGGTAAATCGACTCTGGTTCGTGAGGTGGTGGAAGATCTTGGTGTACATGTGTATGAATTCTCGGTATATGATATTATATCAGATACGGATGCGAAGACGGAACTTCATCTTCGGGCAAAATTTGAGAAAGCATCCTCCTTGGCTCCTTGTGTTATCTTGATCCGTGGTATTGAAGGTTTAGCTAAGAAAAGTGCTGTGGTGGAAACCGGTCAAGGTAATGATTGGAAATAAAAAAAAAAAAAGGTAGATAGATTTTTGATTCGAATATATACATATTATTTATTTATGTATTTAGAACCTCTTTTGGCGACAGTATTGCAAGAATGTATCAAAAATGTCAATCAATCAACTAGTGGATTTCCGGTCATGGTAATTGCTACTACAAGTGATGTTGATCAACTTCCATCAAGTATTCTTGGCTGTTTTCGACATGAAGTAGTAATCGAAGCTCCTGATGAAAAGACTCGTTTACAAATCTTGAAAAACTTAACTCATGCTTGTCCTTTGGCTCCTGATGTTTCCATGTCAAATTTGGCTACTCAAACAGCTGCCTTGGTGGCTAAAGATTTAGCGGATCTTGTAGCAAGAACAGGGGTATTAGCTCTTCAGCGTATTTATCGTGCAACGTAAGTGACAAGGAAAAAAAAAAAAAAAAAAAAAGAAGTGAAAGGATGATAATGGAAGAGATGTTTTTATTTATTTATTTACTTATTTATCTTTATTATATGTATAGATCGCAAGATGAAGATGACATTGAGTCTGGCAAACAATCTCTAGTGACAGTGAATGATATCCGAGCTGCTGGTATTACATTGACAGCTGCTGATTTTGATGCTGCTTTAAGTGAAGCTCGTGCAAGTTATTCTGACTCCATTGGCGCACCAAAGGTATCAACAAAAAGACGATATGATAGTTAAAATATAACGGAAAAGATGATGAATTGACCTACTTTTTTTTTTTTGTTTAGATTCCAAATGTGACATGGGATGATGTGGGTGGTCTAGCTAATGTAAAGGATGATATTCTAGATACAATTCAACTTCCTTTGGAACATCCTGAATTATTTGGCTCTGGTTTGAAAAAACGAAGTGGTATTCTTTTATATGGACCTCCTGGTACTGGCAAGACATTACTGGCCAAAGCAATTGCTACTTCTTGCTCTCTGAACTTTTTCTCTGTCAAGGGACCTGAATTATTGAATATGTATATTGGTGAATCAGAAGCAAACGTACGACGAGTCTTCCAAAGGGCTAGAGATGCCAAACCTTGTGTTATTTTCTTTGACGAATTGGATTCGGTGGCACCAAAACGTGGCGAAAAAGGTGATTCTGGTGGTGTGATGGATCGTATTGTTAGTCAACTGCTTGCCGAATTGGATGGTATGAGTGAAGGTGATGGTGAAGGTGGTGCTGGTGATGTCTTTGTGATTGGTGCAACAAATCGACCTGACCTATTGGATCCTGCTCTATTACGTCCTGGAAGGTAAAAATAAAAAAATAAAAAAAAATAGGATGATGATCTAATTATTTATTTATTTTTAATCATATAGATTTGACAAACTTCTTTATCTTGGTGTTAGTCAAGATCATGAATCTCAATTACGTATTATCGAAGCCTTGACACGAAAATTCCGACTTCATCCTGAATTAGACTTGGCGCGGGTCGCTGAAAAATGTCCTTTCCATTATACTGGTGCTGATTTCTATGCTTTATGTACGGATGCAATGCTCAAGGCAATGACTCGGGTGGCACAAACTATTGAAGAACGTGTCAAAACAATCAACAAAGAACGTGAACAACCTATTTCTTCTCAATACTTTTTATCTCATATGGCAACCCCTGATGATATCATGGTGCAAGTAGAAGAGGTGGATTTTGTTCGTGCTCTAGAAGAATTAGTGCCTAGTGTGTCAGCAACTGAATTGGCTCATTATTCCAAAGTGCGTGAAAAGTTTGAAAAGGTACAAGATGAAGAAGAAGAAAAACAAAAAGTCGAAGAAAGAGAATTATTGGAACAAATCAATCAACAAAAAATCCAACCACCAAAGGAACAACCAAGTAAAAAATCAAAAGGAAAAGGCAAGGCTCGAGCATAGATACAACACAAAATTGGAAATAGATTAGAATCAATGGTATAAGTTTTAATATATACACATATAATAAACTTGTATTTATAAAAGTTTTGGTTGAAACATAAATGTTTTTTTTTTCTTTTTTTTTTTTTTTATTTGTTTTATATCTATCTTCTTTACCTAATGGGCCAAAATCATGCAATCTTTGTTATTGGTGTTCGTTTCATATTTTACTATCCGCTCTCACTCACCTTTTTGATGAATTTTTGTTTGTCCTTTTTTATCACAGTGCACTTTTTTTTTTTTTTTTTTTGTTCAAATATTGGATAGACACGTTTACTTCTCATTAATACGCAACTTATTCGTCATATCACTTTACGAAAATGAACACTGCCGAATATTCTTCTTCTAGCATACGCCTCAATACAAAGGTAAAAAAAAAAAAAAAAAAAAAAAAAAAAAAAAAAAAAAGATATGATGGCTAGATAGATTCCAATGTTATCTGACCGATGTCTTTGTATAATAATTATATTAGCAACAAGGTCGCTCTTCCATGTTGGACTTGCAGGACCTGAAAACAAGGGCATATCAAGAACTCCAAGCATCCATACAGTCTTATAATGATGCTTTTGTGTTGTCAATGCAATTGCAAGAAAGTCGACAGGAAACCATCCATGATAGTACTGAGAATACCCTCTATTCCAACCCACGCAAAGATACTTGCTTGATCCATCAACTGACTGCCATGCTGGAAAACACTACCATCCAGGATTATTCACCGTTATTAACTTGGGAAGACAATCAGGTAAATCATATAGAATATTATTATTTTTTTTCGTATCTATACAATGCATTGATTTATTTTTCGGGGGTCATTTCCTCTTCATTATTAGAATATATACGAATCAAGAAGTAGTTAGTGGAAATCGATGGATGTGATTTACTCTAGATAGGATGGTCGTTTTTATTTATTATCATTAAGCATTCATTGAATTGTCATTATTTATATACTTCACTTTATTTTATCTTTTTAGAATCCTTTTTTTATTATTACTATTATTGTTGAACAGTTGAATAGAACAATAAAGATCAGATGTATAAAAACAGAGAGACGGGTAGTAACTAGTTTATTGATATTGAAGAAGATAGGAAAGGAACGAATAACGATGAAAATGATAGTGAATGATAGAAGTAAATAAAAAAAATATATAAAAAAAAAAGAATGGAATATATATGATACAGGAAAGAGAGGATCAAGGGAGATAAAAAAAAAAAAATGACTAAATACATTATATAGTTGATGCCAAGGGAACTAATAGGATGATTCGAATTGGATATTGAGAGGGAATCATGAGTTTGGATGATGATGATGAAGTTGTTGAAGAGGATCATTGGATGCAAGATCAGTTGTTCCAGAATGATCGTTTTCTTTGATGTGTTGATGTCCATTATTGTTGCTGCCGACCTCCTTTTGTCGATAATCGTTTTGAATACCATCATCATGGCCCATCCCATCAGTAGTAATGACGTTTTCATTATCATCCAAACGAGAATGCATTGTGTCGTCCATAAACTCTTTTTCTATTTCATCGTCTCCAGAACCAGTAGGTGGCGGTGAATCAAGAAGGCTATGCACATGATCCAGTTGTTCTTGTGAAGACGAAATAGTTGCTAATTCCGCAGCACGCTTAGATTGTAATTCTTGTAAAGCTTTTGATGAGATTCCCATCGGTTCGTCTATATCCACATCGTCCAACGTGATGAGAGTGTCGTCAAGTCGGAGAAACACATCACTACCGCTTTTCACTATCACGGGTGGCGTTTCGTAATGCTTTCGATAGTCATCCAAATGTTCCAAGCTGATATCCGAGCCACCTGTCACAAGTACAACTACATCACTTGAAGGTGATAATGATGGTAAAATATCCCGAATGATTTCTGTAAAACATAGTGATAACGCTGCTCCCGATGATGCTTCTACTAACATTTTGTTGTCATCTTTTTTTTTTTATAAAAAAAAAAAAACAAGTGAGTATTCCTATAATATATTTAACAATCCACTTACCAGCAAAAAGTCTCACAGCATTGGCTGCCATAGCATCACTGACAGCAAAAGGGACCACAGGATGAATCAAACTTAATTCCAAGGTTTTGGCACAAACAGATTTGGCTTCCAGACTTGATGCTAAAGTTGAGGTTTTAGGAAGTTGTACAAGACGACCAGCTACTACTGCTGCTTGAAAAGCATTACTACCATGGGTTTCCACCGCAATCACAGGTACTTGTTTCCATCCAACTTCTTGTAATCCAAGGATGATTCCATTTAATAATCCACCACCACCAACAGGACAAATGATAGCCGCTGGAGGATTATCCATCAATTGTGTTTTCAATTCATGAATTATACTTGAATGACCTTGCCATATATGTTCATGATCTGATGATGGGACATAAATACTAACAATAAATAATAAAAAAAAAAAAAAAAAAGGTTTTAGTTCTACTTTTTTTTTAATTACACAAGCTCACTTACCCATTCCTCTTCACCAACTTTCTTGCATGGATTTCAGCCGCAGTCCAATCTGAACCGTATTTGATCAATTGTGCACCATCCAACCGAATTGCATCACATAGTCGTTCATTTGTATTGACTGGTACTACAATTGTCGCTTCCACTCGTAGTTGTCTTGCACAATATGCCACAGCCAAAGCAGTGTTGATACCAGATCCACAGACAAATCGAATATCTGACCCACGAGTTTGAATTTTTCGATAACAAAAGTTGCCTATACCTCTATCATAAATAATAATAATAAAAAATTTTGTCAATATATATCTATATATATATAGTCTGGTCATTAATAAATAAATAGAGATATTGTTCTTACCTTATTTTTACAGACCCTGAGGGTTGAATACTTTCCATCTTTAAAAAGATATTACTATCCAACAGAAAAGAATATGTATTAGAAAAAAAAAAAAAGAAAAACGCTGTGCCAGTAGACAATTTTTTTTTTTTACCTGTTCAACCTAATACTTAGATTAGCAGAATGTATCAAAGGAGTCCCCACATGAAGTAAATTAGATTCATCTAGTAGATGTTCATCTTCAGAAGAGGAATCGTCATCCATCAACATGATAAATAAGAAAAAAGATAGCAAGAAGAAAAGAAGAGAAAGGGGGAGAACACGAAAATTATTTTTTTTATGGACGCGCCTCGTGCGTTGACTCCGAATACACTAAAAGCCACTTTTTTTACACCAAAAAAAAAAAAAAAAAAAAAAGAAATGATGATATTTTTACTTTTTATTATCAAGATGATCATAATAAATATACATATATCTAATCCCTAAGTTTGCTTCAATTCATCCAAACGGTCCTTGAGAAGATCATAGGTAGGAGTATCATCAAAAATATCACGTACCTTGCCCATTAATCCTTTGAGAATCAACCTTGATTGATAATTCCAGTCATCACATTCACCACGATTACCCACATTTTCATACATGTCGACTAATTCCAATGCCCAGCGAGCCACATCTTCAAATATCTTAACATCACTTTCTAATCGAGGATCATGCATCACTGCGCGGTAAGCCTTGATAGTAGCATCCAAAGCATCTTTCCAGTTTTCTTGCCATACATAGAATCGAGCTGCAATCCGCCAAATGTCAGGTGAGTTGGTGATCCGACTGAGAATGACATTTTCCAGTAATCGTTGTACATGTCTTGCTAACCGTCGTCCTTCTTGATTGTGCACATCAGGCCAATTTTGTACCACACTAGCCACGATCATATGGAGTACTTGTATATCCACTGCTTCTTCACGTACCTTGTCCCATCGCAAATCCACCACACGTTGCATCGCCCAAATTGCATCCGCAAATTGTCCAATGTCCACTGATACCACGAGAAGATTTTGCCACATCTGCCAATTGTCAAACTTGAGTTTACATGCTTGCTTGAGAGCCAAAAATGCATCCAATTTTCGATCGGTACGTACATAGATACTTGATAGATTGTTCCATGCCTCGGCTTGTTCATTGTCCAGATTCACAACACGTTGGAATGCCTTGATACCAATATCCCATTGTTCGACCATCATCGCTGCACATCCCATCACATACCAGGATCCTTCAAATAATGGATTGATGGCCAAAGCTTGTTGATAATATTCAATCGCCTTTTCATATTCATTCTTCTTGTAATGATAAGAACCAAGACTACGCATTGCACGAGCAAACTTGCCACCACTAAGATGCCACGCCTTGTGCCATAATTCAGGATCCATAAGCACATCCCCCATGATACACCATAGTTTAGGCGAGTTTGGATCAGCTTCCAAAAGTCGTTCCAGTACTTCCTTGGCCTTTTGAGGTTGTTCCAACATTTGATAACAAGATACCACATCTTCCCACATTTCCAATCGTTCAAAGATTTCCAAAGCTGATCGGATCACACCAAGAGATACAAATCGTCTTGCTAATTCACGTTCCATTTCCCACTTGCTTGGAAGTAAAAGATCATAAAAGTAAGCCAAACGATCTTGTGCATTTGCCACATCCTCTTCAGTACTGTCCAATTTGATTTGATCCACCAATGCTTGTAATTGCAGAGCTGAGCGTTCCACTGTTCTTGATTTATGAGCTTCCAAACGAGATCGTAAGAGCAAAGACATAGTATGCACCATCCAATTGTTGCAGTTTTCCAGTACACGCGTCACATAAGGTACCATTTCTTCATAAGTCATGCCATGATCAGGATTGGTGTTCTTCACATTAAGACAAAAGGCTAAAAGTAAAGCTTGATCAATCACAAGAAGATTACCATGACGTTTGGTTGCATCACGATCATTGTCCTCTGTTTTTGTGAATGAAATCTTGTCCAATAGAGTATCATCATTCAAATCCAACGTTTCAGGTTTAGCCATCGTATCTTCTTCTTTTTCTTGTTGTTGTTGTTGTTGTTGTTCACTTTCTGCCAAGACCACTAATTGAGATACATCGAATGTTTGAAACTTGGTTCGTTTGCCCAAAGCACCTGTCAATGACCATTGGAATCCAGAAGTAACCTGAGCTTGTTTCATTTGATCAAATGCATCCTTATCTTGTCCAAAATAACTATATACCAATGCTGTTTCTAATTCATACCGTACACGTAATTGCTTGTCATCCAACAAAAGCTTATTTTTTCCAATCATATTGGTCAAGTCGGTCAATAAGTCCTGTAATGTCCCAGTACATTCATCCAAAAGTTGTTGTTGAATAAACACAGCACGTCGAGCCCAAAGTACATTAGTCAATAATACATCTTGGTTCTTGAGAGATAATAAAATTGTCTTTGCCACTACGAGATAACCCAATTGGTCGGATAAATGATATACTTGTTCTCCATCTGCCGAAAGACTATTTAGACATTGTGCATGAAGTTTACTGTGATCGTCTAACCCAACAAGTTCTGATATCGTCAAGTCCACCAGTGGCCCCGTCCAATTCTGTTGTATAAATATATTCAAACACGCTATTGCTGTCAAAAAAAGACTATGTAATCGTTCCAATTCTTCTTCTTCTTGTTTAATAGTTGATGGCGATAAAAGAGTTTCAATACATTGTTGTACCCATTCTTCCAAAGATATATCCAGTGAGTATTTTGTATTGGTGTTGAATAATAGACTTTTTTTAACAAGAGCTGCATATTGACCAGATAACATATCTTCATACAAGGATCGTATATTTGGTAATAGCTGATCAGCTACCTTTGAATCTAATGGTTGATTCAAAAGTAATGAACGTTCTGCTTCGTGATAATAATTATTCATTAGAAGAAGAAAAAATAAGTGTAATGAAGAAGAAGAAGAAAAAAAAAAAAAAAAGGAAATGCCCCTTTTGAAAAAAAAAAAATTGACATTGAAAAAATGCAGCCCAAAAAGCCACCTCCGCATAGTTCGAGAAGTTTCCCCCTTCTAGTTTACTAACTATAATACACAATATCTGACTAAGCAAAAGACATATTATAAAAAAAAAAATATGAATGGATGATTTATGATAAAAGTTTATTGAATGATTGAAACAAATAAAATAAAAATAATATATAAAAAAAATAAAAAAAAATGAAAAAGAAGGGTTTCTATCTAAAATAGTAAATGATGATAATAAAATAATAATCTAATAAGGAGTATGATGAACCAAAGGTACATATTCAGGTTGGAACATGGAATTCTTGACCACTTCACTGAGCATTTCACCTTCCTTAAGTTTAGCAGTTGCTACACCTTCTTCATATGCTACTTCACATACCCGAGTACCCACAGCTAAAGCAACATCACGAAGGTTAGCCACACCAGGGAATAAAGTACCTTGTTTCAATTGAGCAGGAGTAGCCATATCAGCAATCACACGAGCAGTTTCCAAAAACATAGTAGGTGTTACTTGATTAGCTCTTGATACTGTGATACCCAATCCAAGACCCTAACAATAAAAAAAAAAATATAAATACTTTGCATTATTATTATTATTATTTCATATATACTTACAGGGAAACTATAAGAGTTGTTGCATTGATTAGTACGACCAACACGACCATTGGGTAAAGTGACATCAGCAAAAGGACTTCCAGAAGCAAAGATAGCACGACCATCCGTCCAAGTGAAGGCTTCTTCGGCAGTACATTCTGCATGAGTATCAGGATTACTGAGAGGGAACACAATAGGTTTTTCTTCATACTTTGCCATGGTACGGATCGCCTTTTCAGAAAATACACCACGAATACCAGTTAATCCTAAAATAGTAGTTGGTTTGACACGTTCCACCACTTCTTCCAAAGTTAAACGATCAGGTAAATCAGCCTTAACATAACATTGTTGACGTTCATCTAGTTGTGACCGTTCACCCTTGCTTACTGAACCTCCTTCAGAAGAGAGAGCAGGATTTCCTAATAAACCATGTTGATCCATCATCCAAATACGACTATAAGCTTCATCTCGACTGCGTACGCGACCTTGAGCTACCATACAATCAATGATTCCTTCACATACACCCACACCAGCAGATCCAGCACCAACACAAATGATACGTTCTTGATGTAAATCTTCTTGTTTACGACCACGAGCTTTTAATCCAGCGAGGATACCAGCCAAAGTAATAGATGAAGTTGATTGAATATCATCATTGAAGCATGTCACCTTGTTGCGATCTAATAGACGATATAAAACCGTTTAATTAACAAATTCAGTGATTTATATATGTAACTTACATTTGTTCAATAGATTATAAGCATGGGGATATTTGAAATCTTCAAATTGAATCAAAGCATCTAAATAGAAAAAAAATGTAATGATCATTAGTTTAATATATAATTAATAGACGATCTTTTTTTTTTTTTTGATACTTACTTGGCCAGCGACTCTTGACAGCAGTAACCCATTCATCCACAAAACTATAATATTCTTCACCTTCAATACGAGGATGACCCATACCAAGATACAAAGGATCATTCAATAAACTTTCATTATTGGTACCAACATCTAAAACTACAGGCAAGACAGCTCTAGGACGAATACCACCAGCAGCAACATACTATATAGTTCATTAAAGGAAAAAAAAAAAAAAAAAAAGAGAGAAAGTCAATCATTCATGTATGAAGAAAGTATATATATATATATTTACCAAACTGAGTTTGCCAATAGGGATTTGCATGCCATTTGCTCCCAAATCACCCAAACCAAGCACTCTTGAACCATCAGTAACAACAATCACGTCAACTTCATCATGAGGCCAATTATATACCATAGCAGACATAGCACCACGATCTTGAGTAGAGAAATACATACCACGAGATCTTCGATAAATAGAATGTGACCGTAAGCATGCCAAACCAACTTTAAAAAAAAAAAAGGTACAACAATGGACGGGGTTATAAAAAAAAATAACAGACATGGTATTAAAAAAAAAAAAAAATTTAAGAGTTAGAAACAAAGAATCGGGAAATCACAGAATATTTTGGGAATATATACAAAAAAAAAAAGTATTTTGTTATAATTCTACTTACCAGTGGGAGTATAAATGATTCCAGCCAATTCTTCTAAATGATTAATCAAAAGTTTATAAAACAATGTTTCATTACGATCTTGAAGAGCAGATAAAAAAACAAACTTGGCCAAAGGAGTACGGCAATCATCCAAATTTCGTTTCACACGTAATAATTGTTTATCCATTTCTTGACATCGAGGAGGAACAAGACCACGGATAGAAAGTCGTTCACGTTCAGCAATACTAAACGCAGTACCTAATAGTATATATAAAGTTAAAATAAGAATGAACAGTAATACTCCCTTTTCTTCTCTAATTGTATTCTCACTAATCTTTTCGTTTTTTTTATTTATTTATTTACCTTTACTTAACAAAGGATCATGAAGTAAAGAAACACCTTTGGAACCAGTGACTTGAACAGTTTTATCTAAACGAGGATCAGAATAAGTAGAAGGAGGAACACCATAATGACGAACACCTATAGATCTTACACAAGAGGTCAATGGTTTATTAAAAGTACGTCTACACAAAAGCATGGTAATGAATAAATAAATAAATAGAGAAAAAGAAAAGGAAAGAGAGGGGTGGAAGAAGAGGAAAATGAAAGTTGTGGTAAGAAAGAAAAAAAAAAAAAAAGAAAAGAAACAACGAAAGGGAAGGAGTAAGATATAAATATATATATCATATTGTCTGAATCGACTCATTGCTATTTTTTTTTTTTCTGTCCAATAGAGTAAAATATATAACAACGTTCATTCGCCGCCCGAAATGATCGACGGAAGGGAAACTGACCTCCTGAACCTTTTTTTTTTTTTTTTTCATTTGGGAAGGAAGGATGGTCAGTGAGTCTTGTCAATCAATTTATTTATTTATTTTTAATGAAGAAAATGATATAAAATATTTCCAAGTTGACTTTATTATAACAAAAATCATGAGTTATATTTCATCCTTTTTTTTTTTTTTACTAGTCCGATTTTTTCATATTATTCCTTCTAACACATCATAATTATTGAACATGAGGTTTTTCAGTGACCGATAATACCAAATATGTCAAAAGAGCGAATGTCATGACAACGGATCCATTTGATAATCATCATCATTTATATCAATATAAATATCCAATCTTAGAAACCAGCTTCTTAAGAGTTACAGTATATTTAATTATATTATACAAAATACATCCATCCTTATAATCATCATCATGATTTGTACTGAAAAAAAAAGGTCCCTGTCATCCATATATCATTTTCCTTGGCAGTTCTCAACAAAATTAAGGGGGTCAGTCAAGGAGTTGAGGAAAAAAAAAATGCTTCAATTGTTTATTACATTTGGTTTGTATCTGTAAAAATAAAAAGAAAGAGTGTGTAAAAAAAAAAAAAAAAAAAAAAGATCATAGGATAAATAAAAAAGTATACACAAAAAAAAAAAAAAAAAAAGGAAAGAACAGAAGTATAAATACTAAAGAGTGGCCATGTAAAAAAAAAAGTGTAAAAGAAGGAAATCATACAACTACATAAAATAATAAAAAGAAAAAAAAAAAGAGGGAGGGAAAGAGTACTATGTATAAAATGGAAATAAAATATGTATATAAGGGAAAAAAAAAAAAGAGAGAGAGACAGTGTGTACGTGTGTTTTTTTGTCATAAAAGGGGAAATCTACCTAATTTGATAAAGTAGGGCGGTCGTTCAATGTCAAATCTTTTGTCCAGTGAATGATATCTTCATCTTCATTCTTATCTTTGAATCGTTTTCGATTTGAATATTGTTGATGAATTTGTAAAGGAGCAGGATGATAATTCTTGGAAATACGTAAAGGTTTATTTGTTGAAAGAGATGAAGTCGATGATAATGATGATGAAGATGTTGCTGATGATGATGTTGAAGAAGAAGATGATGATGATAATGATCCAATAGTATCTGTATTTGTTGTTGTTGTTTTCACACGATTTGCACCACGTCTAGCTGTTAAATCTCTCCAAACAAAACAAGAATTTCCAGCAAGTTGAGTTTTTGGTTTTCTTCCACGTTTCTTTTTGGGCATAGTCAAAGTAGCATCCATCCTTGTACTTGTAAATGTATTGAGATTTTGATGAATATTGTTTCTACTATGTTGATTATTATTATTATTTTTATTTTCGTCAGGCATTAATACAAGCATAACACCATTTTTTGATGATTCATCCGATGATAAAGATTGAATAGATGAAGATGGTGAAGAAGGTTGATGATTTTCTTGTTGTTGTTGTTGTAAATGTTCTGGTAATTGAGTTCGTTTGACATCCCATACAGTTGGTGTGACAAAAGTCCAATGATCACGTTGAATTTGACGAGTAGTATTTGGAGGTCGACCACGTTTTCGTTTTACCACAGGATCACCAGAAGTAGAAGAAGTAGAAGAAGTAGAAGTAGAAGGATAAGGTTGTTGTTGTGGTGATAAAGAAATATCATCTTCTTGTTGAAATAAAGTACTTGGATCAGATAATCTTCTTTCAGGATTATGAATAGGAGAGGAAGGAGCAGTGACAGCTAAAGAAGTAGCAATAGAAGACCAAGAAGAAGTAGATGCATTAGAATGAGAACGAGATCGACATGTTGTATCGGGAGGAGGTAATAAAAAAGGGTGAGGTGAAGAACTAGGTGAAGATTGAGGTGTATCCAAAGATTGATAAGATATATAAGGAGAGACATTTGGAGAAGAAACATTAGAAGGTGGGTCATAAGGTATTGATAACATTAGAGAAGGATATTGTTTATCAGGTAAACGTAACGAAGGTAAGTCATGTTGTTCTTCTGATAATAAAGAACTGACAGGTGGTAATATACATTGTTGTCGTTTTGGTGATGGAGGATGTAATAAGAATTCAATAGGTGGTTTGGTCATCATATAATAATATATAATATATATACATATACATATATATATATATATAAAAATAATAAAAAATAAAAAATAAAAAAAAAAAGGAAAAAAAAGGAAAAAAAAAAAAAAAAGAAAAAAAGGAAAGAATATCAATAGGTTTTTATATATAATTTAGTGAATACACATTTTCTCTAAATATGGGAAATAAAATGTCTACAGAATTATTAGAACTTTCCACAGAAAGAACTTCCAAAGGTAGGATCATTTCAGTCACACACACACATACACACATATTACATATACAATAAATATATTCATACTCAGTCTCACCTAAAAAAAAAAAAAAATTTGTGCTTTTACACTTTTTTTTTCTTTATTTTATTTTTTTTACAGGATTGTTTTTTAGAAAAGCATGAATCTTTCTACTCCTTCCTTTTATGCTATCCTACACACACCTCCTCTTATTGATACATCAGAGTAAAGATTGATTATTATTATTATTATTATTTTAATTTATCATATGAACTTGTTTTTTTTTTATTTTTATTTTTTTTTTGTAGTATTCGATTACTTTTATTTATAAACTCTACTTTTAATCCAATCAATGAAAACATTGGCGGAACTTATATAGTAAGTTAAGTTAGTTCCTTTTTTTTTTTTTTGAAACTTGATTCTTTTTTTTTTTTTTTTTTTTTTTTAGAAACAAACTCAAGAATTAAAGAATTACTTGGAACAAGAACATCATGTCAATGAACATTCTTTACAGATCTTATTCAAGACTTTAATTGAACAAGAAACAAAATATTATCATGAAAAGAGTAAGTAAATTTATTTATTTTTATTTATTTATTATTATTATTATCATTTAAATTTGTTTTATATAGATTTTGGTTTTAGAAATGTAATTCTTTATTATCTTATGAATCATATTACTACTAGTCATTGGGCATTATTATTTCTTCAAAAAGAATGTATGGATTTTATTCAATATGATGATAAAATAAAACTATTAAGTTTATGTATAAAGGTAAAAAACAAAAAAAAAAAATACTAAAAAGATAAAAAAAAAAAACACTGATTCAAATATTATTATTATTATTTTTTTTCACTTTTTCTTGAATTTCTATATTATTATTATATAGCTTAGATCAACTATTGGTTATGATGACCTTGAAAAAACCCAAGTTTTGTACAACATTCAAAAGGATCTACATCTACCATCATGTGTCTGGAACAAAGAAATTCTAGTCAATTGTCAAGATAAACAAACGTAAAATAAACAATAAATAATAAAACACGGGACATCATCTTTAATCTTCTTTTTTTTTTTTGTTTTATATTTAGACTTCTTTTTGATATTGATTTATTATTTAATCATTTAATTGACAATCTTTCTTTTCAATTAAATCAATGGATAAAGGTAAAAATATAATATATAGAATATATATATATATCATCTTTTATTTATTTATTTATATATTATTAGTTATTGCCTGACAACAAATATATGCCATCTTCAATACAAACAAGGTAATTTCATGTTTCCATTGACACTTTCCATTTTATTTTTTTTATTCATTAAAACCAATTGAATTTTATTATATTTATTATTTTTTAGGTTAAAACTCCATACAGCCACTTATCCAATTGAAATGTACCAGTTTAATCAATCACTGACATCCAAGGGTTATTGTTTACCTGTAATAATAATATTATGAATTTTTACTATTATATATATTTATTTATAATCCATTTCTTTTTTTTTTTATAGTATGTATCACAAGATTTGAAGTTTCTATTCACTTTACTCAATTCATCACCATTAGTTTTGGAATTGGAATCTCAAGTAGAACAAATGACTACCTCTATTTTAATACATCCTTCTTGTCAGGTAAATTTCAATTATATAAAATAAAAATATTTAATTATCTGATTATATATATTTTGTGATATATATATATAGTCTATCTCTTTGGATGATACATTATTGAAGAACATTCAATCTACTTTAAATGAATATGATAAAGATTATCAACTATTAAACGAATGTGCTTTGATGTTGAAAGATACCCCTACAAGGTAAAAAAAAAAAAAAAAAAAAAAAGGTAGGATGAACTTTTTTTTTAATTATTATTATTATTATTATTTAGATATATGCCTCATCTTACTTTGACCATGATTATGATGATGATGATGCAGAACATAAAGGAGAATGATGACAAGGTAAATAAATAAATAAAAAAAAAAGCAGCTTATTTTGGATATATTTGATGTAATCTTTTTTATTATTATTATTATGCCTTGAAATTTTTCTTTTTAGATACTTACTTATTGGGTACAAGCTATTTCTCAAAAGATGAATGATATCATATATCAAAATAGTTTGGATCATCCAAATGTCATGAATTTGATTCGTCTGGTAGTCTATTTTTTAGTGTTTTGTCAATTCAAATCATTTTCTTCTTCATCATGGATCAAGAATGAATTACAACGTATTTGGAATCACTTTGATTTACAACGAACTCTTTATCTACAATCAACTTTGGAACAAGGACAAAATCAATTGAATGATCCCATTTCTACTTTAATACAAACCCTATTATGTCTTTGTTATGATTAGTCCATCTTTTTTTTTTTTGTCAATAAAGAAAAATACCATATTGATACATCATTTTGTCTTACCATATATAATCAAATATGCTCCCTTCGCCTCAAAAAAAAAAAAAAAAAAAAATGCCAAGAAAAAAAAAATAGAATGAAGGAATGAATCTAATCTGCATAGTGTCCCCCTTTATTTTATTTTTTTTTTCCTTCATCCAAAGAAAAACTTACCTTGTGTACTCTTGTTGCATGATTGAAAATGTAGATAAAAAGAAGGAAAAAAAAAAAGATCGACAGACAGTGTGATCAAGAAGGATCTTCCTCCTTTTTGAAAGAAAAATGGCCTGATTTCATACCTCTCCCCTCTCTTCCTCTAAATGATCACTTACTATCCCTCCTTTGTTATTTTTCTCTTTCTCTCTCTTTTTTTTTTTTTAATATATGCAAAAGAATAGATAGAAAGTTTTTAAAAAAAAAGCTCAGACATCCATATTCTACTTTCATACTAATTGTGATTACCTTTTTTTTTATTATTATTATTATGTTGATACATGAGATAAATAAAAAGTTCATCTTTGAAAAAGAAGCTTAAAAGTATTTATTATATAAAAAATAAAAAAAAATAGAAAGGATCAAATAAATAAATAAATAAATAAATAATATCTATATTATATCTATTCTACAGTGGTGGTAGGGGAAGAAAAGATGTGAGTATCAACTGTGGGGCTTGATGGTGGTGATTGTTGTTGTTGTTGTTCTTGTTGAGATGATAAGACTGACCATAATCTTCCATAGATACTGTTACGCTTTTGTAAATCATTCCGATCAAAACTAGGACGATCTGCTGCCGGTGAGGTAGGAGCACTACTGGTTTCCAATTGAACAATTCGAAGTTTGGCATCAGCAAGCATTTGTTCCAATTCCCTACATCGTGCCTCTTGTCGATTTGATGATGTTGATTTCTTGGGTGTTGATTGCTGATGACTCGATCTTGTTGTTGTGGGTGTCACAGGTGATGGTCGTGTTTTGCTGGTAGTGGTGGAAGGGACCTGAGAGTGACGACGATTCATAGGTTTTGTTGAATCTATTGTATTTGAAGAGAGCATCACTGATAAAGGACGCCGGCGTTGTTGACGACCTGTTGTTGATTTATCGATTTGTCGTTGTTTGTCTTCTAATTCTTGAATCAATCGCAACTTTTCTTGTTGTAGCTCTTGTGCCATATGTTCGCTATCATGTTGTCTTTTTTTCCATCGTTGCAATTCCTTGATGGCCTTGTGCTTATCATTTTCCATCACATCGTATTTATTTTGTATTTCCACCAATCGTTCCACTAATACTCTTTGAGCATCTTGAGACATGTCATGTTGTGCTTCCAATTCTTGTATCCTTTGTTTCATCGCCTTGTTGTCCCGTTGAAGCTTCATCATAATAGTTGCAGTGTCACTACCATATGATAATAATTGTTTTTGTTCTTCCACTGTCATTTTCAAACTGTCAACTTCAGTTTCCATGTCCATTTTGTCCATACGTACTTGTACTAGTTCTTGTTTGACATCCAAGTGATCCTTTTGCATTTGAGACAAGGCCAGCAATAGCTCCTCAATTTGTTGATGAAGCATAGCAACATCTTGAACACCAGATCCGGCAATACATGTCGTATTTTGTTTCGAAGCATTCTTCATGAGTTCTTCTTCAGAAGACGTTGATGCTGAGGATGGACGTTTCCCACTGAGCCAACTAAGCGATTCACGTTTCTTTTTCTTATTATTGTTGTTATTGTCGGTCGATGATGGTGAGGTAGGTGATTTTTTTTGTTGACGTTGTTCTTGTTGTTTAGACCAAAAGTTGAAACGAGCAGCCAACACTTGTTCAGTTTGTTTCTTTTCCTCTTCTAATTCTTGACAATACAGATCGGCCAATCCATCCATCTTATCACCAGTAATCACACCACTAAGATCCATAGCGTCGGCAATCACTTGGCTGGGGTCATCATTATAAGGGTCATATAGTTTAGAGGTAACATAATCAAGGATATCTTCAAATTCAGTCAATTGCAGAATGGTATCTTCAGAGCGCTTCAACATAGCAATGGCTACACGCATAATCGTTTCAGCAGCACCTTCGGCAAAAACAATATCATATATACGAAGCACCAAAGGGATTGGGAAGGTATAGGCAAAAAGAGTCAAAAACCACTGAGAGGCATACATGGGTGCATTGACTGAGTGATTTCCAAGGTGATCAGACAATGCAGGAAGAATTTGAGCTAATAGACTTGAGAATTGATATAATCGTAGTTGTAAACCTTCCATATTAAGTGTAAACATCGTTCTCATTTCGTAAGTTTCCATGATTCTATTTACAAGATTTAAAAAAAAAAAAAGGTAAATATTGCTAAACTATATATGATGATTTCCTTTTTTCCCATTCACTCTCTCTCTCTGCTTTTTGGATTTACCTGACAAATACACAAAATGCTTGCTGTTCAGACATCTATACAAAAAAGTTCAGTATCAGTAACATTGCAAAAAAAAAAAAAAAAAAAAAAAAAAAAAAGATACCAATGTTAATATAAAAAAAAATACTTACATTCATAAGAAGTGGACCAACAAGGAAAGCAAGGCCTTGACAATACCCAACCAAAGAATCGTAAAGACTATAAGCTGTGAGTACACGTTCCATAGCTTTTTGACCATCACCTCCTTCTTGTTTAAACATATCGACACCAGGAAAAGTACGAGCCAAATCACGTTGGATGATCCGAGTATAAGGAGAATGTTCAGCCAAAAGTTGTCCATAGACTGTTTCAAGATTGAGGGATGCAGATTGAGACATGGCTTGCCAGATCAAACCTCGGACTTTAGATGGAATGCCTGCCCTGAGTTTTGCGGAGACCAGATGGGGAAGTTTGAGAGCCACACCACTGAAATCATCGATCATTGCTGACCAGAACTCCCAATCTATATCTTCTTCTTCTTCTTCTTCATTGTCATTGTCGTCGTCTTCTACTTCCTGTTCCATAATTTCATTGGTATTATCATTGGAGGACAGACTACCATCTTGAGTACTATTATTCTTGACAAGTTTCTTCTTGGGTTGATTTTTTGACATATTCATCAAGTTTTGAAGTGTAGATAAATGAGCTTTGAGTCCATTGGAAGAGATAGATACTGACTTGGGATCGTTGTCCAATATAGCATTTTGTCGTTCGATTTGGGCAAGAATGAATTCCGTAGACTAACAAGATGATAGAATAAAAATGGTTATTTGAGGTTAGTATGTTCTCTATTTTTTTCTTTCTTATTCTTCTCTAGTTTTTTTATTTTTATTTTTTTTATTTTATTTTATTTTTTTAGGATTATTACCTGTGGAGGTAAACTTGCATTTTCTTCTTCCAAACGAGGTAATACTTTGAAATCAGGGAGAGGAGGTTTTGTGTTTGCGCGTCGATGGAGAGACATACTTGGTGTTCGTGAAGGGGTAGGTGCTAAACTAGGGCGCCTCCGTCTTGGTTGGTAACTTTTTGAAGGTAAAGGTCGAGGGGGTATGTCACGTTCTTGTAAGGCATTATACAACTTGGAGGATTCATTAACGGTCATCAAACAAAAAAAAAAAATGTGGTTATATAGAAAAAGAAAATGGTATACACAGAATCCAAAAAAAAAAAAGAAAGTGCAAAAGAGAGAGAGAAGGAAACACAAAGATCTAAAAAAAAAAAAAAACATCACCTGAATTCAATTCAATTCATTTGATAGCGGAGGTCAAAACTCAGTCGATCAGTCCACATAGTCAAATCTAAACATATACAATTTATTCAATCAAAACAAATAGAAATAAAGCATTATTCTAAAAGAAAAAAATAACTATCCAACTATTTCTGTATCTTCTGCATCTTCTGTTTCAAATTCCAAGGAGATATCCCATCTTGATCCAACAGCATTAGCGCTAACATACTTGATAAATCGCATTACACCTTCATCCCGTAACACAATAGATAGTTCATTTCCACCACAAGGGAGAGTGAATAAAACACCATCATCATCCGTAGAACGATATATAGAAGCATCATCATTATCATCACAAGCCATATAACAGAGGTAACCACCAACATCACATGTTTTCCATGAGGCATCTTGTTGAGATACTAAAGAGAATGTCACATCCAAAAGTCCACTTTGTTCCATTGGTATAGTTGCCAAAGTATAATCCAAACCTGGTCGGAAACGTCGCACCATACTTCGATAACTTTTCAATGCAAGTTTCGATAAAAGGAGTAGCCAGTGTCTAAAAGCAATACTTTCCAAATGATCTTGTAACTGAGAAAACAATATGCTTGTCATGTCCTGATCGTCTTCTTGCTTATCTTTTGCGAGTCGTAGGAATCGTTATGAAACAGGTGAGCCTTGTACATACCATTGCCCACGGATACCTGAATCATGTTTAGGCATCTTTGATTCCAAATAACCATCTTGTTGATCTGCTTGATGAGCAGCCATCTTTAACTTGTCATAGTAGGAAGGTTCAAGAATATCTTCTAAATGAAGTGACGAGGTCTCCACAAACTGGTCAGAAAGTCCTTGTAATGTATTCATATCCAAATAGATAGGATTCAACCAAGTTGACAATGAGATTCGATCGTTTTCGTCAAGTTGGTCGACTGTATATTGTTCATTATTGATTGTTGTAAAGGGGTCTAAAATATTACTCTACAGATAAAAAAAAAAAAAAAAAAAAAAGAATGAGGAAGAAGAAAAAGGGAAAAAGGAAAGAGAAATAGAAAAAAAGAAAAAAAAATGGGTACTTTCTTTTTTTACCTCCGCCAATTGGGCCAAAGAAGACTTTCCATGAGAGACAATATTGACAGGATCATAACCAGATTCGTCTTGCTGAGGGAAATGGAACCAACCTTGAATAGATAATCTTGTTTTTCCTTTAGATACGACTTCTTCAACCGAATGGAAGGAATAACCAGGTAATACTGTAAACATAGCGAATTGATTCCATTTGGGAGTTAAGCTAACTGTAGGTGTATTGGCAGATGTTCCTTCTTGCACAACAGGATAAAGTTCCAGGGCTCCACCGTCACTAGGGTACCATTCTTCATCAGGATCAGGCATATACAAGATAAAGGAAACTCGACGATCACCAATGACATCATCATGATTCAAGAGGTGACATCCTTGATTATAGATATTGACACTCATATCCATCTTTTTACCTGACAATGGACCACAGCCTGTTACTTGAGAGACAAAATCACGGAATGTTTGAGAATAGATACCATTGCGAAGTTGAAATAAATGAGCAAGCGATTCTTTTCTTCATTAGATAATCCATCCATATTAGCCAAATCACCAGTTTGATTCACCTAATCAAATAATAATCATAAAAAAAAAAAAATGTCACATATTCATCATTCTTTTTATTATTATTATTATTATTATTATTATGTCTTACCTTGTAGATATCTGTTTCTTTCCTTGTAAATTGAATATTATCGAGTATTTCCTGTCTGACTTTACGTAAAAGTGTATCATTGACAAGATGATCGATTTTACAGTGTTTGTATGGTTTTGATGCATTGACAGCTTGTCGTATTTTTTCTATACTAGTCGTTTCAAATAATCCTGCATAAAAAATATCACTTGTAGGGATATCTTTTGTCGTTTTTTGTCTTTTTGACTTATGTTCCAAAACATCATTAGACGAATGTAAATTTGTAAGACACATGATGATGATGATATATAAGAAAAAGAATGAAAGAAAAGAACAACAAAATGTAAAAGATGGTTGTGCCTAAAAAGAGTAAAATCGGAGATTGATATGAACGACTTTTTCTCCCCTGTCTCTTACCAAAATAACTGTAAAAAAAAAAAAAAAAAATCAGGCCATTTGTTTCTAAATGATAAACCAAAAAGTAAAATTTGTCAAAAATAAAATTTTTATTTGTTATAATATAAGAATAATAAATGATGATATGATGATGATGATGATGATCTATAAACTATTTGCTAAAATAACACTATGTTGAGCACCAGCTGATACTCGAATTACCTTGTGTCCTTCTAACTTTTGTCCAGTCACTTCACAAGGCACAGGTTCATCTTCGTCCGATCCATTACCAAGAGCATACATTTCGCCAAAACCCCAAGCATAAGCCTTTCCACTTTCAGTCGTCACCAAAGCATGATTGCTTCCACTACTAATTTGAATAACATCAGTCAAACCAGGAATCAAAGTAGGTTGGCCAATTGCCTTTTTGAATTGCGACTTTGAAGCGTCTTGATCATCTTCTTGAGGATGTAATTGATTGATCATTGATTCAGGGAGACCAAGCTGACTAGAATCGGCACGTCCAAAAGAATATACAGTTCCATCTTCCATCAATACATATGAATGATGTTCACCAGCAGCCACTGACTTGATGGGTCCTTTACCTTGAAGTCCAGGAATCACAGTAGGAGTAGTAATGATTTCACCTGCATATCGTCTATCTTCACTCAATAAACCACATTGCTGGTAGTTGTTCAGACCCCATACATAAAGATCATTGTTCTCATCAAGTGCAAATGAGTGATAGGAACCAGTACCAATTGCCTTGATACCTTTAAGTGCTAATAATTCAGGTCGAAGTCCATTCTTCTTACGTCGTTCGATAACACGACGTCCTAATTGGAATTGTTGTCCATTTCCCCACCCGAATACACGTCCTCCATCCGTCAATGCTAAACAATGATCAGTACCGGCTGCGATATCGACAATGACGTGTGATGATAATGGTTTAAATATAGCAGGTACATCTTGAACAGCTTGATCTATGGAAAAACCAAGAGCACCTTCAGCACACTATATATATATATAAAATAAAAAATAAAAAAGGTTAGTCTAATTATCATCCTAATTTGTTTATTTTTTTTTTTTTTGTTTTTGAGTCAACATACTCGATAAGTTCCCCAACAATAAACCTTGCCAGTGTCAGACAAAGCCATAGAAATAGAATCACCACAAGCAATCTTGACAAACTTGACATCATCAGAGATTTTTACTAATTCAGGGAGGTATTCTTCACCAGATCGACCAAGGGCACGTTGATCATTGCAACCCCAACTGTATAACTAAAGAGAGAGAGAGAGAAAAAGAGAGAGAAAAGGGGGAGAAGAAAGGTTGAGTTATTTGTATATAAAAAAAAAATAAAACATAAAAAAAAAAATCTATTTTATACTATACCTTTCCTTCTTTTGTAAGAGCAATAGAATGCATACCACCACAAGCTATATCAACAATTTCCTTATCATCCAATACTTTCAAGGGCATAGGACGTTTACGAGTCAACATGGAATCCCCCAAACCTAGTTGACCAGTATCACCACTACCAAAAACGAAAACATTACCAGGTGCTGATACAAATTCCATTGAAATTTGTCGAGTCCTCTTCTTGTCACCCTGTTCAGGTAAAGGTTCTGCATTGGTCATTTCAACATTGGTATTCTGGCGTTTCACTAGTCGAGTTGTTTTTATTTCAAATATAGGAACAAAAAGAAGAAATAAAGAAGTTTTTTAGTCATTAGCTAAAGAAAAAAAAATACTTGTTGTATTGTAGTAACATTTAACTTACAACTTTTTTGAGACATGTTGTCGATGTTGTCGTTGGGGTTATGAAGATGAGTATAAAAGAAAGGAACTATGTCCTCTTTTTGACCTGCCGCAATTTTTTTAAAGCAAAAAAAAAAAAAAAAAAAAAAAAAAAGTCACCATCTCCGCGTCTCCTTTTTAGGAAATGACTTTTTTTTTGTTCATTCTTGTCTTGTTATTATAGATCTTATAAGTAAAGCAACAATAATAAAAAAAAACATTACTCACACATATTTTAGTCCTTATACTATTAAACTCTTTTTTATGACCTTTTAATAAAATGAATCTCAAATTTTCTATTGTACATCCATATAGATAATATTCATGTTTATTCAATTGGATCATGAACTGTCTTAAAAGAAAAATGCGATGAAATATTAAAATATAATTAAATGTGTGATCTTTCTTCTAATTCAACAATACAAGTCTTCTCTATAAGAATAAAAATATCTTTTCATCTTTTTAACTAATTTATCAATGGTTACTGTTGATGCATGACCTCAATTAAAATACCGCACTAGGCAGCTCCAAAGCTTTTTTCTCTTGTTTCATACTTCTTTTGTTCCTGTTGTCCCTCTTTTTTTTTTTTTTTTTCTTTTCTTTTTCCTGGTATTTTCTTAATGTCCACATCAGTCTCTTTGGATAGTAATGTTGTCAAATTATATATCCTTGACCATTCTTTTGTTATTTTGAAACAACAAGACATTTTGGAAATCTCTTTCGATGGTACCATCAAATCAAAAGGTAAATATTGAATCCTTGCTTTCTATCCTCTTGTACTCATCTTCTCTTTTTTTTTTTTCTTAGACGAGTTCACTCCTGATCCTAATATTAGTTCTTACGAATTCCATGGCATAGTTGGACTACTTGATGGCTTTACTGGTAAATAAACTCGGAAAACAAAAAAAAAAAAAAGAAACAGTCTAGGCTTCAATCGTTTTATTTATACATATATATATATCATACAGATAAATACCTAGTTATGGTGTCTCAGGTACAACAACGTGGACTTTTATTTGGACATTCTACCTATGCCATTGAAAAAACAATATGTATACCCATGAATGCTTCAGTTGCAAGGAAAACTTTGGCTTTACACGCAAGTTCAAAAGAGGAAAAGAGACAAAAAAAAAAAAAAGAGAGAGAGAGAGAGAGATTCGTACTTGATTATTATAATTGAAACTTACATTATTACAGGGTACCAAGACTGTAATGGATACTGATGGAACTTCCGATATCCAAACTTTACTTATCAAAGAGCCCGATGGAAAGAGCGGTACAGATACCTCTACAACAACAATAACAAGCTTGGAATCACAACAGTTGTCAGCAACAACGATACCAATAGAACCTACTATCACTACAACGTCGAAAATATCTACCACAAAAGTATCATCTCCTTCTTTTATGAATGTGCTCAAGAAAACATTTAGTTCTACTGACAACAAAGCTGGCAACAACTCCTCTTCAACCTCCAACCTTCAAACATCTCTATCTGCTGGTTCTTTTGGTACTCGAATTTCGTCTTCCGCTTCACTCTCGAAAGATTTTCCCGAGCCTGTACCAGTTGATGTGCTATCCGATTCAATGGCATCTGTCAAATTGTCTGAAGATACGGTCGCCTTGGAACAACGTCTGATTAAAGAAGTGACTAATATGTTTAGTCGTGGTATGTTTATCTTCGCTCATGGATTTGGTAAGTTCAATAATAAAACAGGTACTAGAGAAATTAAAATGAATCAAAATTTTACATTTCGATTATTTAGATATTACAAATAGCATCCAGCATACATTTGAAAAGAAAAAGGATGATTCAACTCGATCTATTTTGGAAACAGTATGTATATCAATAAAAGAGAATCTGATAGTATGGACCGTATATCTAATTCCTCCTTTCCTATTATGTTTTAGATTGATCATCGATTCTGGTGGAATGAACATCTCTTACAGGACTTTGTGAAAGCTAAGGTAAGAAATGGCGAATATAGGTTGCACAGCTTATTTTTTTTTAAATATGATGTTTCACTGATTTTATTTCCCTTCTTGTTTGACTGATAACCGTTGAAGCTTGATCATTGGATTTTACCGATAATGCAAGGCACTATACAAATTGAATCATGTGAAATAGATGGATTCCCGTTTACATTTGGACTTGTGTCTCGACGAAGTCGTGAAAGAGCTGGATTACGATATCAACGACGTGGTGTGAATGATGAAGGCCAAGTCGCTAATTTTGTAGAAACGGAACAAATAGTCATCTTCAAACGAGAAAATGTGCAGCATATAGCCTCTTTTGTTCAAACCCGTGGATCAAGTAAGTTTCAAAAAAAAAAAGTGATATCTTATTGATGGAATTTCCTTCCTTGTTATTACATTAGTCCCACTGTTTTGGAGCCAATCACCATATGCTCTTCATCCTGATCCTGCACTTCATCGATCAGAGGAAGAAAACACTGAAGCATTTGAAAAGCACTTTCAAAAACAAGAATCTTTGTATGGTCGTCAAGTGGTGGTGAACCTTACTGAATTATCTGGTCGTGAAGCTATCATTGGATCTGAATATCGATATCATATTGAAAAACTGGGGGATCCAAACATTAAGCAAGTCAAAAGAAAGAAAAAAAAACACAATCTAGCAATATGCTTGCTTATTTATTTATTTGTTACTAGATATGTGGAATTTGACTTTCACAAGGAAACAAAGGGTATGCGGTTTGAAAATATTAGCAAGCTAAGTGATAGCCTATATGACAACATGATGAAAATGGCGTAAGTTGATTAATGTGAAAGAAATAAACTAGTGTAGATAGAAATGTCCTGATTTTTATGTTTTATTATATAGGTATTTTTGGGAAGGTGATAACAAAACCGTATATTGTGAGCAAGCTGGTGTATTCAGAACGGTAAAAATAGAAGGAAACAAAGAAGATGAATATATTACATACGAAGCTGTTACTGATCTATAGAAGAATCTTTTTTTGATAATTATGGTTATGATTATTATGCAAAATATAGAATTGTATGGATTGTCTTGATCGAACCAATGTTGTACAGGTGATCAATAGGAAATGAAAAATGGAAATGAAACTAATTGCTTGCCTTTTGTAACATAGAGTGCTTTTGCAAGAAAAATCCTCAATTTGCAATTGATGCGATTTGGCATTTCAGAGTATCCGGACAAGGGCATCAAGTATTACGAACAATTTGAACGTATCTTCAACAACGGTAAAAGTGTATTTAGATATTTATATTGATAACGCTCAGATGTGATTGAATGATTATTATTATTATTATTATTATTTTATAGTCTGGGCGAACAATGGAGATATGATTTCTCGTATGTATACTGGTACAAGTGCACTAAAAGGTGATTTTACAAGGTAAAATAAATGATAGCGAATAGAGGATAAATGAAAGTGATGATGACTGAATTTGTTTTGATATTATAATAGAACTGGTAAACGAAACTTCACTGGGATTATGAATGATGCATCTAATTCATTGGCAAGAATGTACTTCAACACTGTTAAGGATTTTTGGGGACAAGCTACAATAGACTACATATTAGGTAATGGTGTTCTTCTTTTTTTTTTTTTTTTTTTTTTTTTTTTTGTTTAAGAAGTTGCATTGACTCTCCCTATTGTTCTTTTTTTATTTTTATTTTTGATGATGATAGGTTATCATAAACTGGATATATTTAGACGCATTCCGGAAAGTAGCCAGAGATCTGCTGAACCTGGAATTGAAAAGTGGCTAGAGAAAATACGCAACGATGCTAGTAAGTATTCGAAAGAAATAGAAAAAAAAAAAAAAGAGAAAGTGTTTAATATTATATCGACTTCACTTTTCAATCTTTTTTATTTCTCATTTAAGTCCAAGTTAGCTGTGAAATTGTCATCGCAGACGATGAAGTCAAATTAAGAGGTTGGACTCTTTTGGCACCAAAAGAAAATAAAAATGGGTAAGTAAAAAGAAAAGTGAGATGTAATATATTCTTTTGTTCACTCCTATATAAAAATAATAATAGCAAACGATCAAGCAAACGATTTGAAGAAAAGGTGGTCCTATTGACAAGCAAAGCATTATATGTATGTAGTTATAACTATCATTTGGAAAAGGTGGTACAATTTAAACGGGTGGAGCTCTGTACCATTCAATCGATTCAAGTGGGCGAATATATCCTATCATCCTTGGCGGCTGAATCTCGTGATCCAAATCAAAATTATGGTTTATGCATTTATTACAATTCAAATGGACAAATCATGCGATGGAATACAGGTAGTTTAATCAATCAAAATTTGGAAGATCTCAACATTACAACTACAGATGCAAGATCCAAAAAGAAGAAGAACAAGCGAATCACTACATCAACGGCAACAATGGAAGATAGTGGTATGGAAAGCGATTCATCCTGTTTATCCCGGTCATCGTCATCATCATCATTATCATCATCGTCGTCAAATTCTGATAAAGATGTCATCATTCCAACTGGACAATCATCCTTGTTATTCAAAGCTGTCCGATACAATGTATCTGGTGATATGAGGGATACTAAATTGTCGACCTGTAAAGAACAAGTGGAAGATATTGTCAATCAAATCATGAAACAAAGTGGTCAAGCCGAAAATGCTAGATTTATTGTTTATAAGCCTATTATCAGGTATATAATAGATGGATAGATCAAAAAAAAAAAAAAAAAAAAAAAAAAAAAAGCTCACTTTTTTTTTGCTTCTATTTGATAGTCTCTCACAAGCCGAAAAAAACGGATGGTTTGTTCAAAAAAATGGGATACAAACTCAAGCATGCCATCTGGATTTAGTTTATCATCAAATCATTTGTATTTAATAGTAGATATTTAAAGTAAATAAATAAAAAAAACCTGATTTTATTTGAGTTGTTTAAGGTCAAAAAAAAATATGTATAATACAAATAAGATGTGAGGGATGTTTGATATATGCAGGATGTGTATGAATATAAAAAGAGAAAAGAAAAAAAAAGATGGTTGGGAAACTGGGTTAGTGTTTAGGCAACAGTAATGGTATTGGATTCCACTTGGAAAGTTGTATCTTCATCGTCTTCATCAGCGAATTCATCAGGATCGTAAATGACCCGAATGATCAGCGAACAAGAGGGACAACGAGCAACATCTTCACCATCTCGTAAGTCATCCTATCAAATGAAAAACAAGTGGTCAATAAAATGTTAACGAATAAAGTTTTCTTGAGCATTATTACCACAAAGATTTCGAACTTGTCACCACAAGGGCAAGGATATGTATATACTTGATCGTCTTCATTGAAATCCATGTCTTCAATTTCGATCTATATTGTTTTGTTGAGAAAAAAAAAAAAAAAAAAAGAATGAGCAAATAAGTATAATAACTTGCTGGATCAATAATTTATGATCATGATTCATTACCTCATCATAATAAGACGTCATATTGGATCAAATAAAAAAAAAAAAGTGAATGAATGAAAGTAATCAAAGAAGAATATAGAAAAAAAAAAAAAAAGAAAAGAAAGAAATAGAAAAAAGAAAATATTTGTCTTTTTGTTTCGTTTTTTTATCCAATCATCTATAAACTACAATTTAAATGCCGCAGCAAGATTTTATTTCTCGAGGAATACATATAAAAATACAAAATAATAATAATAACCTATACTAAACATATTACAATCTATATTTCAAAATTTAATTCGTTTTCTTTGTGTCTTCGATTTGTGCCCGATAAAAGGATGATTGCCAAAAAGTGATTTTGGTGTTGATGATTAAGCCCAGAGTCAATATAATGGCAGACCAAGCTTGAGCTTCTATACGATCCAAATGAGTAGTGATACCAAAAGTTTGATAAAGTAATCCATCATCATCCACTAAACACATATAAAAGACAACAGTAGCAAAGGTGATTTTCATATCAGTTGATATAGATTTAAGTAACTGAGGTGTTCCAAAGGTCCAATGAGGTTCAGATAATCGAAAAGCATCCATCCATAATCCACCACCTAAATATAATACTTCATTAATGAAGTATATAAAAACATTTTTTTTTTCTTTCGTTTGGAAGATCAACTTACCACAACCTGCCAACATCCCACAGATCAACTGTGCCATCCATTTTTTATGCCCCAATACACCTGTTACTCCATCTACACCAAATTGAACCATAGCCATTGTTCGTAAAAATCCATCCGATACCGTAAAAGCATGTTCCACCAAAGGTAATGAAAACAATGTTTGCATCAATAGGTAGAAGTAATCATTGGAAAATATCAAGAAATATGTCAAGCTAAGGATAAAAAAAAAAAAGTTATGTGTCATATAATACATATATATATATTACCCATGAATGATCCAAAATTCGTTACTGCTCAGAATTCCTAAAGGTTGTCCACGTAAAAGAGCAACTGTACAACCACCACCTGAAGCCATGACAATAGTGGTAAAAAACCCTTGAAGCCAACTGATCTGGACATGGTTAGTTCCTAATGCTGATTTGTAGAGATAGTGGATGAACAGAGCAAACATGGTATCGAGCACAGGTAAACTGGCCACACCAAAACAATCCACACGAAAGTCAATGACTCCAAATACAATATTCACCACTTGACCATGAATATCAGTAGACATTGACACAACGATGTTTTTTTTTTTTTTTTTTTTGAAAGAAAAAAAATAAAGAAGAGAAAAAAAAAATAAAAAACAAAAAAATGATGGCCCTGAACTTTATTAGAAAAGATTGGGGGTGATCCGCATAGCTGGTTTTCGGTGGTTCAATGTTTCGTGGGAAGGATGAGATGTTTGCCCTGAGAACCCAGTGGTTACCTTTTCTTTTCTTTCTTTTTTTTTTTTTTTTTTTTTTTTTTTTTATCTCTTGACAAGGTTATTATGACAGATACAGTTCGCGTTTTATCATCAAAAGATATTAATCAATTACTACGACAAGGTGATTTAGATTCGGCAAATCAAGTGATTGACTTGATGGCAGTGACTTTTGAAACTTATACAAAAGCACACCAATCTGGAAACACTCATTATGCTCAAGCACCACAACGTATTGGTGTCCACACAGATAATCATTATGCTTTATTTATGCCATCTCGACTACAACAAACTACAGCCATCAAGGTGGTCAGTGTCCCTACAAACGATGGAAAAGGCGGATTACCTGCAACAATTATGGTGTTAGATGAAACTAATGGAAGTGTACAAGCTATTATGAATGCAGCTGCCTTGACTGCTGTACGTACTGCTGCTGGTAAGTTCCTCTCTCTCTCTCTCTCTTGTTCTTTTTCTTTTCTTTTTTTTAAAAAAAAAATGATTTTGACTTTTTATTCATGATATCCCTCCTATTTATTTACTTTTATTTATTTATTAGGTTCGGGTGTGGCAACACGTTACTTTGCTAATCCACAAGCGAATCGACTGGTTATATTTGGCGCTGGAGCACAAGCACGAGCACATATTGACATGATGATTGCTGCACGACCTAGTATAGAACATATCACGATTTGGAACCGAGGACAAGAAAGAAGGGAAGCATTGGTCAAATTGATGCAACAAGCCTATCCTACACGCACCTTTGTTGGCATTAAGAGTGATGATGATGATTTATTGGAACAAGCTGTACATCAAGCACATATCATTTGTACTTGTACCAATGCAACCAATCCTGTTCTTTTTGGCAAGTGGCTATCTCCAGGAACTCATATAAATTGTGTAGGCTCTTACCGTATGGATATGCATGAAGTCGATACTGAAACTGTGAAACGTGCTACCAATATCATTGTGGATTCTATTGCAGCTTGTAGTCATGAAGCAGGAGAATTGGTCAAATCATCATCAAAGGAACAATGGACTGAAATAGGAGACATCATCCAACAACAACAACAACAAAAAGTACAACATGATCCTCATGGTATATCTCTTTTCAAAAGTGTTGGTATCAGTGTTCAAGATAGTGCTGTGGCTGGTTTGATACTCGACAAGGCCAAACAAGAAGATCTTGGATCATCTGTCCCTTTCTAGTTTAGTTTTAGATGAGTATTTTATTAATCTTGATTTGATTAACTAATAATAATAAAATATATATATATATATCTCTATCCAAACATATTCCCAAAAAAAAAAAAAGACTTTGATCCTTCTATTTTTTTTTTTTTTTCAACTGAAAATGATAAAGTGATACGTCAAAAAAAGATTTCTTTATTGATAATATTATAAAACTAACATGCTAACTACAAGAATATTCACAACCAGTAAACTAAAGAACAAAAAAAAAAAAAAAAGAATATCAGTATCCATACAACACTATATATGTAAACGATATTGGAAGAGGTCCTTTTTTGTTTTGTTTTGTTTTTTATCAGCAAATACAATTAGCATCAAGTATGTACGAATTTTGTACATAACAATCAGTGCTTGACTCTATGTACTTTGATATTTCATCCCCAAAAAAAAAACAAAAACAAAATAGAAGCTACCCCACTATCATCTTATTTATTTTCGTAGTTTTTTTACCTTTCAGAACTAGTCTACTTTATTCTTGAAAAAAGAAGTAAAAGGAAGAAAACAAAGAAGAAAAAAAAAAAGGAAAGGGAACTTAAATAATATTCACCATAGAAAAAATTTTCATTGCTGTGACGACTGACCACGGAGACAGGCCGATGGAAGAGCTTTATTGCAACCCAGATTTCTATGGTTACTCATACTTTGTTGGTTCCTTGGATGCAGTGAAAAAAAAAAAAAAAAAAAAAAAAAAAAAAAAAAACTTGGTCTCTTTTGACGCATATATGATGATCCTTATAATATATTTACGATAAACATTGGCCTTTAATAAAAGGCAGTATCAAAGAAGATATATTTTCATAAAACAAGTTAAATCGTATCTTGAAGAGTTGATCTATTGAAAATCAGAGATATCCACTCACTATTGTTACAATCTTTGTTTAATTAACTTCATTTTCGAAGGGATTACCTAATGAGTAAGATGAAATGGATCTTATATATTAATTACAAACAATATCTTAAAATCACTATTGCTATTTGATATTCATTTCTCTTCACAATCCATCTACTGTTCATTCATCATCCATTCGATCTTCTATCATCACGCATCTCATACCAATCTTTTTATCATCTATCATCATAATACATTATCATCCAATCAACCATCATCATCCCAAAAAGTGTCCTAATTTTTTTTTAAATTAAATCGGATGATGCTTTTTTTTTCTCTTCGTCTCCATTCAAATGAAAATAAACTCGTTCAGGAAAAATCTGTAATATGAAACCACAAGGCAATGCATTTTTATTATTCGTCCGGAATTTGAAATACGAGCGAGTGAAATTCCCCATTTCTTAAAATTTGTCAGCTTACCAAGTCAATCATTGGCTGACCAAAAAGTATATAAATGCCGTGAAACTCCCACACGTTCTATTTTTTTTATCCCTTTTTTTTTTTATTTCTCGTTACTTTACTTTTTTCCCCCCACTCTTTTTTTTTTTCTTGTATTATTAATTTCAATATGGCATTCCGTTCTATGGCTACCCGCATGACTTCTAGTCGACTTGGTGCTCGTGCTGCTTTTACGGCCACTGGGATGTCTGCTTACCGTCAGTCTATTACTCCTACTGTTCGTTCTTATACTACTGAACAAACTAAGAAAGGTGGTTCCAATACTTTATTATTCCTTGGTAAGTAATGGTGTCATGGAAACTATTCATTCCTTATTTATTTGTCGAAATTAACCTACTGTCATTATTATTTTCTTTTTTTTTTTTTTTTAGGGTTAGCTGCACTTGGTGGAGCTGGAGGTTATTACTATCATAATTCTTCTCATTCTGTTGTTGGTACTCAAAAGGTTGAAAAGAAACCCGTCGATTATGTTCAAATTTACAAGGAAATTGCTGATGTTCTCGAAGATAATGAGTAAGTACTGTATATATATAAATGACGCGTCTAACACTGATGATCATATTAAATAGTTATGATGATGGTTCTTACGGTCCTGTATTGCTTCGTTTGGCTTGGCATGCTTCTGGTACTTATGATGTGAATACAAAAACAGGTGGTAGCAATGCTGCTTCTATGCGTAAGTTTCAATGGTCATAAATAAAAGGTAACTATTCCACTAACTGTAATTTTTTTTGGGGGGTGATTCTTATTTATATAGGCTTTGAACCTGAAGCTCTCCATGATGCCAATAATGGTTTGAAGATTGCTCGTGATTTCTTGGAACCCATCAAGGCTAAGCATCCTGAAATCAGCTATGGTGACTTGTGGACATTGGCTGGTGTTGCTGCTATTCAAGAATTAGGTGGACCTACTATTCCCTGGAGACCTGGTAAGTTCTCTCTTTTTTTTTTCTATTTTTTTTTCTATTATCAACGTTTCATATTCAAATTTAACAATTTTTTTTTATTTTAATTAATAGGTAGAACTGATGGTTTGAGTGCTGAAAGTTGTACTCCTGATGGACGTCTACCTGATGCCACTAAAAAAGAAGATCATATTCGAAACATCTTTTATCGTATGGGCTTTAATGATCAAGAAATTGTTGCTTTGACTGGTGCTCATGCTCTTGGTCGATGTCATCCTGATCGATCTGGTTTTGATGGTCCCTGGTCTGAACAACCTACTATCTTCTCCAATGAATACTTCAAGGTGATCAGTGAACGAAAATGGGTGAAGAAAAATCTTGATAACGGAGGATGGCAATGGGTTGACAAGGTAAAAAAAAAAAAAAAAAAAAGGATAAGAATAATCAATATCAGATGATTCATCTTTATTATTATTATTATTTGATATAGAATAACCCCAATGTAATGATGTTACCTGCTGAAATCTCCATGTTTAATGACAAGGAATTCCGTAAATACTTTGATTTGTATGCCAAAGATCAAGACAAATACTTTGAAGATTTCTCCAAGGCATTCAGCAAATTGATTGAATTAGGTGTTCCTTTCAAGGGTGATGAAAAGGTATACAAGTTTGAACCTGTCAATGCTTAGTTTAGTTTATTGTTTTTTGTTTTTTTGTGATTCCATTTTTAGTTTAGTTTATGTATCTACAGAAATAAAACTTATATACTTTTTGTTTTCTTCTTCTTTTTATTCAAATGATTTAATATTCATGCTCATTTCAATTGCATAAAAGTTGATCAGTCGGATGTCAATTTCAGTTTGATGTTTGTCCATCGTCACAAAAAGAACATTTTTTTTTTTTTTTGGTGTTCCGCATTTTTTTTTTCTTTTCTTTAACTTTAGTTTACATCATGCAATCAGATGATAAAAAATATTCTCAAGTCCCTCCTCCTGTAGAATTAACAACAACTAGTGCTGCTCCTCCTGTCGACTTTAGTAATGCTCTTCAAAAAGCGAGGGCCATTGCTGAAAAACTCAGACAGACTGGCGCATCATTACCTTCCTCTACAAATGACTCAACGTCAGCTACTACACAACAACATGACCACGGTTCTTCTGGTAAATAAATAAATAAGTTTTTTTTTTTTTTTTTTAAAAAAAAAAAAAAAAAAAAAACTTACCATATATTTATTATGTTATATAGCTGGATCGAAACGCTCGTATCAAGACGATCATGATTATTCTTCATCAACAACCTATGATCCTTATGAATCCAAACGTGGTGCTTACGATAATGGTTCATCTCGTCCTTCATGTAAGTAACCCTTTTTTTTAGACTATTATTCTGATGAATTGACGACTCTTTTACTTTATATTGTTAGATTCTCGAAATGAACCTCGTCGCTATGGTCTTGGTTCAGAAGAACGTCAACGATATCAATCCTATGGATCATCTTCAAGTTCAACAGAAGAAATAAAAGTTCCTAATCGAATGGTAGGTATGATTATTGGTCGAGGTGGTGATAATTTGAAGAAAATTGAACGAAATTCTGGTGCTCGTGTCCAATTTGATCAAGGTAAAAAAAAAAAAAAAAAAAAGTAAAACCTAGAGGGATAGGACTTGATCATATATTTATTTTTATTTATAGATTCGAGTGAGAATGAACGCAGTGTGAAATTGACAGGTGAACAAGATCAAATTCAATTGGCTCGTGACATGATTGAACAAATCATCAGAGATGCTTCTGGTGATTCTTCTTCTTTTGCTCATGGTGAATCTCCTGAAAGTTCCATTTCAGTCATGGTACCTCCTTATAGAGTTGGCTTGGTAATTGGACGTGGTGGTGAAACAATTCGTGATTTGGAACAACGTAGTGGGGCTAAAGTGAAAGTGTTACCTGAAAATCCTGGTGAAATGGATCGAACTGTCTCTATCACTGGTACCAAGAAAGCTACTGAAAAGGCAAAATCTCTTATTGATGATATTCTTAATAATCAACCTTCTCAGGTAATGAAAAAAGAAAAATAGGTTATATGGAAAGAAATCTAATCATACTTACCATTGATGCGTGTTTTTTCATATATATATATATATTATCCAACATGATAGCATCATCGTGATCAGCGTGGACATGAAAGTAGCAGTAGCGGTGGATATGGTCGTGGAGTTGATGAAGCATCTGATATTGTTCGTATTCCCAAACAAATGGTTGGCTTGATCATTGGTAGAGGTAATCATAGAAATAACCAGCAGTAAGGAAAAAGAAAAAAGAAAAAAAAAGAGCTAATGTCATTCTTTTTATATGATTTCCTTTTATATAAGGTGGAGAAACGGTGCGTGCTTTACAAGCAGAATCTGGTGCTAGAATTGTTGTTGACAAGTATGGAGATCCACATTCGGATGAAAAAACGTTGACGCTTCATGGTATGTTTATATATTCTATTCACTTGATAGAAATTAATCTTTTTTTTGGATATCATAGGTTCACCGGATAAGATTGCTATTGCCAAAGACTTGATTATGGAAAAAGTGGAATCAGGACAAGTACATGATCGTTTCTTTTTTTTTTTTTTTTTTTTTTTTTTTTTTTTTTTTTTTACCAACGTGTGTTTGGGAAGAGTATGTGTTTTTGTCAACGCTGGAAACTAGTAGGAAATGAACATGATGATATTTTGTATTCGTTTGTTTGTTATTTGTTTGTTTTATCATATCATTTTAGGCCAAAAGACTTGGAAAAAGGTCAACCCCTGATTGTTCTACTAACCTGTTTTTTTATATATATCTCTCTCTCTCTTTTTGTCTGTCCCTCTTTTGGCGTACTGGTTTGATTTGGAATTCTTTATAGAACGCAAGAAATGATCGATATGGTTCTGGTGGCGGTGGTTATCGAGGTGGACGAGGGTAAAAAAAAAAAAAAAATACTCATTTTATTTAACACGCTCCTGATTGCCTTGTTTATCTTTATCTTATTTTAAGGGGTTTCCGTGGTAGTTATGGTCGTGATAATCGCTCCTACAAAAATGATTATGATGATAATGGCAATGACAATTATCAACAACAACAACAACAACAAACCAGTACATATGATTATGCTCAATATCAAAATTATTATGATGATCAACAACAATATGGATATGATCAATATGGACAGCAATCAAATGGTAATATATATATACATATATATATAATGATATTGATGAGTGATATTCATTTTGTGATGTATATGAATAGATACCCAATATGGCGGTAGTTACAGTGGTTATGATTATGAAGGAACTACCCTTCCTGATGATAATAAGGATGATACGAAGTTAGACAAGGATACTCAACAAGTAGATCCCTATTATGGACAATACTACGATCAAACAACAGGCCAAGGACAATGGGCTCAGGAAGCATACAATCAATGGTATCAACAACAATATGGAACTGAGGAAGGGTATCAAGCTGAAGGGTATCAAGCTCAGTATGAACAACAGTATTCAAATCAGGATAGTACAGAATCTACAAGTGATGAAAAGAACCAAGACCAATAGGACTGATAACAAAAGGACGGCAACTAGTTAGATGGTTATATATATTTATCGCTTTAGTTATATTGATTCTAATTTAGTTAGTTTTATTATTATTATTATTTATTTTTATTTTTTATTTTATTTTGATCATTCATTATAGGTATTAGTGTACAATTAGTAAAACAGAAATATATATTCAATCAATACAACAATGATTAATATACTATCATCAAAGAAAGAAGACAAAAAGGGTATTTTGTTTTATTTCGTGGTATAATATAGTGAGATAGAATAATATACATTGGACAAAAAAAAAGAAAAAGAAGAAGGAAAGGCAGTGGTCTATATATATATAAAAAACAATCTATATGGAAGGAATACAAATACACATACAAGAAAAAAAAAATCTATAACTAAAAGAAGGTATGGGGTTGAAGAAAGAGTACCCATAAAAAAAAAAAAAATACACAAAAAAAGAAGGAAGGGGGAATCATTTGTTTCTATGAATTGCCAGAGGAACAAGAAAGAGAAGACCGACGATGAGAAGCAGAACGGAAAAAGGAATTCTTCATACGTTTCCATAGAGAAGGATACCGACGTTTTGAAGGCAAACCAAAATCATTTGTGGAGCGAAAAGAAGAGACACTAGGTCGATGAGAAGACCAACCTTGAGGAGAAGAGAAAGAAGATACCATAGTATGATTGGATTGGGCCAACCAAGGATTAAAAGCATTTTCACGCATCAATTCCAACACAGCTTCAGACGCAGGTAGAAACAGATCAGGATGAATATGACCTTGAAGGAGGACTTTATCTAAGATGGCCAAACGCATATCACAAGGAATATTGATTTCGCATACAGCATTGGGTTGAATATGAGTATAAATAATAACAAGACATTGTTGATGCATCGATTTTCCATTACTCTCATCATAAGCTGCTTTGTATTGTTGCACCGCAAGCCAAAATAAGAGATTCTCCGTCGAATATTGTTGTTGTAAATATCTGGAAAAATCTTGGAACCTGGATGAGCTTGGGTCTTTCAATAAGCATTCAAGAGTCAATGCCATGCTTGCATGCCAAAAGGAAGGTTCAATATATAAAATAAAAATAAAAAAAAAAAAAAAAAAAAAGAGAGAGAAGAAAAAAAAAAAAGAAAAGAAAAAAAAGAAACAAATAAAAAAAAAAAAGAAAAAAGAAACAAATAAAAAAGCCATGTGGGCGTGGCCAAAAAAAGAAGAAAGAGGGGGAGGAAAAAGAAGATGTAATAGTAAACTTTATGCCAAACAAGAAAATCGGTGGTACGAATAATAAAACCTGTTTGATAAAAAAAAAAAAGAAGTATTTTGTTTTATTTTGATCATATTCTATTTCTATAAAACATGACTGTCGTCACAATTGTATATACAAAAGATAATAAAGGTTGATGGATATATAAAAACATAAAAAATAATATATTCAATAATATATAAATACTAAACTTCCATTGTTGTTGTTGTTTTGATTGATTTTTATCACTAGGTAATAAAATAACATTTGTCTTGCTAGGTGAAGTATTAGCACGTCTATAATAAAAAAAAAAAAGAGAATAATTAATAACAATCATCATAATAATAATAATTAATAACTTACAATAATGGTCCATGACTCATTTTTCTTGCTATATTTGTTCTTTCCATTGCAAATGAATAACTACGTAATCCATATCGACTTGATGATTTATTGTTGTTGTTGTTGTTGTAATTCACATTTTTGGGTATCACCAAAGTGCCTGCCGCCACACTGACTCTTCGTTCTATATTGGGTTGGATTGCCGTTTCAGGAAGGGGTAATAAACTAATAGGGAATTGTCGTTGTTGCAGTAATGGATCATCCGAGTGTAATAATTGAATCAATCCATCCTTAGATTCACTTTGTTTGATACGTATCCATTCATTTCGATTCTTATCCAAACAATCTAAAAAGATTTGTGCTCCTGGTAAAAGATTGGCCAATTGTTCAAAATAAGGTTTGACTACCAAGTCTCCAAAGGTTAAACTAATATCAGGTTGTGTTGATAAATCACGATCCATTCCAGGAGATACTGCTAATCCATGTTGTTTTTCCATATCTCCTTGTCGAAAGAATTCTTGTACAATCAAATCAGACCATTGCTTTGAGATATTCCATGGACGTACTGTATTACTGATATCTGCTGCATGTAATAGAATACATGAGAGTTGTTGACATTGTTGATCAGTCAAGAGTGATTTGTTTGAAGAATAATATTGTGGTGAAATACTTTGGTTCACCTTGTTCAACCATTCAGATGAAACAGTTTCTGATGATGATGATGGTGAAGAAAAGATAGGTAATGGTTTTTGTTGTTGTTGTATTCCAAGTTGAAAGTAATCATCGCCTTCATTTATCATTGATGAATCAGCGTATTCCGAACAATAACGATAAATCATTTCTTCAAGTAGTCCAGCTTGTTCTTGAAGTATATAATGATGAACCATATCCGTATGCATAATTAGAGTTTCAATTTTGCTGATCCAATCTTCTCGATGAGATGATAAATTATTGACCAAGTTCACATGTTTTTTGAGTATAAGAGATCGAGTCATATCAGCTGAGAATGCTTCTAAGACAGAAGTATTGTTATATATCTTTGCGAGATCAGTTTCAAAATTGATTTGATATACATTATTGTAACCAGGCTATAAATAAATATAATAATAATAATAAAAACATATCATTAGTTTCCAAATTAAATAAAAAGTATAAAAAAAAAGGGGGGATATAATAAATAATATAATATATTAACTTACATGACCAATATCGTGGCAAAGAGCAGCAATAAGAAGAGCAGCAATATCCAAGGAAGGTATAAAATGTTTCGCATCCAAATCAGTCAACATATAATAAATCATAAAAACAATATCCACAGCATGATAAAAAGAATGATAAGGAGCATTGAGATAAGCAGCATCCACATCAATAAAAAAGTCCAATAAATCCGAGTGTGTAATATTTAAAATGTCAATACAACCCATTCGCGTAAAAATACCAAGAAGTTGTCCATAAATATCTGTTCTTCCAAGACTTAACACGTTAAAATCAAGTCCAATATTGATTTCCTTGTTATCTAACCATCGTAAAAGTTGCTATATATATATATAATATATTTGTTTAGTTTATATATAATAATAATAATAATATAGAACTTACACGTTCAATAGTAAATAGATCCTCTACTGAAAGTGCATTATGTTTTAAAATAAGCATGACAGATTGAGTAATAAAATGAATAAAAGAAGAGAATGATTGTCAATAAGTAAGTATAAGAAATAAGAAACAAAAAGAAAGAAAAGAAAAGAAATAAGTTTAGGTGTTAAAAAAAAAAATAGAAAAATAGAAAAAAGGAGTAAAGAAAAAAAAAAAAAAAGAAAAAAAGAAAAAAAAAAAATGGGAAAAACTCAAATAGCATGCGTAAAATTGTTGGTCCACTCCAGTCATTCCAAAAGGAGAGAAAATAAAGGCACAGACTTGTTTTTCATATGTAAAGAAAAAGTAGTACAAAAAGGTAAAATAGAAGAAACTATTATATAAGAAGGATTTCAATGCCCGTTATTGTTTTTGTAACAAAAAAAAAAAAAACTATATATCATATATATGTACATATATATATATTATCAATGATTATTAAACGCCCGTTTAAATAACATTCATCATCATTCAATTATTAACATCAATCCTAATTATTATTATTATTATTATTATGAAGGAGATTTTTGTCTTTTTTAATAAAAAAAAAAGTTTAAACTTTTTAGAATGTATTATTATTAAAAAAAGGAAATATTGAAAAAGACGTTCTGGCCTTTTACTGTTCTCTCATTGCTTGTGTTACTATAAAAATTCAATTTCTGTGTTTTTTTTTTTTTTTTTTTTTTTCTCACTCTTTCTTTTCTTTCTTTTTTTTTTTTTTTTTTGTTTTCTCCTAAACAATGGATGAACCTGCTTCTTGTATTGGTTGTGACCTACCTATTGAAGATGGTTCTATTATAGCTTTTGGTGAATCCTTATTTCATTTAAAATGGTTAGTTTATTATTACCCCTTAAAAAAAAAAAGGGACCACTAATACCTTTTTTTTTTTTTTTTTAGCTTTGTATGTACTAAATGCACAAAACCTGTAGATTGTAATGCCAACTTATTATTATTGACAGATGGTAGACCTGTTTGTGAACAATGTTCTTATACTTGTACTGTATGTAAAAAGGTTATTCATGACGAAGCTGTTATGACTGGTAAAAAGAAAAAGAAATATATACTTTATATATATATGTTAAACTTTCTTATATTATAGGTGACGAAGTTTATCATGCTGATTGCTTTCGGTGTACTTCTTGTCATAACACGATCGCTGATCTTGTTTTTACTCAAACTAGCAAAGTAAGTTATCATCGCCTTTTTTTTTATATCTTATAATTAAACTTTCTCTCTTATTTATTATATAGGGCATCTATTGTACTCCATGTTATGACAAAAGACGGGCTGAAAAACATAGACGAAGAGAGAAACGACAGCAGCAACGCTTACAAAACGAAAACACAAACCCTATTCAAGAACCAATACGAACTCGTGGTAGTTCATTGGATACAATCAAACCTCGTGCATCTCAATCTGAAAAGATCACTTCATCAAAACGTATCTCTCGTTTGGACTTTTCTTCTTCTGATTATCCAGCATTGAATCTCTCATTCTTTGAAAATGATTCTGTTGATCTTTTGAATCTGACAAGTTCTCTAGGTGCCAATTTATTACTCGATTCCAAATTCAATCCTTCTCCACCTGGATCACCCTTTATTCCACCAAATGGAAATACACTCATCACTCCTAATCCATCCAATTCTGTTCCTGCTGACACTCTTTCTGATCCATGGCCATCTTCTTCTTCCTCTATCAATCGTGCATCTGATATGTTACGGTCTTCCCTTAGTTTTTTGGATTTCCCAGCTCCACCTGAACGATCAAATAGTTTAGATGACTCAAAGAAATCTCATCAACAACTTGAAGATGAATTGAAACAAGCAAAAAGAAAATTATTCGATATGGAAAAAAACTTCAATATGATCAAGGTATAATAATAATAAAAAAAAAAAGGTAACCCACATCAAATGAACATCTTTTTTTTTTTTTTGTAGGATGCAAGTCAACGTGCTCTAGATGAATTTTCAAATGCCAAAGAAGAATTTGGAAAGGAAATGATATTACGACAACAACATGAAACTACCATTGAACAACTACGAAGACAAATGACTTTATTACATCAAATGCATGTACGACGCGGCGACTTTTTACCTTTGAATCAATCGGAAATCGAAAATGTCGCTCAATTAAGAGTGGAATTAGAACGTTGCTGTAATGATCTTAGGATATTTCGTGATCGTATGGCTAAGGATATTGATAATTTTGTTCAACAAAAACAAGCAGGACTTGTCAGGTATGTAGGAAAAAAAAAAAAAAAAAAAGAAAAAAGAAAAAGAAAAAAAAGAAAAAAAAATAGCGAGTTGATTATGTCATGGACTGATTTTTTTTTTTTTAAAAATTTTGAATTATTAGTGATCCAACATCACATCTGCAGGAACAACAACGGTCCATCTTGTCAGAACTCCGAATACTGAAAAAGGAAAGGGATGCTTTGCGTACAGAAACAAGTGAACTGTCCAAACTGCGAGACGACGTGATTACTGAAATGGTGATGCTCAATACCAAGAATGCAGAATTAACGGAAATGAACAATGACTTATCACGTAGAGTGATCGAACGTGAACGAAATACAGCCGCAATTCTTTCCAATACTGGTGAAATGCAACGACAATCATCCGAACATTCCCCTCAAGACGCCGTGGACATTCAAAAAGTGGCTTCAAGAGATAGTTACAATGGTATCTCGGCTCCAAAATTATTCAAGATCAAAAAAGTCAATGTCTTTGGAAAACTGAATACGAATGGTACACCTGCACGCAAAGATTCTGTGATTTCCCCTCTCAATGGTAGCAGTCCAATCCATCCTTCCTCTGGTGTTTATGATATGTACAACAATGCCAGCACTCTTAGTTTTGCCAATAAACAAGTACAAGATGGTTCTCATGCCTTTATGCCTACAACCTATTACAAATCTACTAAATGTGAAGGATGTCATGATCGTATGAAATGGGGTGTATCTGAACTTCGATGTCAAACTTGTGGTATGGCTGCACATACTCGATGTCTTGGAAGTCTTTCAGCAAGATGTCAAGGAACTGGACTTCAACGACTATCTAATGATGATGGAAAACAAGGTAATTATTTATACAATCTACATATATATATATATGAAATTATATCATTCTCTTTCTCATCATTCTTTATATATTTAAGGACAAACCATGTTTGGAAATGATTTGACTGCCCAAGTGACTTTGGAACAAGGGACTATTCCTATAGTGGTGGAAGCATGTATCAATGCTGTAGAACAACGTGGGATGGATTATGAAGGTATTTATCGTAAATCTGGTGGTGCGGCTCAAATGCGATTGATACAACAAGGCTTTGATCGGGGAGACATTGATTTATCGGATGATGATACTTTCAATGATATCTGTGCTGTGACCAGTGTCTTAAAAACCTACTTTCGTGAACTTCCTGATCCTCTTCTCACCTATGATTTGTATCCCAAATGGATGGAAGTGGTTGGTAAGTCATCATTTTTTTTTTTTTGGATAGATGATTGATTGACATTGATTTTGATTTTAGCTTCACCTGATGGACCTGACAAGACAGAAACTTTTTGTGAACTTTTACTTCAATTACCGAAAACCAACCTTGATACCCTTACAGCACTCATATATCATTTGAATCGGTAAGATCATCATCAAATATGAAATATATCTTATTAATATATTTAATATAGAATTCAACAACATCATCATGAAAATTTGATGACGATCAAGAATCTTGCCATGGTATTCGGACCCACATTATTACGAGATCAAGATGCTTCAAGGGATTTGGTCGATATGGGATTTAAAAATGCAACTATAGAATATTTGATCACTCATGCTTATGATTTGTTTTAGAAAACCTCTTTTTTTTCACCTTCTCAACTCTTATTTTTTTTTATCTTTAGTTTAGTTTTGACTGTGTTGTATACCACCAGTATTATGTATCATATCATCTACACTTCCATGTTATAATCATTCATTTCATATAATAAATAGTTTTCCTTTTTTTTTCCAACTTGATTCAAGTCATATATCTTTTTTTTATTATTATTGTTATTATTATTATTACTATTTCAGTAAACAAATTTTATTGTCTATACTATCAAATATCATAGTTGTAATAAAAAAAAATTACAAAAATACACTATACAAATCAATAACTATTCTAATCCCAAAGTTCGTTTAAATGCTTCCACAGTAGCTTGATCGGCACTATGCTTCAACACATCGTCACTAAGCTTGATGACCCGTTTGCCATTACATTCCTTGATCTTGATGACAATATTCATCGGCTTGCTTCTTTCGGTAGGATGACTAAGTTTGTAATAATCATTGGTGAAGGAAGTACCAATGCCAAAACTAGCCTTGATGCCATACTGTTGACACAGCGTCAATAATTCAATAGCACGGTCAACATCCAGAGCATCGGAAAACACAATCACCTTGGTCAATGGATCAATTCCCAATGATTTGTAATGGTTGACCATCAGAGGAATAAAGTCCTTGGGACTGCCAGAGTCTTGTCGTACACCAATATACTTGGTTGCCAAATCCTTGCCGAAATCCTTCAAAAACACAGGTGTTGTAAACGTATCCGTCAAAGCAATACCAAGAGCTCCACGATATGTTTCGTACCATTTTTCTAATGTTTTTTCATTGGCTTTTTCGATGCCTTCTAATGCTGATATTGCCATAAAGAATTCATGTGCTAAACCAAAAAAAAAAAAAAAAAAAAAAAAAAAGTAAGAAAAAGATCTATTCATCTTTTTTTTTTTTTTTTTTTTTTTTTTTTTTACCAACAGTGCCAATGGGTGTCAAATTATATTTCATAGCTAAATAAACATTACTTGTACCAGATAATGCACCAACAGAATGAGTTTTTGCTTGTTGATAAGCTTGATATTCTTGAGTCAAAGCCGCCATAACAATATCATGAGTCTTGAAATCACGACGACGACGAGTACCAAATTCCGAAAAGACACATCCAGCATTCAATAATCGTTTCGCCTTTTCTACAGCACGTTGATGCTGTCCTTCATAGTTCCAGTCTTGATCCACATAACGAAAGTAAGATTCGGAAATCAAGGCCAATAAAGGAACTTCATATAGAATAGTTTCATGCCATAAACCAGACACTTCCAATTCAAGATCACCAGTAGTTGCATCAAACTGGATCTTGACATGTTCATCAGGTTTATACCGAAAACCACTCAAATAATCCACATAGGTCTCATCAAAGAACGAGAGTTGCGATAAAAAGATTTTTTCCTCCTTGGTCAAACAGAGTTGAGATAAGTCTAAAGTCCAAAGGGACATTACAATTAAAATTTAAAAAAAAATGAGTCATAGTAGATATCAGGATATATATATTCATTACTTTGTATTTGTTGTTGGAGCCAAGCTGCTGCTTCAGCATTAAGATGTAAATCCTTTTCACGGTTGGTGAATTGATATGTCACGCAAGTATCTTTGTAATGTTGTAATACTGCATACTGCATGGTAAATTTGTACAAATCATTATCCAAAAGAGACGCTAATGCTGATGTCATGATGAGTTATGGACAAGAGTATAAGAAAAGAAAAAGAAAAAAAAAGGGAAAGTTGCATTTTTTTTTTTTTTTTTTTTGATAGCAACAAAACCAAAATACAACAACAAGCATATTTAAGTCTCCGCACCTTTTACAAAAAAAAAAAAATGCTGGCTAGTATTTTCTCTTTTCTTCTCTCTTTTTTTCTCATTCATAGATTTATTTTCAACGCAAATATGATATCACAACTAGAAATCAAATGGCATGGAAGAACGTTTCCTGTAGATTTAAAAGAAGAAGAATATGATACATGTACCGTAGGTGAACTCAAGGAAATATGCCACCGGTTTACTGGATTACCTGTAGAAAACATGAAGCTGTTAGCCTATGGAGGTATCTATATGACAAAAAAAAAAAAAAAAGTGGGAATAGAGATATTATCATTATAACTCACACTTTTACTCTTCTTCTTCTCTTATATATATATATATATACCTGATCCTCTTCTTTTTTTTTTTTTTTTTGTTTAGCTGTGATGAAGGACGATGAATTACCACTTTCACGATATGGAGTACGACCTAGTACCAAACTTCGTTTGATGGGGAGTAGCAAGGTAATATATATATATGTATGTATGTATGTATAAATAGATTTGATAATGATTTATTATTATTATTATTGTCGATAGCCACATGTGGATATAACAACAAACACAAAAAGCTCACTTATTGGAGAACAAGAAGCAATGAAGAAACTGCAACGGATACAAGATAAGCTCGACAATACCTTTGTACCTGAAATCAATGAATATGAACAACATATCAAATCATACAAGCTTACAAAGGATGGAGACAGTCAAGAAAAACTGATTCAAAAAGGATTATATTTTGCTGAAATGTTGATGCAACTCTTATTTGAATTCGATGGTGTCCAGTGTAGTTTTGATCAAGCTCGACATCAACGCAAAGAAGGTGTCAAGATGGCTCAAGAACTATTGGATAAAGTGGATCGACTTAAAAATTCAATCATTGCCCATAGTATCTAGTCATGAATATGTATATATATAGATAAATAAATAGGATCAATAGTTGTTTGTTATATAGATATCATTATTATTAAATCAATGAATAAAATAAAAATAAAATTTCCTTTTTATTGAAATAAAATAAAATCAGTGGATGGAAGTTCAGGGGTCAATGAAGGTGAGTGAGATGGAGAAGTAAGAGAAACTGGAGAGTCTAAAGAATGAAAAGTACTATCTATTTCCATAAAGATATCGTCATCATCCAATACACCATCCAATACAGAAGGTTCTTCATTGTCCCAAAGACTAGCAGGATCGCCAACAGGACCAAAGAGACTGCAGCTCCTCAAAGTATCCAAATTAGTAGTAGTAGCAGTAGTTAAAGAGTTGTCCAGAATAAAAGAATTGTCATGATGATAAAAGCCTTGTAGAGGTGTCGGTGGAGGTGTATCAGGTGTGATTACTTTGGTTTTCGACGCTGGCCCTTGATAAAATACGACGGCTTTTGTTGATGATATCCAGTGACTGCGTTGTTCAATGAGGATGAACCAGGTTCTTGAGTCTTGTTGTTGTTGTTTTGTTGTTTGTTCAAATACATAATGATAAAAGATTGTATTAAAGATAAATGACTTTTGTATAAAGATGATGATGAAAAAAAAAAGAAAAATAAATAAAAAAAAGAGAAAGAAAAGAAAAAAGAAAAATCAAAAAAAAATTGAGACTCAAAAAAAGAAAAAAAATTTTAAAAAGAGGGGGGGTCAACGGCTCATTGCGCCGAAATTAACCTACTTTGGGAAATGACTGACAAAAAATATTCCCATCTCACAACTATCTTCGTCCATTTGGATTCATGCTTTTTTTTTTTCTGCTCAGCCCTTCTGATCATACTCAAAAAAAAAAAAAAAAAAAAAAAATTAAATAATGCATCTAATATATTGATAAAAAAAAAACATGTCTTTTTATTGAATAAAAACAGAAAAAAAAAAAAGTTAAACTAAATGATATCTATTTGTTGAGAACAATACCGTCAAACTATATCATCAATTAAAAAAAAAAATGATATATGTTAGTTTTTCTAAATTATTTTATATAAAAAAAAAAATACTTACGCGAGACTTGAACCATTCAATGGATTCAGACTTCTTGATCTTATGGTTAACACCAACGGAAGCTTGAGCACGCTTACGACGAGCAACACGGAAACCAGGACGACCCATGACAACATAATAATCCATACCATAAATACCAATAGAAGGATCATACTTGATACCCAAATCGATATGTTCATCAATACCGAAACCAAAGTTACCAGTAGCAGAGAAGTTACGGTCGCGTAATTCGTATTCCTTAACCTTCAAACCACGTTCCAAAATTTCTTCAGCCTTAGGACCACGAACAGTAACGTGAACAGAGATCTTTTCGTTACGACGGATACCAAAAGTACGCACAGTGTAGCGAGCCTTGGAGTACACAGGAGTTTGACCAGTCAATTGTTCGAGCACCTTGGCAGCACGGGTCAAACGATCACCAGATTCACCAACTGAAATGTTGAGAACAAGCTTTTCGATGTTGAGGGCCTTCATAGGATTGGCCTTGACCTTTTGTTCTTCGGCGCTCTATAACATGTATTCAAAAAGTAAAAAAAAAAAAAAAAGTCAAATGAATACAATAATATATTTATTATATATATACATGCCCAGTCTATAATGATATTCCATCCCTTTTTTTTTTATTATCCTAATGAATTTCCCCCCTCATTCAGAATAGAATGACAAAAGTGGAATGGAGATGTATCTCTATCCCACCCAATCATTCATTCGTTCATTCATTCATCCATCCATCCATCCATCCATTATCATCCATATATATTTATATATATCCATTTGCATTCATCCGTCCATACTATCCTTGTTCTTTTTTTTTTTTTTTCGTTGCGTACCATTATATGACGATATCGAAGCTGAAAAGAGAAAGAACGAAATCTGATACCCCGCTCTTCCCTTTTTTTTTCTTCTTTGTGAGTGTATGCGGCTCGAAAAAGGAAGTACCTTAAGCTGAGACTGAAATCCGCTACAGCGAAGAATAATACATGATTCCAGTTCTTTCAATCTATAGTAACAAAAAAAAAAAAAAAAAAAAAGAACTACTACAACTATTAGTGAACTATGTATTTACGGACAAATAAGAGAAACCCATCTTTACTAACTATTGTTAGTAATATACACATCTTCAATCAATATCAGTAAAATCGCCATCCACCACAGCTTCACAATCTCTATCTGTCTATCATCATCATCATCCATCATCATCATCATTTCCATCATCATCATCATTTCCATCATCATCATCATTTCCATCATCATCATCATTTCCATCATCATCATCATTTCCATCATCATCATCATTTCCATCATCATCATCATTTCCATCATCATCATCATTTCCATCATCATCATCCATCGTCATCATCGTCATCCATCATCATCATCATCATCATCTCGACAAATGTTTGTTCATACGTGCAGCTACAGTATTTTTGCTCTGTCTTTGTTACTGAACTTTGACCATTATTCGGTTTGATCATTGTTCGGTTCCATTTTTCCATAAGTACGATCCTTTATTCATATCATCAAATCATGTTAACTAAAACTAGCTAATATCTACTATTCATCTTTGTCTATCGAAACCAACGGATAAACTGTTCATAACTATGTAAAGGAAAAAAAAAATTCAGATCATAAAAGAAGTGCTGATACACTATAAAAAAAATGTGAGACTTGATTTGATTTTCTTTTTGTTAAACTTTCATTCCTATTGAGATTTATTTTCGTTTTTGCTATAGATAAAGACGAGAGAAAAAAAAGCTTGCGTTAGAAAAGGATAAGTAAGTGTCCAAGTAACTGATGGTTCATTGCAAACGATATTTAAAAGAAAGAAAAGAAGAAAAATCAATAAACTCATGCCGTCGGAAACGGCTTTTGTAAATAAATGCGTTTTTCATTGGCTCATTTTGGTTGCCTAATTGAGCAAAAAAAAAAGGTGTCAACAGCATCAAATAGATGACATGTTTGTATACTGTATCAAAGCAATCCAAGTTTTTTTTTTCTTAAAAAAAAAAGATACAGTTGAATGATTTTATTGGATAGTATACGTGATCATTCAAAAAATGAGAACATTTTCAGAGAATAGATCCCTTCACAACAAAAAGATATTCAAATCAGGATGAAGCAAAAATAATATAAAAGAGTACCATTTAAGAAATGGGAAATGGGTGATGTGATTTTCTTGTAATGGTAAACAATAAACGATGATCGATTGCTATAACAATTCATACTGTTTAGTGATTCGAGTTACGAAATATTAATCATTGATAAGGATATTGGAGATGACGAAGGCAATGATGATTTTGATAGAAAAATCATGAATGTTCTTTATTAAAATAGAATACGACAAAAACTATGTAGAATGTAACTAATAAGACAAATATTAATTACCAATAAAAAGTATATAACAGGTTGTGGCAGAGAAGCCAATCAGAAGAGATCATCCAAAAGATATTCGAATAATTGATTTGCCTTTGTTGTTCAATCATATATATATATATACCCTGTTCTAAACCCTTTTATCCGTATAGTTTGCTCTTCCTCTAATCGCTACTTCCATTTATATTACCCAACCATCCGATTGCTATCATTGTCCACATTTCAAATTTGATTCAGTCGTACATTCTTCCATTCAGGTGACCCAGCTGTAAATCTATATTCGATTTTATTATCCATCTACTCGATTGATTTTATCGTATCGACTTCTAGTTCTATTCCATCACGTAAATCAATATATATATATAAACAAAAGATCACCGATATAGATTAGTCCAGAGTGGGAGAGTAAAAAAAAAAAAATAAAATAAAAGTAAAAGGTGAAGTAATAACTTACCAAAAAAAAAAAAAAGATAATATGATATCATGCCGTTTCATTATGAATCTTGAGTTACCACCAGCTAAGAGAGGAAGAATAACCAACCAAAAGAAATCTATGAAAACTTGTATTTTAACATAATCATCTTGCATTTGCTATCGAGTGACATCCTATCGTACTTACTAAAACGAACCATACAGCAGAAACAAATACGATACTTTGGCCTTATCATTCTTTTAATATTAGGAGGGATCTTGAAAGAAGAAGAAAAACATTGTAAACAAAAAAAAAAAAAAAAGAACATTAGTATCGTCGTTCAATTCATCAGTTTGATTTCTCTTGTTATCACTTACCATACTGGGCTCTTGAAGTTGGATACTTTGATGATGCTTTGGTGATAATAGTTGATTGATTATGGAGTCGATTGATGACAAAGTTTACTGATGATAATGATGGTGAAGTGATTATAGGTGATATTGGATCACAACGCTGGATAATATAAAGAATAAAAGAAGAAGAAGAGGGTTAGTTCAAAGTAAATATGATCGCCTTTTATCAATTCATTATTTTGACTGTATTGAGCATTCGTTTTCATACTTCCTTGCCATCCTTCTCCATAATCACACAATATTTTCAACTTTATTATTTTCTGCCTTTGTAAATTCGTCTAACATTGTCGAAGATAAAACAATATATTGGAAAGAAAAAGTGAAGATTGCAATAAATTAGATCATATTATTTCGCGTTTTCCTATTATTCCATCTTTGGTCCAGTATTATCATAGATGTTTCCTTTTTTTCTTTTTCGTATTTTACCAAGTTAGTATAAATTCAATTACCTGCCAAGTGGATTTTCTGTATTGCATTTTTTTTCTTTTTTTTTTTTTTTTATAAGAAAAAGAAGAAGAAGAAGAAAAAAAAAAAAAAAAAAAGAAAAAAAAAGTGTCCCTTTTTCCACACAATCATCTCGGCCCATCTAAAATACCCATCCAATCAAAGCAAAGCGGTAATTCAAACCGATTATTCCTGCAAGGATGAAAAAAAAAAAAAAACGACCCATAGAAACCAAAGATTATTTTCTTTTCTTATCAACCCTAACAGATCATCACAAACTAACTACATCATAAAAAAGAAAATAAATAAAAAAAAAAAAGAATAACATGCGTAAAAGAGGGATCAGCCGGGATTTGAACCCGGGGTCTCGTTCACCCGAAAAACGCGTGTTACCAGCTTCACCACTGATCCCAAAAATTTGTTGTTTATGAGACACCATCTTCATAAAGTGAATCGTCGGTGTTTAAACACAAAACCCTCCTTTTTCTCTTGATTGGCTTAATTAACTATACTTTGGACCTATAGATGAAACGAGTGTAAAAAAAAGATATATCGTTAGGTGATATTTGAATGAAGTGATGATTAGTATTTGTAGAGATATATCACTTTCTTTATAGATTTTGAGTTGTAAATTTGACGGTCCGATCGGTCCGTATTTAACCGATAAGATGATGATCTAGTATAGATAGAAATTAAATGAGAACAGGTGCTCTCTTAATAAATAAAAGGGACAGTAGCCAACAATAAAGAATTACCAAAAAAAAAAAAAAAAAAAAAAAAAAAAGAGGATGTTTTTATTTTTGTATTCGTATAAAATAGTAAAAAAAAAAAAAAGTATCAGTAAGAATAAGAAAGGAAAAAGTATTGATGTCGTATCAGCGTATTCCGTACCTATAATATAAGTGTATAATAAAAAATAAAAAGAATGCATTCATACATACGTAATACATCGTGTAGATGGAAATGACCCCGTTGACATGTAATAAAAATAGTTGTAATAAAATAAAAACTTTATTGAATAAAAAATGTGTAAAGTAACGACTACACTAATGTATATAATAAAACCATAAAAAAAAAAGTCAATGGAAAAGAAAAGAAAAGAAAAATGAAAAAATAAAAAATAAAAAATAAAAAAGGGGACTTCGAAATTTATTCTGCTCTTAACCTAAATTCACCCCTGAGTAAAGAACTCTAATTTAATGAATGAAGAATGTCGATACGTTTACCATATAATAATCATCAAAGGAATTAATTATGAATATCGTTCAATAGTAATCAGATATACCAACAAAGAGCATACATGGTATTTAATACATATGATGATTACATGATGATTATAATTTTATCTTAAAAACAGATATAAAAGAGACATAAATTTTTCAAGTGTAGATACAATAATCAACTTTATCTTTTTTATTTTAAATAAAAACTAAGAAGAATCTCACTGACTTATCATTAGTCTTATACTTTTTATTTTACTTTATTTTATCTACACACAATTCAACAATTGATAATAAAAGTAGCATAGAATAAAAAAAAAAAAAAAAAAAAAAAAAAAAAAAAAAAAAAGAGGGAAAGAAAAGGCAAATGATTAAAAAAAAAAAATGGGAGATGGTTTGCATTTTTTATTTTATTTATTTGCGTGACAGGGAAATCATACAGTATGTAAAGACTAAAGGGATATGATATATAAATAAACAAGTAAAAATCAAATATGAATGGATAGATACTATAAACAAATAATACTATAAAATGATAATAAATAATAGCTAGTAATCTTCGCTGTAACCAATTCTTGTGAGTTTATCGCAACTTTGAGTGGGCCAACTAAGAGCTTCTTGATATCGTTTTTCATCCCTTCCAATACCAAATACACCACTAGCTGATCTAATTTTTGCTGATCGTTCCTTGCGTTCTGCTTGACAAGAGTGTTGTAATCCACGTACCCAATCCATCGTCACTTGTTGTTCGACACGTGAAAGTTTGTACTTGTTTTGTTCAGTGGAGCGAAAAGTTTTTGGGTTGACATAATAAGGAATGTTGTGAGTTTCTGTGATGCGTGGTTGAGAGTAAATGGATGTTGGTTGAAAAGAGAACATTGGAGTATTGTCTGTCATCAATCCAGAAATGACAGAGTAACCAAATAAGATAAGTAATGGTAACAATTGTAACAGAATAGCCCATCGAGAATGACTGCCTTCACCTTGTCTTTGTTGCTGTGCTTGTGGAGGGGCGCGACGTCCAGCACCGGCTCCAGTATGGAATGTATGTGTTCTAAATCCAGGTCCTACAAAAGTGGCACTGCTGAATCCAGGAAATCCACCATTGAATCCACCACCCATCATACCACTACCACCACCACCACCAAAGAACATGTTGAATAGATCTTCAGGAGATATATCTTCGCCACCAAAGCCAGGATGTTGATATGATCGGAATCCACTAAAACCTGCTGCACCTGCATTTCCACGTTGTTCTGGATCCCCACCACCAGCATCATGAATAACACGTTTTTGTGGATCAGATAGTACTGTAAATGCCTTTGAGATCACTATAAACATGAGTGTATAAGAGAATAATCATTTTTAGTGAATTCTTTTTTTTTTTTTGATTGTTACAACCCAAGACTTACGTTTAAAAGCTTCATCAGCACCTGGAGCACTATTTTTATCAGGATGGAATTGTAAAGCGAGCTAATGATTATAAAAAAAAAAAAAAAAAAAGAAAAAGAAAAAGAAAAAGAAGACTGAGTATTCAAAGGCCCACTTTTTATTTTCAAACAAGAGCAACTTTTTTTTTTAATTTTATTTTACCTTTCGATATGATTTTTTGATTTCCACTTCAGTACATTTTTTATCCAATGATAATACTTTGTAATAATCAGTACCACATGCCAGGATAGCTTTGACAGCCTTGATCTGTTCAGGAGTATATTTCTTTTCATTGTTTGCAGAAGTATCATTTGTTGTTGTTGTTTTGGTTGTTTGTGAATTAGAAGAGGATTTACCGTTTGGATGTTCTGCCAAAGCCTTTTCTGCTTTTTCCAAGAAACGAGTAGCATCATCAGTAGGGAAGAGGGAAAGTGACTTTTTGGTAAGTTTCACTGCAGAAGAAAAGTTTCCATTTCCAAAGTGGTTTTTCGCAATCAATAGACATCGGTTGGCTTCATCTTTGTTGGTAGCTGACATTGTGTATGAAAACCAGTCGAGATGATGGGAAAAGGATAATCAATGAAAATATGAGGGAAAAGAAGGAAGGGGGAATAAGGTACGGAAGTAAGAGAGAGAAAGAAAGAAAAAAAAAAAAAAAAAAAAAAAAAGAAAGAAAGAAAGAAAGAAAAAAAATAAAGGAAGTGGAAAAGGGTAACTTTCGGCCCTTTTTCAAATTCTTGATTTTTATTGGTCATACACAGTCTCCGATGTATCAACAATCAAATATCATCGAAGAAAAAAAAAAAACATAAAAAGCTTATATGTATTTCATGTTTTTTTTTATTTATTTACATAAACTAATAATCTAAGTGAGAAATAAGGGGATTGTTTTGCAAGATCAAAGAAAGAAAAAAAAAAGTAATAGTAAAATGTGATAAAAAAAAAAAAAAGATAATGAAAATAATGAGACTTCAAATAATGCTAAAATAAAACAAATAAAATGGGGATTCTATACTAAGAATTTTTATTTCTACTTGTTTCGGACGTATCGACCAACAACCACAGCATGATCTCTTTCATAAGGTTCCAAAGTCAATTGTTCTTGAGGCTTGACACGTTCTTCTTGAAGTTTCTTGACTTCACGAGCAAACACAGTAGCAGCATCCACAGTTGAATCGATACAAGAAGCCTTAATAGAGATAACAATATGACCATTGTTCTTCAAGAAGTGATGAGCATTGAGAGCTATATAAAAAAATAAATATATTAATGAATATTCCTTCTCAAAACATCAATAGTTGATGAAAACTTACTGATAATACGAGCTTGATCAGGTTGGGCAACATCAGCAAAGATAACATCCACCATAGGAACAAGCATACGATATTTGTGAGGGTGACGAGCATCTTCAATAATAGGTACAACATTAGTACGTTTCTTGGCCATATTGATCAAATCACGACCGGAACGATGAGAGAATTCAACACCATAAACAGCACCAGTAGGACCAACCACATCAGCAACATGGGAGACGGAAGTACCGGAAGCAGCACCCAAATATAAAACCTTCTTTCCAGGAGCAATATGTAAATGATCAATACCACCCAAAACAGCAGCAGCAATCTTGGAACGGAAAGGATTCCATACACGATATTCAATCTTGGTGTTTTCAGGACCATCCACAGAAATACGTTTTTCACCATATACAGATTCACCAGGAACCAAGTTCTTGGTTACCAACAAATCTTCCTTTCCGCGGGCAATGAAGATACCTTCATGACGATGAGGTTCGATGATAACTTTGGATCCACCAGCAGCACCTCCACGAGCGCCTCCACGGCCACCACGAGCACCACCGCGACCTCCACGGGCACCACCACGGCCGCCTATTCATATACATAAAAATAAAAAAAAAAATAAAAATAAAAATAAATAAATCTATATGTCCATCTTTTTTTTTTCTTATTCTTTTATTATATTACCACGAGCACCACCTCGGCCACCACGATCACCGCCGAAACCACCTCGACCGCCACCTAAATCAATAATATATAGATATATATAAAAAAAGAAGTGAAAAGATTTGGTTATTGAGTTTATCTACGTTATTGAGTTTATATTTGTTATACGATATATATATCCGAGTTACTTACCACGGCCACCTCGGCTACCACCACGACCACCACGATCGCCACCGAATCCACCTCTGCCGCCGCCTAATTAAATCATAAAAAAAAAAAAAAAAAAAAAAAAAAGGTATGATCAATAAAAGTCGACTTTGTGTTTATCAATGTTGTTACATTACCTCGTCCACCTAAAGAAAAAGAGTAAAAAAAAAAAAAAAAGAAAGAAAGAAAGAATATAGATTAGTGATGGTTTTGTTTGATATCTTTGTTTCAATGGTAGCAAGTATGAAAAGATCGATGATACAATGTCAACAAAAGAAAAAGATATTTGCTTTCCATTAGTTTGATATTAGACATACCACGGCCGCCACCACGAGAAGCACCACCACGTCCACCACGTCCTTCAAAAGCCATCGTTTATGTATATAAAAAGAAAAAAGGAAAAAAGAAAAAGGGGGATTGGAGGAAATAAAAAAAAAAAAAAAGGTAAAGCAAGAAGAAGAAAGGGAAAAGAAAAAAAAAAAAAAAAAAAAAGGTCGTCAAAGCTTGTGAGATTCAAAAAAAAAAAAAAAGTTTTCTATCATTGGCAGTGGCTTATCTTTTAACGAGACAAAAAAGGAAAAGGAGTATCTTTTTATTTCATGCGTTTATAATATAATATATATATATATAATAAAAATACATCACTAAAAATAAAAAAGAACTAAAATATCATAAAATCTAATTCAAACTAGGTACTTGATAGATTTGAGTAGAATTACAATTTGGAGCAACTAAACCATCAAATTGATTAAAAATCCATAATGTCACACCATTGGTCCAACCAAATCCAACTTGAACAGCATCTAAAAATAAAATAAAATAAAAAAAAAAAAATAATGAATAAGTATAATATGATATATATAATATATATAAACTTACATTCACCACCAAAACCAGAAGCTGTCAAAGAGCGTACATCAAATTTTTCAAACATATGACCACTATCAGTTGTATTGGATAATTGTTGAAGTTCACCAGGTACACTTCCTCCAGTAAGATACCAAGAACAAAAGGCAGAAGCAGCAGCACGTTCAGCAAGTACCTTGGCCAAAGGAGTATATCTTGTTTTTTTCAAAAGTTTGTCCACATTAATCATAGCATTCATAGCGATATATTGAAGAGGAGGCCAACCATTTGGAAAATCCCATTGCATAGTGGTGTTATGAGTGGTTGTAGTTAAGATACCAGGGTATTTGACCAAAAGTTCTCGAGTAGCATCAAATACATGTTGTAAAGAGGAGGATTCTTGAGCACGAGCAGGAAGAGCACCCAACCAGAAAGGATAAAGAGAAGCAGGTGAATAATCTGGAATTTGAGCTTTACTAGTGAGATTGTAATCAAAGAAAGAAGACTTATCATGATTCCATAGAAGAGCATCCATAGCTTCGAGACGTTGAGTTGCTTGCTTTTCATAAAAAGAGACTTTACGTTTGCGATTTTTTGCTGTCAAGTCAGTACCATGTTCTTCAAACCAATTGGCCAAAGTAGATTCCATACTCCATAACAAAGCATTCAATTCAACAGGAATAACATTACGTGTATCGAGACTACGTAAAATATCAGTGCCTGGTACGTATTCTTTTTCTTTTGTCCATCTTGATGTATAGTCCCAACCAGTTTCAGCACCAGTAGCCAAATCAGAAAATAAGTCAGTTTGTTGTTTCAAGGTAAAATTGGTACCATTATATACAGTGTTATAATCTTCATAGTAAGATTCAGGTCTTGGTGAAGGATTTTCTACATTATAACGATTGAGTTTGTATTTTTGGTCACCTTGTCGAATAGTCACTGTTGTATTCTTTTGCCAAAAAGTATATTCCTTGTCCAATACTGGAAGTGTTCTTTTCAAAAAATCAACATCTTTTGTCTTTTGATAATATAGTTTCACCATTTCAACCAAAAAAGGAGGTTGAGATCTATTCAAGTAATATATACGAGCACCATTGGCTTTTTGAGAAAAAAAGAAAGAAAGGTGAGAAAAAAAAAAAAAAAAAAAAAAAAAAGACTTACGCATAAATCCATAGGTATCGACAAAATCCAAAAAATTTTCAATCATATCCAAAGCAAGAGAATTTAAACCACTTTGTAATAAACCTTCAATAACAAAATAACTATCCCAATAATAAAATTCACGGAATCGACCACCAGGTACCACAAAAGGACGTTTCACTGGTAATGTACTAGAGACACAACCTTGACAAAGATGAGAAGTATCAAATTCAAAAGTAAGACTTGACCAAGCATGATGTAAACTATTTATCCAACCACGATAAATTAAATCATCCACTTTATCCAACCATTCTAAAGGATGTATAGTAATATTATGAGGTTTCATTTCACTTCCTTCTTTTGCAAAATTGGTTTCTACAAATGATTGAATGCTTGTTTTATCTGGATTTTGTCCCAATGCATGAAAAGCTTCTAAAACTTGATCTACTGGTTTGGATGTTGGCTGAGTAATAATAATAATAATGACAGGTTAGTTTATTTTTTTTTTGTAGATCATGATGTAGTTTATTTACCATATCCACAAATGTTTTAGAATCATTAAAAAGTTTAGCCAATTGAACAGTTTTCAGGAGTGGACCTTCACAGTAAATGGGGGAATTACAAGTAAGAGGTGTAAAATCATCGGCATGGTTCAGGTCAACTGCATATACCAATAATATCAAAAGAAGAAAAAAAGAGAATACCGCCATCTGTGCACTCAAAAGTAAATAATGAATGTACGTTTGATCGGAAAGATATTCAAAACAAAAGTCAAAAAACAGAAAAGAAAAAGAAAAAGAAAAAGAAAAAAGGCGCGGTCCGATCTATGCTCTTTTATATAGAAAAAACCGGAGACCATCCAAAAAAAGAAGATCGAGAAAAAAAAAGGTTCAAGTAGATATTATCCTCCCTTTTTTTTTTTAAGTCAAACCCAATAGCAAATCAGAATCATCCAAATGAATTTGTGTCATCAAGCCCAAATAGTAGACTCATTAGCATAATTCATTACATTTTATTTGTTCTCAATCAAAGTAGTTTTCCCGCTTCATCCCGTACCTTTTTTTATATTCATATTCCCACATGATCTGGTAAAAAAAAAAAAACATTTTGTACGACCTTACTCAACATATACACATGCAAAAAAACTACTACACATTTGTATCGGAGAAATTCAATTAACAGGAACACAACTGTTTCCCCACAAAAAGTTTTATTTCAATAATGACAATAAATAAGATCATCTAACTATTGAATGCATTAAATTTAATTTAAATACAAGTTTTTTTTTTTTATTTTATAATACATCTTTCAAAGAAGCATTTGCTGATCCACGTTTCTTGGGTAAAGGGGTTGTTTCTGAAGGTTTCCAGCCAATCTATCAGAACGAATCATTGTTAATTTTTTATTTTTTTCTACTCCGATGGTACCCCCACCCGATCCCATACATATTTGATCTCTTACCATATATATAATTTGGAAAGTAGCAGGAATAGTACCGTCTTCATTGCCGTGAAGTTCTTGATATATAAAAGAAGAGAATCAGAAAAAAAAAGATTTGTTTAAGCCAAAGTCATGTTTTCTATTGAACAGTTACCTTTGTAAATGGAAGCAGCTGCTAAAAGAGTATCTCGTTTTAGTAAAGATCGTCTAACCAAACATTCAGTCAAAGGGAAAAAAAAAAAGAAATGTGAGAAGATCAGATTTCGATCATATCATACGGAAAAACGTCATTTTTTTTTTTTTTTTACCTGCTGAGTACCGCATTACTTTCACCCATTGCACGAAGATCTTCCATTAATTCAAATGCTGAAGGATAACTAACTTGAATTTCATCTATATCTACTGTTGTCAAAGTAAATCCAGCACGAGATAATAATCGAGATACATCACTAGAATCTAACAAAAAAAAAAAAAAAAAAAAGGAAGAATAAACGTCATAGTTAAGCTGAGGTTTCAGTTAATCTTTTTTTTTTTTTCACTTTACCCGTCATAGGAGAAACTCTAGGTGATATCCCACTTTCCCGTTCAACCTCCGCTAGCTGTAAAGATGTCCTAAATGGTAAGGAAAATCTCGGTAAATCATACAAAAGGAATAGTGTCCCGGTTTTTTTTTTTTTTTCTTACCGTAATTCAAAAAGTGTATCTCCACCAAACATGGCTCCGATGAATACACCATCTGGTTTCAAAGACTGACGTATTTGAATCAAGGTCCCTACGGAAAAACAACAATAGATTGACATCAGAATCGTTCCACTTTTCTTTAACCTTTTTCTTACCTGGTAGATCATTCACCCAATTCAATGATAGACTACTAACCACAGCTTCCAAAGAGTTTTCTTCAAATGGTAAGTATTCTTCATCCACCACTTTTCTTTCCACCTCCACTGATAAATTATTTTTTTCAAAAAAAAAAAAAGATAGATGAATATACTATCATTAGTTTGTTAATTACTTTTTTTTTTTTTTTGCCGTTTTACCTTCATAATCCTTATCCGCATCTCGATACAATGATTTTTCTAGATAAAAAAAAAAAAAAAAAAAAAAAAAAAAAAAAAAAAAAAAAAGAGTAAAAAAAATCAAACATTGTCAATAATTTGCATCAAATGTATCTCAAAAAAACCAGTAGTTTGGTCCCATTTTTTTTTTTTTTTTACCTGACATGTCACACATAACAAGTTTATTTAACATATCTGAATCAACGTGTTTGATAATATGGCCACACCCTGAACCCAAATCAACCACAGTACCAAATTCGCGTTTGATATCCTACAATAATAATTCAATGTTACGTAAATGGTCAAATCACTTTATTTATTATTCTTCATATTCATACATACCAATAAACGATCCGAGACACGAGCTGCTACTTCATCCTTAAGATAATCCACCACGCGACTCTGTTCTATGTTGGAAGCTGCTCGATCCTTTTGTTTCCTTTTTGCTTGTCGATCAAAGATTTGGAAGGCACTTGGAGATATTGATGAGTAATAACATTGTCGTCGTGATGAGGATAAAATAAACTGCTTATGTTGTGAAAACAACCGTTGACATAATGTTGACATGGTTTAATATATATGTATATTGAAGGTCAGAGAAGTCTATCAAAAAAAGAAAAAAATTGTGAAAAGAAAACAAAAAAAAAAAAAACAAAAAGAATCCATTCCAAACCCAGCTTAAACCTTATTTGTTAATGAAGTCATTTTTCATTTCTGCCCCTGATGATCACCACTTGTAATTTGTAATGATGATTGTTTTTGTGATGAAGTAGGACGGTACGAATGGATGATAAATGATATGACATGATAATATGACAGGTTAATAATAAGGTGGCAACAAAAACAGTGATAAAATACAGTTTTATTTAAATGAAAGTAAAGGTATTGATAAAATAATTTCCATAATAAGGGTTGGATAAGAGTAATATTCCGGATGGCATGGGTGGCAAATTTCATATTCGATTGAATCTGTTTCAAGTTTTGATCCATAAATTGTTTCCTTTTGTCAGTACATTTCTTGAATAACGTTGATTGTTACCAAAGGATGGTCGAGATAAAAACATCAGCTGCCAAGTTCAGTTTGCCCGTGAGGTAGATGGGTGAGCATGATGTAGATGGAATCCAGTATAAGCTTTGAAGCACCAAGACTAACGCAATCAATAACTTCTTCCATGACCAGTAAAAAGTAATCAAGTCAAAATAGAAAGGTAACCAAAGGAAAAAGTAGCGAAAAAAAGAGAAGAGGTTTGTCCATTTCCAATAGCCAATAGAGTCGATTAAAGTAAAACTTGTGATAATCCAGATTCAGATATTCGCATGTTCCTTGTCAAATGCTGAGAAACTGATAAATTGAGTAAACAAATTTCTGATCGAGTACCATTTTTTTGATCACAGGGAGTAACTGCGGGAAATCACCATTTGATCGTACACACACACCAAAAGAGATCATGAATAGTAAAGATTTACTAATACCACCAAGTTCATTCACAATAACTGATCCTTCCATTCTTCATTTTTTAATAAAATGATAATGACAATAATAATAGTCAATATACTATTGTTAGCTACATAAAGTCTTCGTTATATCGTAACTTGCTTTGATCACAACCAATAATTCTACCATCAGTTCAGGATCAAACTGAGCCATACAGATACCAACTTTATTGTAAATAGTGACCATCATTGACTTTATTTAATAGAATTTCGATATACAAGCGTATTCTTGTAAACAAAATGGACCAAATCTTCTTTTTGCTGACATTGATAGATAAAAGAACGAAGGTAAACGCGAGTAATATAAACAAGACATCATTTTTGACTGAACTAAGCGAGACATTAGTGTGATTCAAAACATTTTGATGATTACAAGTTGAGAATTGAAATAATTGGGAAGATAATGAGAAAAAAGAAAGAAAGAAGAGTGAAAATGGCTTTTTTTTTTTTTGACAGTCGTGATTTCAAATTGGTAGCAAGTTAAATTATTTTCTAAGCAGCATTTTTTTTTTTTTTATTATTGATTCTTTTTCTCTTTTTTTTTTTTATTCTTGTTTTTTATTATATCCTAATCGAAATGTCTGACAGCCAGGATCAGAATAGTACTGATACTGAATCTCGTTCTATGGAACAACCTGAAACTGTTAATGATACCTCTTCTACTACTAATGATCAACACAATGAATCTGGTCTATCCGCCGAGGTTATGCTTTCTGCTGTCAATTCAAAAGATATGGTAGAATCCCTTAAAGGCCGTATTATTGCAACGAACAAATTACTTAAACATCTTCAAACAGCTAAATCAGGCAAGTCAATTTAGGTAAATGATATACTTTTATTTAACTTTTTTTTTATTTTTATTTTATATAGAAAGCGATGCAGAAAAACTAAAGATCGATACTCTCACTAAACAATTGAACGCACGAGTGGCCGAAGTAACTTCATTACAACATAAACTTCAGTTGGAAAAGACGACAAATCAACAACTCTCCGAGAAACTGGCTCAAAGCTCTGGTACTACTACGGTCAACTCACAACTACAAGCCATGCAGCAAAACTTGAAACAACTGACGGAACAAAAGGAAAAATCTGATAGCCTATTATCAAGTCGAGAAGTAATAATGAATAGAGAGTTAAATGACATGAAATAACTCACTTGATATTTAATTTTCTTTTCCTTGCTATATATGATTAGATGTATATCAAGCAATTGGAAGCTCAATTAGACTCTCTGGAATCAAAACTGAAATCTCAAACTAATATCGATCACAAAAAAAGGTAATAAGATGATTTAGATCAAGAATGTTTACTTATCAAAGTACTATGTATGGTTTGTTTAGGGACAATGATGATATGTTGGATAAAAAGAATAAACAAATTAAAGATCTACAACAACAACTAAACAAGGCTCAAAAATTGCACGAAGCGGCTGAGGATGATAAAATGGAAATGAATATCAATAATGAAATGTTGAAGCGTGACTATGAGGAAGTCAAGGAACAAGTAGAACGACTGGAGCGGCAGATACAACAGCAACAACAAGAACAAGATCAAATGACGACCAGCAACAACCGTGCAGTACCATTTGATAAATATGAAGATGTACGACAAAAACTGCAACAGAGCTATACCCGTATCGATCATTTGACAACTCAAGTTGAACGGTAATTAAGAAAATCGAGCACAGATACAAGTTGTCTAAATAGTAACATTTTGGATTTTTTTTTTTTTTTTTTAAAAAAAAAAATAATAGTCTGGAACAATCAAACCAAATAGCGTGTTTACCTTCAAGAGGAAAGCAAGATTATGAAGGTCTTGTTACAGAATTCAAAAAATGTCTTGCTGAAATCGAAACTATGAAAAAGGAAAAGGTAAGAATCGAAAATATGAAAACAATAATTAGGAAAATGGGAATCTGAATTTTTCTTTCTTTTTTTTTTGAATGATTTATAGCGTGTATTACAGGATAAATTGACTGAACAGTTGGTGATCAATGAAGATATCAACCACTCAAGAAGGAAATCGATGCTGGTAAGTGAGAAGAGAATATATATATATATATATATATGTATCATATTAATTTGTAATTTTGATTTATTCGTTGTAGTCTTATTATGGCATTGATATGACAACACCGACATCGGAAACACAACATGATGATACAATTCATATGGATACAGTATTCGAAGAAATAGATTCCTCATCACGATTACCAACAACAACAACGATAACAACAGCAGCACGTGATAATATGCCTCTCGAAAGACATACTTCACGGCATCGATTACTTCACAATCAATCTTTATCACCTGTCAAAACTAGTCTTGGTAAACGTCCAGCAGAAAGTGAATCACGCATCACATATGGTACCAATGGACTTGTTGTTCCTGAATCACGACTGGATCGCAGCACTCAACAATCAACTACTCGGAAAACAAAGATGACAAAATTGGAGAAACTTGTAGGAGCAAGACGACCTGCGACATTTGGCACCTCACCAACAACTAGTAAACAAAAATCAGAACCTGAATCTGTCAAAACACTTCGAAAACGACGGATTTTCTCTGATTCTTCTTCAACATCATCATCATCTTCTTCTTCTTCAGGGGAATCAGATTCAGATTTGGATGTCTTGGATGGACTTCCCAGTGGAACAACAGCGAAACCAAAGTCTTCTTCAACAGCAACTACCAAGCAACATAAAAATCCTGTGGAATGTGAGTATTGTTATTTTTTTTTTTTTATGGACGATAGGTCTACTCTTATTGATTCACTTGACAATTAATATTTATTAACCTTATCCTTCTTTAGTCATGAAATTACGTGCTGATCATTTGGCGAAGAGAATACCAACTCACACCTTCAAGTTATTAGATGATATGGAAGAGTTTATGGATGTTCATTTGGATATCTTCTTGGCGACATTGGAAACTATTTATAAAGGCTTGAAAAGTCATGGAATTCCATTGAACAAACTTGACGGAAAACAACAACACGAAGAGGTCAGCAGTCGTTACGGTGTATCTGGAAGGATAGAATTACAACATTGTCCAAAGTATATGGATACTAGAGAAAAGAATATTGCATGGGCATTGTGGGCATTGGTATCACTGTATCCAAAGGTAAGAGGAAAAAAATACAAGTCAGAAAGCAAATCTATTATTTATTTATATTTGACACTGTCTTTTTTTATATATATATAAAAAAAAAATTAGAATGATCCTTATTCAAAAGTGACTACATGGGCAACCGAAAATGCATTGAAATTAATCTCAAAACCAAATTTGGCCTGGTAAAAAAAAAAAAAAAAAAAAAAAAAAAAAAAAAAAAAAACACTTGACGTTTCACACTCACTCATTCATGTTGTGTATAGTCGATATATTCGTTTGTTGGTATTACTTTGTATAAATGCTCAAGATCGTCAAAGGATGGCTGTGTTTTGTTATGATCTTGCACGCTGGGCTCCTGGAAATATCAATATCATGACTCCATTGGTGAATATTGCATTGTTATGGCCTGAGATTCTGGATTTGGGTGATGGGACAGAAAATGCTGCTGGAACACATATGATGATCAAGGCCATTCAACGATCTTGTGCTGCTTACTGTAATCAATATAAAACGCCAGATGCTGTAAGTAGACAAAAAAAAAAAAAATAAGAAGAAACTTGAAAGGAATAATTTATTCCATTATATTATTTTAATTTTTTTTTTATAGCTCAAGGCGATGAACAACTATCTGAATCCTCTTGTACACTGGCCTCTGCCAAAACAATCACAATCATTGGAAGATTATATTAAGGAATTGAAGGCAGTACTTTCATTACCTCATTTCAAGCAATTGTATGGTGCAAATCGGGATGCATTTAATGATCTACGCATCAACTTGGTCAAATCATTTGAATTAGTCTATCATCGACTGGATGATTGGAAAGCGACATATAATGAATTTATATTGAAAGATTTATGGCAATTAATGAACGATGACATTCTTGCTGATACTAGTTTGGAATTAATGGGTAAGTAAAGGGAAAAATAAATAAAAAAAAACATGGATGGACCGATGAATAATGAACTTTCTTTTTTTCTTCTTCTTTATATAGGATTATTGGCTAGAACTGGTTTGGATAAGGAATCAAGTAAAGAAGACATTGCAACTCTACGTCAAACATTCAAAAGTATCTTGGAGGTTGGAAATAATTGTATTGTTGGTAAGAGATCAAAAAAAAAGAAAAGAAAACAAGAAGGATTTTGCAATTGATCTATTTTTTTTATTTTATAGAGGAATTCCCTTTGCAACTGACAGCGGTCAAATGTATGTTTCTTATATCCGAGGACAATGTGGACAACCTGGTACCTATAGTTGAATGGTATGATAAACTCAAACCTTTACTCAAGGATAAAATAACTTTGGATATCGTAGATAGCATTAATAGTATACGACGCATTTCGAAATAAAAAAAAAAAAGCGGATGTTGAAATGTTTTATACATTTATCATTTCTACTGAATAAAACGTGTTTTTTTCATTTTTTTTTTTTCTTTAATGTACATTTTTAAAATGAAATGGAAATAGCCACCAAAAAGTATGTCTTTTGAAGTATTATAAATCTTGTTATACTTAACTCTTTTTTTTTCGTTGTATGACTACAGAATAGGATGTATTGATTATGTTACTGATCAAAAAGATGAGGATGATATCAGGATCTATGTAGAAGAAGTAAAATACAAGAATGAATGAAACCAACTAATATCTTTTTGTTTTTTTGTTCACTTACTCAATCAGTTTATATTATTATATTGTTTATAGTGGTTGCATTCTCCTTATGGTTATTATGTGTGGCCTTCAGCGATTGTACTCAGTAAGTATGTTTGGCATCATAGACATCAATTCAAGAACAAAACTATTCTGGAAGTAGGTTCACTTTTTTTTTTAATTTTTATTTTTGTACATTTTTGGTACTAACTTTTTTTTTTTTTATTTTTATAATTTGATATCTAGGTGGGTGCAGGTATTTTGAAAAAAGTAACAGAATTCATGATATGAATGACATACCAAATCACTTTTCTATTATTTTCTTAATAGGTACCTCTGTTCCTTCGTTGGTATTAACAAAGATCAAGCAAGCTCCTCATTTATTGATCACTGATTTACCTTCCATTACTCCTGTAGCCACTGGTTGTTTAGCTTTGAATGGGATTGATTTAGATCAAAACGGCTGTTTTATATCGTCCTCTTTATCACTCATGGTCCGTCCTTTACAATGGGGTCAGCTTGCATCAGATAATAATAGTGATGGTGTGGATAGTTTATTGGACGAGATGATGACCCATTGGCCTCATAGAAAAGTGGATTACATTCTTGGAAGTGACACATTTTATGATCCTCAAGGTAAAAAAAAAAAAAAAAAAAAAAAAAAAAAAAAAAAAAAAAAAAAAAAAAAAAAAAAAAAGAAAGATTTGAATGAAGGTAGAATTTTAACATCAATTCCTTTTTTTGGTGACCTTAGAATTTGAATCTTTGTTGATGACCGTGGCTTATATTATTCATCGACACAATCCCCATTGCAAGTTCATCACCGCGTATCAAGAACGAAGCTCAAAACGAAGTATTCAATACTTGTTGGACAAATGGTCTTTACAGTGTCGGTTGATCCCAAGACAAGATATCGATGATGATGGTGATGATAATAGTGATGATGATGGTGATGATAATAGTGATGATGATGATGATGATGATGCTGGTAATTCATATAACGGCATTGACAACAACAACAACAACAACAACAACAATAACAACAATAACAATAGCTATGATGATATCGACGATAATGATGACAATGAAAATGAGAAAGATATTCCTCACATCAATATCCACACTAGCACTATGGCAAGCGTCTTCTTATTGGAAATATCGGCAAAACCGGGTGACACACTTTGATTGATTCCAAACAAGGCAGAGATATATTGTAGAAATAATTATAGAATTTAAAAATAATAAAATATTATCTAGTTGTTTACTTGTTTTTTTTTACTTTACCAGATTGTTTGATTCTTGATCATTCTTTTTCCTAAATCATTTGTAACCTTCTTATCCCCTATTGAGACAATGTGAATCCTATATATATAGATGAGCCATGAATGATTCTGAATGAATGATACATATATACTTTGTTTTATTGAAACGAGGAAGATGAATGATGTCATTGTGCTTTTTCGAAAGAAAAAAGGAAACGGAAGATCCCGAATAATATGCATATTATGACCTATTCTCATCATATTCTCTCATGATGATGATGATTACTTTTTGGTTGCCGTGATCAACATAAAAAAACCAAGTTTTTTAAAAGTTGAATTTTTAATGATTCAAATCAAAATAATACAAGCATCACCATCATGAATCAAATTGTCCCCAACTGTCATTCCTAGCACATCACTGATATAGTGATATTCCGAGAAAACGGAGATGTGTTAAATCATTGCATACTCTACGAATTTCTTTTGTTTAAAAAAAAAAAAAAAAAAAGGACAGTTCCCATTTAGGTAATTGGTAACCATCAACCGAGAGACCGGAATTAGCTATACAATCATGATTCTAGTTCAAATCGTCTAGTTTGTTAGTCCTATAATCATTAGAAAGATCTAACCGATAAAGCTATGTACTAGTGATAGAGAAGAGAGAGAGAGAGAGAACATTTTTTTTTTTTTTTTTTTTTTTGTATCCAGCGGGATTTTGACCAATCAAAGCGAGTATAAGCTATTGATGGAGAAGATTAGATTCCCTACACTTCAGTATTGAAAAAAAAAATTATATTTTCATTTTGATTACTTGATCAATTCCCAATAATTTCATAATCATCATCTAATGATTATGATGATGATGATGATAATGTTGTTGTTGTCAATGATATTTACCACTGATTCCATATACTATGACCTTTTTTTTTAATGTTAATGCGGGGTCATTATCTTATCAATATGTCAAAAAAAAAAAGATAACCAATTCTCTGGATTTACCCGCGGAGGTGACAACTATTTGTTTTTGACTGGATAAAAGGGTTCCGAAAGTCTCGTTGGTCCGGATTTTGAAGAAAAACAAGGAGTTGTAAAAGTGACTCATTCAACTTGGTTATAAAGCAAACTGCATTTTCCATTTGCTGCCCTTCTTCACCCTTATTTCTAATAAAATGGTTGAATCTATCATTAAGACTTATGCTATGATACGCAGTGAAATCACTGAATGGTCGTTATTCGTTTCAAAGGTAGGACTTGTCATACAATAAAAATCATTAGGATCGTCATCCATTATATAAATCATCATACGAATTTATAATGCAAATCATCATGCAAATCATCATATAAATCATCATACAAATCATCATATAAATCATCATACAAATCACCATCATTATCCAAATCATCATCATATAAATCATCATCATTATCATTCATCATGTGATTCTCTGACTTTCCTATTATAGAATGAATGGGCTGCAAAAGAATTAGAAAAACAACAATCATCCAAAGCAGATATCCTCCCCGAACATTGTGTAGCTATTTATTATGTTGTGAATTTAGATGAAAAGGTAATTGATTAGATTTGTTGGTGAATGATGATTGATTCCTTCTTTTTTTTTTTTTTTATGATAGATCATTGTTGATAAGTTATATATTACCACTTGGGATGTCAAATACAAAGAAGCTTTCAAAGATCTGAATTTGAAATGGGTATCTAGTCTTTTCAAAGTAGAACCATCTGATATATATCAATTAGAACAACCTGAAGAAAGTATTCTAGCACATGGAGGAGAAATCATCTTTTTATTAGGACGAGATCATAAAGTGGCAGGCACAGTGGCGATGGTCATTCATGAAGGAGAATGTGAATTGGCCAAGATGACGGTGGCTGATCATCATCAAGGGAAAGGATATGCTCATCCTTTGATGAACGAGGGCATTTCATGGGCACGAAATAAAGGCCACGCTAGTATCAAACTCTATTCAAATGTCTCCTTGGTCAAAGCTATCAAACTCTATGAAAAACATGGCTTTGTCACTATTCATCTAGGAAAACATCCTAGTTACGAACGTTGTAGTATCATTATGGAACGCAAGTTTTAGATAAACATTTTTTTTCCCCTTCGATTCAAATAGACTGCTCCGTTATATATATATCAACCTTTTTTTTTTTTTTGAAAAAAAAAAGATAATAAATCATAATAATAATATTAATCAAAAAATAAATAAAATACGCTTTTTATTCTACAGATTCAACTAACTAAAATAATTTGAATTCATGTCCAAGGATAGTCACAGGATCACTATAAAGAAAAGATATCATTAGAATTATGGATGATCCAATTTTTCTTTTTTTCTTTTCACTGCTTACAAAGCACGGATAGTTTGTTCCTTGTCCAAATCGATAATAGCATCAATATCTTCTTGGTCCATCTTAAAGTACACCAGGTTAGATTCGATTCGACTTTTATTCGTGGATTTAGGAATCACTATGAATATAAAGAAAGTAAAGGATCGTTAAAGAAAAAAAAAACAGGGGCATGAACAGTGATTTGTCATCTCTGTTGTACTACTTTACCTGCATAACCACGATTGAGACCAAAGTTCAAAAGTACTTGACCTGGTTCTTTCTTGTACTTTTCTGCGAGTTTCAGAATCTATTATAAATACAATAATTAGTAAGTCATCTACGTCTATTTTTCTTTTCTTTTCTTTCTTTTTTTTTTTTTTTTTTTACCAAAGGTTGAGATAGCAATTCGATCTTTGCACCAAATTTGCCTATCATCCCTGGATTACCAAGAGGAGCATATCTATTGTTATGATAGAGAATGAGTTGAACTGTTTCATCATGATGAATGTATTCACTTACCCAGTAAGAACGATTCCTTTCTCTTTGCTATATTCCACCAAATCAGATTGGGCCAAATAAGGATCTACATTATCATCAATATCGTTAATCACATCATTTATTTATATGTCTTTATTTTTTTTTATATACAAGACTTACGTAATTCAACTTGATTTACGGCAGGAGGAATAGTAGCTTTAGAAAGTAAATCTTCCAACAACGGAATAGTGAAATTAGAAACACCAATTGATCTCACTAAACCTTTTTCCACTAGCTTTTCCATAGCGCGCCAAGTATCAATAATAGGTACGTCAATACGATGTGCTTTTTGTCGTTCTTCACGTGTCGTTTTATCTAAAAAGTCAAACCCACGGAATTCCGTTGCAAATGGCCAATGAATCAAGTAAAGGTCAACATAGTCCGTACCAAGATTCTTCAAAGAAAGTTCCAAAGCTGTTTGCACATGTTCAGGTCGATGGAATGATTCTGTCAATTTAGTGGTAATAAAGATATCTTCACGAGGAATTCCACTTTCTTTAATGGCTTTTCCAACCGCGTCTTCTGTTCTATCTACATATCAAAAAAATTAAAAAAAATTAAGTGCCATAGCAATATTTTTTTTTTATTGACCAAGAACTTACAAACAAAGGCTGTATCGATATGACGATAACCTGCTTTCAAAGCAAACTTTGTACCTTCATAAACTTGTTGAGGAGCATCTACTCCACCAAAAGTACCATAACCAATAAGAGGGAAAGAATAACCACTGTTTAACTATTTGAATATTGGGAAGAAAGTAAAGGACATTAATGATAAACTATTATTTTCAAAGAAAGGAAGAGAAAATGCTTTTTTTTATTTACCTTAACTGATGGAATGTTTGCCATTTTATATGATATATTTAAAACTTGAGAACAAAAAAAAAAAAAAAAGAAAAAGAAAAGAAAAGAAAAGAAAATGAAATTTAAGCACCAGAACCCACGCTATTAAATTTCTCTGACATGGATTTTTGAACTAATCCTGCAGAATGTCCCCTCCGCAAAAGCCCAATCGGGTTTTTGTATGACTGACAGTTCTTACTAATTCAAAAAAAAAAAAAAAAAAAAACAAAAAAAAACGATAAGAGGATTTTATTCTTAGGAATGACGCGTCAAGTTCTATAAGAAGAAAGTGGTACGTTTGATTAATAATATTATTAAATATTTCGATATACGAATTTACTATTTCATCATTACTAGGTCAAATTGCCTTTTTTTATTCCTTACATACTCTCACTATAGAACTAAGGGTCTGGTGATAGCTAGATATGATATCAAGTTTTAATGAATCATATATCAAAAAAAAAAAAAAAATAATACAATATTGTGATTTTTTTTTTCAATTTGCTTTACTCATTCATGAATATATTCAAAGAAAAAAAGTGATTGGTTTTTTGTTTACATTGAACAAGGTAATAAAATTAGATTATCATGTATGTAGCATTATCATTAAAGTCTTCAACAATAATCAAATATATAACAAATAGAATCAACTTTATCATCTATCATTATTCTTCATATCATTATGATCTCCTTCTTCCTCTTTCTCAAGTATCTAATTTTAATCATTCATCATACTCTATGTTAAGTATCAACATCAAAGATAAGCAGATTTTGTTCTCTTGACAGTCGATTTAAATCCCCGCTGACATATTTTTTTTTTTTCTGTTCTCCTTGTTGTACGTTCCCTTTTCTTTTTTTTTTTTTTTTTTTTCTTCATGACTACACCAGCATTGATTACGGCAGAAAAAGTAATTGTTCAAGTTTCTCCTTTGGAATGTACTATCAGCAAGGAAAACCATTTACGAAAAGGTTTACCTGACTACGAAGCCTATATACGGAGACGTCTTCCTGATCATACGGTAAGAGAATACCAACCTCTTCTCTCTTTTTTTTTTTTTTTTATTTTTTCATTATCCAACATTGGGTTCATATTTCTTTTTGTTATTCTATTCTCTATAATACGATTAACAACAAAAAGATCTCACAAGGACAAGTTATACAATGGGAGTTAGGTGGACGCTGGATCAATGTGACTATACGCGACATTATGATAGATACATCACAGATCATACCTACGGGACAGGATCAGCATTATAGATTAGAGCGGAAGACAACAATTATCGAAATAGAAAGAAGTTCTCCTTTATCATCGGATCTTACTATGAATATGCAAGACGAAACACTGGAAAGTCTATTAGATATGATTTGTAAGTACTTGTAAGGCCTTAAGAGAAGTTTCTCATTTTCACTTATTTCTATAGTAAGTGGATTCGATTATGCTACTTCGTTTCGTCAACTTGGTATTCCTGTAGCAAAATCTATCCTTCTTCATGGTGTATCGGGTGTAGGCAAATGGACAATGATCAAGTAAGTTTTCTTTTTTTTTTTTATTACTTTTATCTAGAGAAGAGCCTGTCATTGTGGACAATAATATAAAATAATAGATTTATTCATTCTTGATTTGATAGACATGCCAGTCATAGATTAGAATGCAACTTGTTTGAAGTATCGATTCAACAATTGTTAGAATTAAAGGATGAACGGGACCTGGATGCTTTCAAGAATTATAATCCTCTTCATTTGATGGTCAACAAGGCTATCGCTGGAACACCATCTATATTGGCTATACGTGATCTGGATATGATTGGCAAAGGTGATAAAAAAAATAATAATAATGTGACCATCATTAAGGACTGAATATTGATATCCTTTTTATGTTTATTTTACACAGGAAATGATAAACTTATCGATATATTGATCAATGAAATCAATCGGATTCCTGATACTGAAAAGGTGAATACGATATGTAGAAAATAAGTGCAACCTCCAACATCTACATTGTTATTTAACTTTTTTTTTTCTTTCTATGGCTAGGTCTGCATGATTGGTCTCGCACGGCAACTACAAAAATTACCTCTTTCATTACAAAAGGTCGACGTATTCAAACAACATCTTACAATCTCTATTCCTACGATGTAAGTCCAAGTAAAAAAAAAAAAAAAGTCGAATCTTATATCAACCATATTGATCTACTTTTACTGTGACTAGGGCTCGACGGAAACAGTTATTGAAAACGATGTTACTCGATATGAATCTTGATACCAACCAAGAATCGTCGGATGTTATAGACTATTACTCAACACAGATAAGTTTGGTAAGTAAATGAATAATCTATGATAGTTTTCATTTATTTGTCTTTTAGAGAACCTCAGGTTATGTAGCACGGGATTTGAAAATGATCTGTCGACAAGCAGGACTCAAATCAAGGCGACGGCAACATGATACTGAAATGGAAGAAGATATCATCAAGGGATTGACAAATTTGAATTTGGATGGAAAGAAGCAACAAAGGTAAGCATAGTATCGTTCCATAGCTAGTTGTTACTGACTCTTTTTTTTTTTAATATTGTAATAGATTGGTTAATTGGTCTGATTTTGAGTATGCACTCGAAAACCATCGACCTTCCCAACAAGTTGAAGTGGAATCAACAATAATAAAAAGAAGCTGGGATGATATTGGAGGGTAAAAACGCAAATGATAAAAAAAAAAATACACATATATATATCCTATTGACACTTTTATATATTAGATATGGCAAGATCAAGCAGCGGATCCGACAAACTACTTTGATACCTTTATTACAACCTGATTTATTCAAACGATTAGGCATTTCTCCACCTTCTGGTGTTCTGTTGTACGGTCCTTCAGGTAAGACAACACATATTTCTTTTCCCCTTTTTTTTTCCATTCTGACATTTTAATCACCCCATTTGTGAATTTTTTTTAGGTTGCGGGAAAACTTTAATGGTACAAGCCTTGGCATCAGAATCAATGATGAATGTCATTTCTATCAATGGGTAAAAAAAAAAAATAATAATAAATAAATAAAGAATGTTTGTGTAAGACTGAATGGAACGAAATGAATATATTATTTATTTACTAGACCGGAGATCTTTTCAAAATACCTTGGTGACACTGAAAACAAGATACGACGACTTTTTGCAACAGCTAAAAGGATTGCTCCCTGTCTGATGTTTATTGATGAAATGGATGCTATAGCTACACGTCGAGGTAAAAATGAAAAAGAATCATTCAACTATATAACCTTTTTTATTATTTTAGGATGGGATAGCGGTGGTGATAGTAGTGGAGGAGTGAATGAACGTGTACTTAGCACTCTTTTAAATGAAATGGATGGTGTGGAAGGACGACAAGGAGTGATCGTGATTGGCTGTACAAATAGACCACAAGAAATAGATGATGCTATCTTAAGACCAGGTAAGTGGAAGAATCCAAATAGAAGGAACGCATTGAACTGATGATCTTTTTTTTTTTTTTTCTAAAAAAAAATGTATAGGTCGTTTGGATCAATTACTTTATGTGACTATGCCAACTGTGGATGATAGAAAGGACATCATTACAACATTAATGCGACATATCAAAGTGGATGATGATATGGATCCTATGGACTTGGCAGAAAAGACATCTTATTGTACTGGTGCAGATCTTGCTTATCTATTCCGGTAATATATATATATATATATATAGAGTCATTGTATATTTACATTTCCTTATTTGTCTTGATTTTCTATAGTGAGGCAGGGACTGTGGCACTTCGTGAAAATATAGATACAGCTATTATTGGCAAACGACATGTGAATCAAGTATTGCCAATTATTTGTCATCGGGCAAAACAACTTGTTGACGATGGAAGTTTGGATTGTTATGAAAAATTTTATAATGATCATAGTGTGTAGCATAGTATTACTATTATTATTATTATTCCTTGTATCATATTTATATTCCTAGATTGTTATTATTAATAAATGAAAATAGACTATTTGAAGTATAATTGTATTTTTATTGATGGATCGAAACAAAAATAGAAAATCAATGTGAAATATGGATATTATGTACAAAAGAAAATATATAGATATATAGTGCATGTGTGTATTGAAGAGAGTAAGGATATAAAGTAATATAAAAAAAAAAATAAAAAAAAAGCAACTAAACTAAATGGCTAAAACAGGAGCAAGAGTAGTGGGCCTTTGAGAGGTGGAAGAGACAGAAGAGGAGGTAGGGTGATCCTGTTGTTGTTGAATGATTTGAAGTCGTTTTCGTTCCTGACGTTGATCAATAAGTAACTTGACACGTTGATGATTTCGTTCCATTGCTTGTCGTAAAAAATCACCTGCCGTCAAAGGTTCAATATACTTGGAGCGTCCTTGGATGATAGCGGATTTATTGGCTTGAGTAAAGTAGGCAATTGTGTAACGAGAAGATAGGTCGTTTATGGGTCGATTAACACGATGAAAATTGCTTCTCAAAAGGTCATCACTCCAACGCATCAACATATCACCAATGTTGCAAACAAGTTCGTTCTTTTGAGGACAAAGAGGGAGCCAGTGGGTGCCTTGGACAAACTGTGTCACGTCGGTACGTCCTTGACATGCTTCCAAACAATCATGACCAGGATTGTTTTGAAATAAAAGAGTGAGTGTGTCAGGATCAGTATGTGGTCCTGCGCGATAATAATCATTCACATCTTCAGCATCTACAACTGGCCATTGAATACCTTGATGTGGATCAAACATGGTGTTGGTCAAGTCGAAATAATGATGGAATCGAAGTGAGTTGAGACAATCAGGTTGTGAAATATCATGAGAACGAGTAAAAAAATCTTGAGGAAATCCTAAACCAAGAGCAAAGCATTCGAGTAATTGTTGAGACACCTTATTACATTGTTGCATAAACCGTTGGACTTTTGATTGAAAATCAGGAATATCTTGTTCACTAGGCCAAAGATCAGGAATATGATGAAATGCAAGTTGCATAGATTCTTTCAAGTCAGGTAAACCAGTTTGAGGTCGAAGCTATTCATATCAATAATAATAATAATAATAATAATAATAAGATGAAAGGAAGGAAGGAATCAAGTCGGACTTTTTCATACTTGAGCGAAATTCTCATAACCAGCATTTCGAGGGACATCCAAAGGGTATTTTGTTTTTGTAGATTCTGGTAAATCAAAGAAATCTTGACTTATTTTAAACATATGTTGAATTTGATCTTCATCAATACCATGATTAATCACTACATATATAAATAAATATCAAAAATAAATAAATAAATAAATTTTATTTTATTTACCATAAAAAAAGCCTTGTTCTGTAGATGCCTTCATAATATCCTGAATAATATCATTTTTTCTTTGTTCAAAATGGATTAAATCTATCGTCATAAAATTGCGTTTATTCATATTATAAAAATAAAAAAAAAAAAGAAAAAGAACAAAAAAAAAAAAAAAAATATACATATAAAATGATCTCATATTTATATTTATAGGAAGCCGGAGATCCAATGAAAATTATACCTAACCTTTTTTTTTTTTTTTTTTTTTTTGATGCAAAAAAAGGGATGAGTATAATGAATTTAGAGTTACAGACTTCAAATCCAAAATTTGACCAATCATAGTTAAATCCTATTGTCGCTTAGTTGTCCCCTTTTCCAACTTTCAAGTCAAAGAAAAAGAAGGATTAACCTTACTTTCCCTTTGTGACATCATACGCAACAATTATACTGTTCATATTCTCCGAGTTAACCTTTTTTTCTTTTTTTTTCTCCTCTTTCCTATTTTCCCTTGTCAATCAATCAATCACTATAAGGCATCATGGTATCGACTTGGCGGTGACTGAAAAAGTAAGCCACGTCTTCCCACTTAAAATAAGAAAGAAAAAAAAAAACAACTGATCACTACTACTTTCTTGCCCTTTTCTTCCCCCGATCCTTTTTTTTTTTTTTTTTTATTTCAACTACCATATTCCAGCCATGGCTCAACTTTGTTTGGACCAATTGCTTTCCAATAGAAAGACTTCTTCCTTAATTCTTATTAATGACTCTATTCGATTCTCAGCTTTACCTTTACTTTATGAATTCTCTCAACGAGCTCTTGATACTGATCAACAAATCATTACTCTTTTGACAGAAACCTCACCTACTGCCTGGCTTCAAACATTCAACAATAATAAAAACAAAATTCATATCATTGATGCTTTCTCAGATCCTTTAGGTTGGGAACTTGATAGTCCTATTATATACGAAAAAGATACTCAAGGTGGTGGTTCCCTTGTACGATTGACACGTCTTCCTGACTTTGAACGTCATGTTCTACCACTTTTGATGGACTGGATTAAAAAAGCACCTGCTACATTGATTATGGTCGATTCTTTGACTCCTTTGACTCGAATCTCTAGTCATCGTACATATCAATTTGTCAAGGCTTTGGAATCCCTCACAACAGGTAAGAAAAAAAATTACTTTTTTTTTTTTTTAAAAAAAGAATGACATTCTTAACTTTATATATTATTATTATTCATATATTAGAAACAATACGAGCAGTGGTGGGTTATCATGCGGATATACGACCAATGATAGATAATAAAACAATGATTCATCAATTACCGCCTTTATCTGACTCTTTGAATCGATTAGCATCAGTGGTGATGACATTGGAACAATTGAAAGCACCTACAGCTCAAACAGAAACTCAAGCACGATTGACAGGATTCGTTGCTCAAGATACCTTTTCTTATCTTCATACCACATCCAACCAAGTGACTCGTGGTGGGGTGGCTAAAATAGAATGGCGTCGTAAAAGTGGCAAGGTGATTTATGAAACCAATGGATTCCTTTTGGACAATGGACGACTTGTCGTGGTACCTGCTTCTCAATTGGGTGTTCAAGAACAAGATGAAAATGAAGAAAGTGATGATGATGAGAAGAACAACAAAACCGATACTCCTGATCCTACCGCCAATTTATCCTTCAACTTATCTCTGACGGATGAACAACGCAAAACAAAGGAGAATTTAGTACTTCCTTATCTTAAGGCTCAACAAGTTGAAATTGATGGTTCTACTTCTTCTTCTACTTCTTCCTCCGGTGGTGCTATTTATTATGAACCAGATGCCGCGGATGATTTTGATGACGAAGACCCTGATGATGATTTGGATATTTAGATAGATGGGGTTGTTTAATATATATATAGTTGTTGTTGCTGTTTTTCTTTTTTTATATATATTTTGTACATATTTATATTATTAGTTTAATTGAATTCAATAAAGATCTTTTTAGATATCAAATTAACATTGTCGCTGAGGTTGAAACGCCCACAAAAGAAAAAAAAAAAAAGACAAAGAAAAAAAAAGAAACCGGTACTTTCTTTTTCTTATATTTTTTTTTTTTTTTTTTTTTTTTGTGGCTGCCCTCAAGGTAGATTATGCCACGGTCTTTTTATCGTCTTTCAAATCTATTACAAACAAGTATTCGAAGAACCAAACACACCATGTCTGAACAACAACAACGTAAACTCGAACTTATCCAGAACATTACTGATGTCAAGGCTGCCATGGCCACGGTACCACACCATCAAAAGGTAATGAAACATCTATTGACACTTTTTATTTTATTGACCGACTCTTTTTTTTTTTTATGGATCGTTTTTGAAGGCTCGGTTGGTGGCTGTTAGTAAATATAAACCTGCTGAAGATTTAATGCATGTCTATGAAACTGGTCATCGTCATTTTGGAGAAAACTATGTATGTACCGCAGTAATGGAACAAGAAAAAAAATTATACTCGAAATACACAGGCTGTGGATATGAATGACATGTTCAACTCATTACACTTTTTTTTTGCGAATTTATACTTTTATGTGCTTAGGTTCAAGAGCTTGTAGAAAAAAGTACAAAGGTAAAAGGATGTATAAGCTATATGAAGACAAGGTGAATAGTCAACGGTCAACCTCATTCATTTTTTTCTCCCCCTCTTTTGATAGCTTCCTAGTGATATTCAATGGCATTTTATTGGCCATTTACAAAGCAATAAGTGCAAGACGGTGGCAGGTACCATATATATATATATATAAATTTAAATTGAATAGTTAACTTTTTTTTTTTTTTTTTTTTTTTGCTATTTAGCCATTCCCAACTTATTTGCCGTGGAGACAGTAGATAGTATCAAAAAGGCAGATACATTGAACAAGGCATGTATATCATGTGAAAGAAAAGAACCTTTACGTGTATTTGTTCAAGTGAATACTAGTCGAGAAGAGGCCAAAAGTGGTGTAGATCCTGAATCGTGCACACAAGTTTGTCAACATATTCAAGCAAATTGCCCTCAATTGACATTACAAGGATTGATGACTATTGGTATGTTTGGGCGGGATCCCTCAGAAACCAACCCTGATTTTGAAGTAAGTGATATATTATAAGAGACCATTGATATCTTGTCATTGAATATATATATATATTTATAGTGTTTGGTGGATTGTAAAAAGAAGACTGAATCAATGATGCCGGGAACTGACTTGGAACTTAGTATGGGCATGTCTGGGGATTATCTTCAAGCACTAAAGGCAGGATCAACCAATATCCGGGTGGGAACTACTATTTTTGGTGCTAGACCTAAGAAATAGAATAGATCTTAGTTATTATATATAGATGATTTAAAATAATGATGATGATGATGTCGTTGAAATAATAAAATAATAATGTTGAAAGAAATGGTAGCAAAGATGATTATAGTATCTTGTTAATTGAATGATATATCGTTTGTCCGTTTTGCTCTACTTCTTTGTCTTTGACTCTCTATTGATTATAATTATCATTATAAAGTTTTTTTTTTTTTTTTTTTTGTCTCATACATTTACAGAGACATGATTCACTTTTTTTTTTTTTTTTTTGGTAACATTGGTAACGAACTTGATTCTATATGTCATGCCAGTATAGAGTTTTTTTTTTATAGTGTATAATTTTCTACTCACAGGGGAATATCAAGTGGAAGCGCCATTTTTCGATCTCAGTTTAGTCAGTTTGTTGTATATTTAGAATTTTGAACTTGTTTTTTTTCCCTTTTTTTTTTTTTTTTTTTTTTTTTACTTCATTGTCACAAAGTTTTTTTTTTTCGTCTTTAGTTTTATTTTCCTTGAATAACTATAAGATGGCCATTGATAATGATCAAGATTTACCTGATGAGTTATTGAAAAAACTGGAAGGTTTACAATTGGAACTAGAAGATGGTGATATTACACAAAAGGGGTACGAGAAGAAACGAGCAACTCTGTTGGAACAACATGCACAAAAGAAGAAAGAAGAAGAGGAGGCATTGTTAGCTTCTTTGGGACCTGAACCTAGTGCTGCTGATGTGGTTGACTTTTTGGATTATTTACCTTCACCTACTCACTCTCCTCCTCGACCTTCCCCTGGCGAACAAATGATGGAACAACATCACCAACAACAACAACAATCTAGTACTTCCTTGGCATCACATTCTACTATATCCACTAGTCGTACATCATCTATCACCAATAATAGTATCCATAATAGATATGTATCTCCTGATCCATATCAACAACAATCCATATCAGCAGCACCACCACAACAACAACAACATTGGCAACAACAACAACAACAACAACAACCTCTGGTAGGTTATGCGTCCGAAAATACCATGAATCCAGGTCAATACTATCCTGTCAATATGAACACGGGTTCGCCTCGACCAAGCCGAGGTTATGATCCTCGCATGATACGTCCTCAATATGCTCCACAACCTCAGTATTATCCATCATCATCATCATCACCATCATCAGCTCGCCCATTACCTTCAACACCTATGTATCAACGACCTATGCCACCTCCTGGATCAGTTTACCCTCAACAACAACCACGTCCAATGTATTCAAATCAACAAAGACCAATGTATCGTCCTGGAACTCCAATTATCAATGGTGGGATGCAGAGACCTCCTCCTCCTCCTCAAAGTGGTGGTAATAGTGGTGGTGCTTATTATCGACCTGGTCCTCCTCCTCAAGGTTATAATCTTCAAGGTCGATCTCCTACTTTGGATCAACGTATTCCCTATGGTTATAATGGTGGTGGTGTATCAAGATCATCTACTCAACATTCTGCTCCAGGAAGATATTCATCCTAGATTATTGGGTATTTTATAGTAGTTTAATAAATTAGTTATCAATTTTAGTTATAGAAAGGTGGATCATTATTATTCTTTTTTTTTTTTTTTTTGGTTTATTTGGAATCATTTTTTTTAAAAAAAATTTTATATACATTATAAACTATGCATTTTATTTCATTCTGTATTATTACTATTTTTTTTTATGTATAAAATGTGTTGATGTTTTTTTTTCTGAACAAAAAACAAATGGTATAAAAAAATAAAGTAGAATGACTTTTATAATTACTAGTTTTTCTCCATGTGAAGCGCGTTTTTTTTTTTTTCTGCTTTTGAGTAGAGATTCGTTTTGCATTGGGGTTTGCGGTGATTGTTTTTTTATATTACGGTTAATGATAGAGACTTTCTTATTCTTTATGATAGTCTTCTTAATGATCATAACTAAACCAAGATTTTAATCGTTCTCAACAACAAAACCTGTTCTCTTTTGCATTGTTCATCATCATCTTTTCCTGTTTAATAAATAAAAAACAATCATCATCATCCGATGACTGATAAAAAAAAAAGGAATTCACACCCCTTTTATTCCTAGCATCCCTACGAAAAAGAGCCAATTTATCGTAAGACCCTTTTACTCATGATTTCTCTTTTCTATCATCAATGAAAAACAATCATCATCATCCAAACGAAAAAAAAGAACGAATTCACCACCTCTTTTTATTCTTAGTATCCTCAACATACGATAAATGTCTGATTTCATGATACTCTCTTTTTTTTTCAAGTGGATGGCATAACCTATTTTTTTTTATTTTTATTTTCTATTTTCAAAGACTAAACTAGGATAAATAAAGGGAAACAATTCAATAATATCAAAAACAAAGTGTAATATGCGTGCATGAGTGTGATAGTATGTACGTATGTCTGTATGAATGTAGGATGTGTTTCTAACGAAATATATATATATATATGTATATAAAGTATGTGTTCGTGTAAAAAATAAGATAGAATATAAATTATCAAGTCTTTTTCCATTTGTCTGATAACCATTGGATATATGAAGGAGGAGTACCAGAAGCTGTCTTGTGCAAATCAGAGAGACCACCTGTAGCTAAACCAAATAAAGCGCCAAACACCATAGAATATCGAAAACTTCCCCTACTTAGTTTCGCTTTAACATCAAAAAAAAAAAAAAAAAAAAAAAGAGTTTAGTTATATTGAAAATGAACAGTTTTTTATTGTGATAAAAATGGACTTACTGATTGTAGAGAACATGGCACCAGTCGTAACACCAGCAGTAACCGAGTTGACAATATCAGCTTCACCACGAATATCATCCAAACCAGCTTCAACCATACCATATAATAAACATAATCCTCCAGTTTTGACAGCATAACGCATACCACGTTTGATCCCCCCAAGCATAACTCGATAATTCTTTGTCTTGTGATAAAAGTACCAGCCTTGTACTGTAGTAGGTAGTCGATGAGCATTTTCTGCCAGGTACTGAAGCCCTGATTGTCGTCCACCAATAAATGCACCAATACCAAAACCCCAAAAGGCACCAACAGATGTCATGACTAAAAGTCTTGGTTTGGTTGACAAACCCGCTCGACTGAGAGGATCATAAACTGTATTGTTGTTATCTACTAAAGTCTTTGTTTCATCAATGGGTGGTATAGTGGTAAAACGAGTTGGACCATTGGATGGTATAGGCAGCGTAGGTAATATGGTTGATCCTTCCGGTAACGGAGGGGCAAGGTCAATGGAGGGTTTATCTTCATTCATTGTCTGTGATATAAACTAAAAGAAAGAAAAAAAAATTATTTTGTTTCTTTTTTGTTCAATACGGACATTGAAATGGGTCACTCACACACAAAAAAAAAAAAAAAAAAAAAAGGAAAAAAAGCTGGAGGTATTTTTTGTTTTTTCTTTCTTGTATCCAACAAAAAAAATAAAATATAATGGCAACTACTACTACAGATTGGACTGTATTAGAAAAATTATTACTTGCTCAAGCTGTCAACAAATATGGTGAAGATAACTGGTTACAAGTGGCAAGAACTCTCAAACAACATCCATTATTACACGACCATGCAAAACCCGAAATATTCAACCAAAAGGTGTGAAATAGTACCAATTATACATAATTATACTAAAACTGACCGTTTGTTTATTAATAGAATTGCTCTCTACAATACTATCTTATGATTGATGATATGGAGTCTGAAAGGTAAACATAAATCCTTCTCTCTTTTGTTAACCATATATTGAACTCATATATATATATATATATATATATATATATCTGTATTATGTAGCCGACGACAGCCCAAGACAGCCGGATCCATTGTTGTTCAAGATATGCCAAAGGTAGTCAAATTAGCTCGTCAGCTCTACTTTCAACGGGTGGAAGAATTGAAGAAAAGTATCAAAGAAGACGAAGACAAGTTCATGGCTCTAGTATCAGAGATTGATGACATCAAATCAGGGGCATGGGATACCAAATTGGCACGTTTGGCTAATGAACAACAAATTCCTTCTTCCATTACAACAAATACTGAACCTACAACAGCGATTAATGGAGATCAACAAGCTACCCCAAAGCAAAAGGTCAATATCAACGAATCTACTACAACAATGGATACTGAAATGGTAGATGCAACTTCTAATATCACTACTACTACTACTACGGTTTCATCAAAAGACGAAACAACTGAGGATTCAAAAATTGGTTATGATAAGTTACAGTCGGAAAATGCATCAGCAGCAGCAGCAGCAGCAACAACAACAACAACAACAACAACAATGTCAACACCTCCAGAAAATGCATTTCCATCGGATACAACCACCACGAACACAACCAACGACGTCGACAACACCCTTGATACCACAATGAAAGACACTAACTCTCAAACATCTGATGAAAGCTACCAATCAGCAGTTGGAATGGAAGGCAAAATGATGGACAACACAACTACTACTACTATTTCACCTCCTGCAACATCAGATCAAGAACAGAAAGATAAAGTGGATCAACTTGAAAATACAACAATCGTGAATAAAGAACCTGAAACTGTGACAATTGATCAGAACACTAGTGAAATTCCTACTACTTCTCAGCAAGAAACAACTGCAGTATCTCCTATTACGAATCAAAAAATATCATCTCCTTCTGTTGACGAATCTCTCACTGCGGCATCATCATCTCTAGAACGTGGTACGAAACGATATCCTTCCAATCAGTCGGCTTTGGATGAATATCAAAATGACTCTTTAACAAAGCGACCTCGACTGGAGAAATCAGATATGGATGGTTTATCACCTACTTCCTTTACAAATACTCAAGAAACGACTGGTGATGTAGAAAAAGGTAATTCAAAAAATGAAAAGAAAATTTATATAATGAAAAAAAAAGAAGTCATTTGGTAACTAACACCGAATTTTTTATTATTCAGTTAATGTTGAAAGTCAAACAAAGGAAGAAAACAAAGAAACTATTCAAGTAGAATCAACCATTCCATTACAACCTACCGAAGTTGTGGCTCCAGTATCGGACACTATTATGCAACAAGAAGGAATATCAGATATACCAGGAATATCATCGGTTGATTCAACAATGATATCATCACCTGCATTAGCTACAGTAGGATCACCATCAACCACAGCAGCTAGTCCGAGCAACATCACATCATCACCAGGAGCTACACCGACAGGTGATAGTACTATTGTCATTCCAACTGGAGAAACCGGGCAACCTGAAAAGGCATTGGCAGTAGCAACAGCCAGTCAAGAACCAGATGGTACGGAAAGTGTGACGGAAAGTGAAGGCAATGCAGCAACACCTACGACAGAAAAGAAACGGGGTGGTGGATTTGTCAAGGATGATCAAAGACAAAAATCATGGCAAAAGAATGTCAATCTTCTCTGGCGTGAAATTGCAAATCATAAGAATGGAGCGATGTTTATGAATCCAATCAAGGAAGCTCAAGCCCCACTTTATTATGATGTTGTCAAGTATCCTATGGATTTGAAGACGATCAAGAATAGAATCCGTGATGGCGTAAGTTTTTTTTTTTTTTTTTTTTTTTGATTTATTTATTTATTTTATCTAATTTAACAGGTGATCCGGACTACGGTGGAATTTGAACGAGATGTGGTATTGATGCTTACCAATTCACTCATGTACAACAAGGAAGGTACTGAAATTTATCAAATGGCTTTGGAAATGTTACAAGATGTGACTGAACAGATCAAGATATTCAAGACAGCTGATGGTAATACTTCTACCCATACAAGAAGTGCATCATTATTGGCTAAGGATACACGAAAAAGTATAGCGGAGTAGAATTTTTTAGTATAGTCAACGCATTATTTGAAATAAACGCTTCTCCCTTTTTTTTTTTTTTTTCTTATCTTATTTTTCATTCCTTTCTTTTACATATGCCAACTTATGTTTATTTTCGTAAACAAAAATTAAAAAAATGTGTGTGCCTTACTAGATCAAAAGTCTAACACGTATTATTTATTTCTTATTATGCTATAGGAAGAATGTCTCACCTTTTTTACAAGCGACCCCACTTGATAGGTGAAAGTTTCAAAGGATATGATTGGAAATAGTGTAAGATGTTATTTCGTTGTGTGTGTAGTCCTTTTTTTAACTGACTATTTTTCCCCTTTCTTTCTTTTACTTTATCTCCTTCCAGTTTCTCTCTCTCTCTCTCTCTCTCTTTAGATCTTATCTCCCGTTTTCTGGTTTTACTTTTTTGGCGTATTTGATTGTGGAATTGATGCTTATTTCTCCGAATACAACATTCTCTTCACTTTTTTTTTTTTGGAATACTGCAACACTTCAGACTGATCAACGAGAATAAGTGGAAGTGAAAAAAAAAAAAGTATCCGACACTATATTACTTTTGTATTGACACACCATTCAAACATACAAACTACAACTCCATATTATCTCAGCATACCCTCCTTTTTTTTGGTATGGCAGACAGTAACTTGCAAGTATCAAGCAATGATGAAGGCTTTATCACCAAGAAGAGTAAAAATGACCCAACAGAAGAAAGGACATCATCATTACAACGCTCATTCAGTTTTCCCAGGGACAACAACACCAAAGTCACTAGTCGCAGGAAGGTATATTGGAAACAAATGGAAGGACTCAACCCACAATCCAATTGGAGAAAGATCAAACGATTCGCTCATCGAAAACCAGCCATCTCTCAGGACAACACTGAACAGACTCAAATGATGACTCAAGACGAACGGGATGGGACGATTGATCGTGCAGGTATAACCTTGATCCGAAGATGTGAATTCAATCAACTTCCGGCCATCCTTCTCGCCATGATGATCCAACGTGATGAAAAAGGTTTACCTAGGATTCCAGTGCTTCTCTCTATTGTCAAGGTCCAAGTAAACAGAATCAAAGATCTCAAAACGAGTGACAAGAAAATATCCCGGAAGTCACGGCAACTTCAATTGGTGGTTTCTTATGGTGGAATCCAATGGTCTATCTATCGTCGTTATTGGGATTTTGTCAAGCTTCATTATTCGTATTGTGGTTATGATCTTGCTCGCGCTCGTCGACCTGTGGGTTTACCTGTATTTCCAAATATGATTCTACATCGCTTTCCACGTCACCATCATGATCATTGGCAGAACAAATCAAAGGATCAATCTACATTTCAAAACGAGCAACAACAACAACAACAATCTTCTACGACACTATACCAAGAAGGGTCAATCAAAACGTCACAATGTCAAAACGAAACCATATCAACAGGAATATTGAATACTGACGATCAGTTTACCCATGACAATAGGCTTGCTGGAGACCATCTGGATGATCATAGTATTGTCGAAGCTTCAGTATCACACAATCTCCATAACGAAGAAGATCCACATTTGTTGACAAGTTTAGCATCATCATCATCATCATCGTCATCATCATCAGTAGCAATTTCTGTCACTGAGCATCATCACGACAGTCAACATTATTATCATAGCGATATTGAAAGTCTCCAATCAATAAAGGATGAAGAAAGGGAATACGATAAACTCTTGGAACAGTATATGATGCAACTCATCTCAGCCACTCTACATACTGGCAATAGCAACAGATTATGTAAATTTTTGGAAATATCAACACTTGGCATCTATCTCAACGCAACTCAACCCTATGGTTATCACGGAAAGGAAGGATACATGGTGATCGTTGGACGTACGGATAGAGAACCACGGCATTCAAGATGGAAGTTAGGATCTTCATGTTTTGGCACCGTTGCAAATCAAAATTCTTCAAACATTACAACATCTCATCTCAAAAATACTCCAAAGTGGTTTATTATCCGGGAAAACTACATGGTCTGTGTCAATCACCCTCGTGATGTAAGTGGATAGATGTATCAAAAAAAAAAAAAAAAAAAAAAAACTTGAAATACGAATGATTCATGATAACTAATTTTACTAAATATTTGATTGCTTTTTTATTTTTTTTGTCTTTTAAATAGATGGATTATTATGATGTCTTTTTATTTGAACCTGGATTCCAAATACAACGTGGTTATGTTCATCATTCCATCAACAAAATCAATCAATTGAAACTAGCAATTACCTCAGCAGCTAACTTATCCCTTGGTCATACAACATTGTGTATTCGAAACAATGCGGGTGAAATCTATCTTCGAGCAAAAAATGTGAGACAAGCCATACAGTTTGAACAGTCTTTGATGCGTGCATGTTCTCGATCCACTTGGTGCCTTCCACCTCAACGATTCAATAGTTTTGCTCCAATTCGTTCTCAATGTCCTACTACCTGGTTCGTTGATGGCAATGACTACTTTTGGCAGATCTCTATTGCTCTGGAAAATGCAAAACATTACATTTATATTCATGATTGGTGGTTGGTAAATATGTTATGTTGATATTAAAAAAAAAAGAATGATTATTAACAATACCTTTTCTTTCTCTCTTTCTCTCTCTCTCTCTATATATATGCCCATAGTCTCCTGAACTGGTAAGACGTATAAAACATAGGATTTGTTCTCTTTTTTCCTTTTTTTTTTTTATATATTCTTACTCATATATCTCTCCTTTTATTTGTAGTACCTTCGTCGACCTCCTTGTATAAATGAAGAATGGAGATTGGACAATGTATTGAAACGAAAAGCCGATCAAGGTGTCAAGATTTATATTATTGTGTATAAAGAAGTAAGTAGCAGGAAAAAAAAACAACCGATAGATGCCAATACATTGATTCTTCCTTTTTTTTTTTTTTTTTTTTTTGTATATCACAATGATAATAGATTGCAATGGCTTTACCTTTATTCTCTCACTATACCAAAAAGTATCTATTATCACTTTCAAGTAATATTTATGTCCAAAGACATCCTTCCAGAGCTCTTGATATATTCAGCAAACAAGATACACTTTTTTACGCACATCATGAAAAGATATGTTTGGTGGATGGAGTTGTGGCCTTTATTGGTGGACTTGATCTCTGCTTTGGAAGATATGATACTGATCAACATTTGGTGACGGATGACCCATCGAATCCCATCGACCAAACTTGGATAGGCAAGGATTATTCCAACCCAAGGATAGAAGATTTTCACAATTTGGACAAACCTTTTGAAGATAATATAGATCGAAAACGCCTTCCTCGAATGCCATGGCATGATATCTCTATACGTATTTGTGGTCAAGCCGCGAGGGATGTGGAACATCACTTTGTGCAAAGATGGAACTTTTTACGACGACGAAAATCAACTGCACCCAAGCGTGAAACACCTATGCTTCTTCCTTCTGCGGATTCTGTTCCGAATGATCCTGCTGGGATGGATGATGCTAGGATTGGATCTCAACATACATCAAAACAAACACAAGTACAAATCCTTCGTAGTGTATCCACTTGGAGTACTGGTATAGAAACAACAGAACATAGTATTATGGATGCCTATGTGGAATTGATTGGTGCATCCAAACATTTTATCTATATTGGTAAGCATTTAAAAAAAAAAAAAAAAAAAAGAGTAGACGCAATGAATTGATATTCTGACCATGGATTGTACAATGTGATTCTAGAAAATCAATTCTTTGTAACATCAACACGATGTGGTACGACGGTGATCGAAAACAAAATCGGGGATGCATTATATCAGCGGATTCTTCGAGCTCACAAAAACAAAGAAAGTTGGTGTGTGGTGATTATGATGCCTTTGGTACCTGAATTTCCTGGTACATTTGACCTTGCTGATGGAACAACGATTCGATTGATTATGAATTTACAATATTTTTCCATTGGTCGGGGCCCTGATTCTTTATTGGGAAGGTTGCGCGCTGCAGGGGTTCTTCATACATCAAATTATATCAAGTTTTATGGACTACGAAATTGGGGTGAATTGAACGGGTCTTATGTGACGGAACAAGTCTATATACATGCAAAGGTGAATGAAACAACTCCACAATGAGTTCCATTTATAGAATGTTTTAATTAACCTTATTTTTTTTTTTTTTTTTTTGTTAGACGATGATAGTAGATGATAAAACAGTAGTGATTGGATCAGCAAATATTAATGAACGTTCAATGCTTGGTATTCGAGATTCTGAAATCTGTGCCTGTATTCAAGATACTGAAATGATAGAATCAAGTTTTGGAGGACAAAAAGTCAAAGTGGGACGATTTGCTCATTCATTACGATTACGATTGATGGCGGAACATATGGGTCTTCCGATAGAAAATTGGGATGTGGATATGCTTTTAGCTAACCCAAACAAGGAAACAACAAAGAAACGCAAAACCTCACAAATATCGCTAGGGTCGAACACATTACCAAATTTAGATGCAGTATCATGTCATTTACAAACCACAGATCATTTGGAAGAACAACAACAACAAAATTCAATAGGTCAGACGACTGATCAGCAGCTGAAACATACAATAACAAAAAAGGATTTAACAAAGACAAAAAATCAAACGGATGATCCATTTACAACAACAACAACAAAACAAAGAGATGCAATGACTATGAATGAAGAATCATTAAAACTATACCAAGAATGGTCCTCTTGGGATACGGATACAGATAATAATGGAGATGGATTCAACCTCGTGCCTTTGGCTTTACCACTTTTGGTGTTATCTTCTGATCATACAAATGATCGGAAAACAGGGTCGGGTGGATCCCCGTTGCTCACTTTCAATAGTGATTACTATGGCAAGAATGCGATCCGATGGACCGAATGGAATGATGATGCATATTTATTTACAAGACTTCGTGATCCTTTATTGAGTCAACACCTGTGGCACACACGCGCTCGATGCAATACAGATTTATTTCGACGATGTTTTATGGTGATGCCTGACAACAATGTACGATCTTGGGAAACATACGATGCCTTCAATAAGCTTTCAAGACGATTATTGGCAAGAGAGGAAGACTTTGATATGTCAAAAGCAAGAACAACCGTCCAATCTTTAGAGGATAGCTTTGTCCTTCCTTTTATTCCATTCTTGTTGACGAAAATCAAAGGTCATCTGGTGGTATGGCCTACTCGATTTTTGGAAGATGAAGGAGATGATTTTTTATTTGCTATGGACAAGTTGGCACCTTTGGAAATCTTTGATTGAAAGTTTTTTTTTTTCTTTTTATTATATTGTTATTTTATTTTATTTTTTTCTTGTTATACATACACAGACATACATACATACTTATTTACATATGATGCAAAAACAAACTTTACTTTTGATGATATAATAAAACTTCTTTTTTTTTTAAAAAAAAAAAAAAAATACGCTTGATTGAATTTGAAATGGATATTTTTATTGATAGAAGAGTAAAAACACAAAAAGGATATTAATAATATGCGGGATGATGAAACAGGGAATGTCATCAATGGTAACAAATGAAGAAGACGCACGGTAGGGACAGTGATAAAAAAAAAAATACAGATAAAAACATTCATTCTGGCGTTTTTCATACAGAAACACATTGAATATAAAGGGTAGAAAAATCATAACATGGCATATCGAGACTGGATAAAATATAAACAAAACAAAGGGATCGTCAATGTATATATAAATAAAACGTATGTAAGGGAGATAAAAGAAGAATATAAAAAAAAAAAATAAACTTGGCGCCATAAACATCCAAACACATCATAAAAATAGTAATAATAATAAAAATAATAATAAAAATAATAAAAATAATAATAATAAAAAGAGGGATAAAAAAAAAAAGAGAATTAAAAGAACGGCATCATGTTCATGGGAGATTGAGAGGCAAAAGTGAGAGGTTGATGCTTGGAAGTATAATCACAGGTAGGCGATAAAGGTGAGGTAGGCGAAACTAACAAGGACGAATGAGGATATTGTTGATGTTGTTGAGATAATGTCACAGGCGTAGTAGGTGGATCCATTGTATTGACTTGCATCATATCATACCCCTCCATACGTATGTCATGTTGCTGGTCTTGTTGATGATGTTGGCGTTGTTGCTGAGCATAATAATCCAAATTAGAACTATTAGAAGTAGTCGAAGATGACGAATGAGAAGGCGAAGTCAAACCAATAACAGATGATTCATCTTTAAATAACTCTTCTGGTGAAGGATGAGTATACTGTTGTTGTTGTTGTTGTTGTTGTTGTTGTTGTTGTTGTTGTTGTTGTTGTTGTTGTTGTTGTTGTTGTTGTTGTTGTTGTTGTTGTTGTTGAGGATACCCATGATGATCCATATAAAAAGGTAAACCACAAGAAGAAGAAGAAGAAGAAGAATTGCTTGTTCCAGAAGTAGAGGTGGAGGAAGTAGAGGTTGTCAACACCGTATTTGCTGATGATGGAGCAGAGTGAGCTGATGATGATGACGTGGACAAAGTTGGTAAAGGATAAAATATCTCATCCGATAAAGCACTTGTAGGAGATGCAAGGATCGTACCATTGTTGTTGTTGTTGTTGTTGATGACTGATCCTTCGCTTATAGACAATGATGGTTGAACACAACAAGGAATCATATCAGATTGACATTGAGGTAGTGATGGTGATGATGAAGGAGATTGATACATGCCAGTAGATACAATCGAAGGCTTGTTTGTAAAAGACAAATCCGAAGGTTGAGAGGAAGGATAAGGACTTGTTTGATGCTGCATAGTGGCATAAGAAGAAGAAAACATATCCGCATGGCCATTGCGTCGGGTGATACAAAAAGGACAATGTCGAACAAAACGAGCAATCAACTCTTTTGGAATCCATGAGAATCGGCGTCGCACCTATATATGATATTTTTGATTAGAATATGTATAATAAAATAAAAAAAAACTATTTATAGATTACCAAAGTAGAAGTTTTGTCACGACCACCATGATGCGATTGACGATGAGCCCAGATAAGAATTTGATATATTTGTTCCCTCATAGCAACTGGTTTGTTGTCATGACATACTACCAATCGACCACTATGTGAGACCAACTGGAACATTTTCTTGACCCAAAAACGAAATTGTGCGGTAGAAACAGAAGTATTTTTCGGTTCTTGTAATACTTGAAGAATCAATTCATAACGCTGTCGATCAATCAAAGCTTTATCCCGTTTCTTGAATGAAAGATTATCCAAATAAGATTGTACAATTTCATCAAATCCTTGTTTGCTTGGATATTGATTGTTTTCTTGAAAACGATAAAGTCGTCGCGAGATATCTTCCATTCAAAAAAAAAAAAAAGTATTATGTAAAATACAAAGGGTTTCTTTTATAAAGGTACACAAAAAAAAAATACAAATAAATAAGCACAAGAGTGGAAAAAAGAAAAAGTAAAAAAAAAAAAAAAAAAGAAAAAAAAAGTGAAAAGAAAGAGAAAGAGAAAAGAAATAAAGATGAAATCGAGTTAAAAAAAAGGCAAAATGATGGCGGACTATGAAATCGAGAGAAAGGGGAAACAAAGAGTAGTACGAAAATTCATGCAGGATTATCGGTCTCAATGAATTTGAAGATCATTATAGTTATCAGTATTAATTAAGCATACAATGAATCATGTTTATAGATTGAAAAGAAGGAGTTATTTCCATCATCATCATCATTATTATTATTATTGATAAGTCTTTCTCTAGAGTCATCCTCTTTTTTTTTTTCTCTTTGGAGAAAACCGATAAATTGATTTTTAAGCCGAAATATAATTTTTTTTTTTTTTACATGTCTTCAAGGGGAAATGTTTTTTTGTTTATGCTTGGTCTGAACGCAATCATGTGAGAAAAGTAAGAGGTTGTTTTTATTTGTTGCTCCTTGAGAAAAAAAAAAGTTGTTACTTTATCTTTCCATGCTTTTACCTTGCTCCACCAATAAGAAAGATGACAAGTTTCAACTGACAAAGAGGTTGAATCACGACACCCTTTTTTCCCTTTTCAAGTAAAGCATGAATATGTATCATCAACAAATCATCATCATCATGATCACAGTCACATACATTATATTAGACCCTTTTCATTCTCGGTCCGTTTCCCCACCTATATCATCATTATCATTTGATCTGCACCCTTGTTTTTCTGTCCTCACCACATATGCATCACTTGTCCAATGACAATCGTTCCTCAAAATGCGCCGATGTCATTATTGATGGGTCAAATAATTCTTTCGAAAATTGGTCTTGATCGCAATCCTTTTCAGAAGCATCAAAATATCTTTTTTTTTTTTTATTCATGATAATAAATAATATATAGTAAGGTCAAAAAAGAAAAGAAAAAAAAACTAGAACTAACTAAAGAGGAGAACTAAAAAGAGGAATCTAAAGTAGTAGTAGTAGTAGTTGGTTGTCGCTTGGAGGAGAAGGATGTAAATATGGTTTGGGCGCGTTGTTTGAATCCTAATCATATAATATATAAAATTCAATCATCAACATATTCATGCATTATTTTTTTTTTTCTTCCTTACCATCCTTTTTCATAGTTGATTTTGTTGAATCTGGTTGTTGATGTCGATGCGATACAGATTCACTTGATTTTGATGTACGTAAATCAGAGGGACCTTGTTCCGGAGTCACTAGAAGCTCTGATTCTGACCGATTTTGTTTTGTTCCTGTTCAATAATGATAATAAAAAAAAGGTCATTAAGGCATGATATCCCCTTTTTTTTTTTTTTTTCCTCCTTGATGGTACTTTTTTTTTTTTTATTACCAGATATGCCTTTTGCCTTCCGTCTTGCTTGTCTAGCTTTTTGTCGATTTTCTACAGAATCCTGCGTACTTCGTCTCCGTCCTATTCCCACAATGCCTTCAGATAGATCCTTGATGACACTTGACCGAGAAGGAGCAGGTGATATATCCCGATGAGAATGCCCATTATTGTCGCTAGGATTACTTTTGGAACTACGAGAACTACGATCCGAAGAACTTGATGGTGACTTGCTATGTCTGGATGAATGAACGGTACGGATATCAGGATCTTGAGCTAGTTTGTATCCACGCTCCACTATGTTGGTCAAGATTCCTTCTCGAGCACGGGTCAACGGTTGAGCAAATTTGGGTGATTTCAATGCAGAATACTCGGCATTGATCACTATAAATAAAAGATATCAACATTTCCCGAAAGAATAATATAAAGATACTTACGTTTTGCCAGCAAAAATGATTGTAATTCCGAGTCGTCATAAAAAATACCACCATCAGGTAAAGGTGGTCCAAAATTGGGGACACTATCAACACTAGCAATTTCAACCCTAATTAAAAAGAAAAAGAAAAAGAAAAAGAAAATCAATAATTGTTTTTGTCGCTGTCTTTTTTTTTTTTTTTTCTTACCTCCAAATACTACGACCATCCCATTCATCTTTGTGAACTACAATAAATACATGTAAGAATTGAGATTTGATTGCAGCAGGATTGAATGGTTGCTTTCCCTCCACAAATACAAGACAAACAATATCTATGATAAAGAAAAACAAAAACATTCATGCATGTAAGATTCCCCAGTTCAAATATTTTCAACTGGTCTATGTTCATCATTCCCTTTCTATTATTATTATTATTATTATTATTATTATTTTGTTACCATTTCCAATATGTCTTTTTCGTTGGATTTGTTGCTTGTCACCTTGGTTTGAAGGAAGTAGAGTAGAGACATGATATGCAATAGAATGTTCTTCTTGCCATGTATTGACATATGTATATCCACCAGAGTCACCAGCTAGAGATTGAAAAAAAAAAAGATGAGTTTTATCATATCTATTATTTCTTTTTTTTTTTTATTTTTTTTTTTTTTTTTTTTTTTGTATTTTTGATTACTTTTCCTATCCAATCCACCAGTCCAACCTTTATATCCTACTAAAGGTACACGCTGGCCAATAATAGATAAAAAGTGATCTAATGCAGTAGAATCATGTTCATTGGAGAACCATTCTTCTTCTTTTGTTTGACCTTCTTTCACGAAAAGCACACCAAATTTGTATCGAGTATGAAGCTATAGATTATATATAAAAAAATTAAGAAAGAATAAGAATATATACTATCAACTAGAGTTTCCTTTCTTCCTTTTTTTTTTTTCTGACTTGCCCCATTTTCATCTAATTTCAAAATATCGCTTTCTAGACCACTGGATTCCATGACATCTTGAGTGATTTTCTTCAATCGATTGAAAGGAACATCCAATAATGGCATTGCTGATGAAGATTCAATCACTGCCTTCCAAGTTGTATCCAAAACACTGGTATCCAATGGATGTTGTTGTATTTGCTGTTGTTGTTCTTGTTGATCCTGTTGAGCTTTTTCTTCTAAAGTTGTTGAATGATGATGATGATGTTGAAATGTGGGTGCACTGAGTAAAAAGGAATCTTGGATAGTATCACGTCGATCAGGACCTTGTTTGATTCTAGTGATGACTCGATATAATTGAAGAGTAGGATCATATGTGGCAGTAATCAAGATAGGTTCGTCGTCATCATCATAACCGCAGAAGGTTGTATAAGACTGTTGAACAAAATATTTGCGAAACCAGTTTGCTTGATGATCCATATGTTCCACCACCAAATTTGTATCATTTTCTGTTGAGTTTTCTGATATAGTAAGAGGGATATCAAATTTATTTTTGCCTTCAACCTTATATCCTTTGCATGGAATAATGATTGCCTTTTCATGGTTTTTGTAATATTGACAGACATCATCATGAATAACTTGTTTCATCAAAGAAGTCTATAATAAGGAGGGAGAGAGAGACAGAAGATTAGAATCATGATTTTTTATTTTTTTTTGTAACGTAAACCTACAATTTCACGAACAGGAGCTTGATCTTGGATTTTGACATCTAATGCCATAAAGACATCTTGAGGTTGTTTTTGATATCCAACCATATCAGACATTCGTCGTAAATCTTGCATAATATTTTTCAAATCATCAACAGGATATGGAGGAGTTGGATGTTGTAATGAGGTCGCCAAAGTTCGATCACAATCTGCCAAAAGCTTGGTACGTAAAGAAGTAAGAGTCGCAGTAACTAAAAACATATGAAATGGTTGAGCTTGATCCAGGAATTTTGGTGTCACATCTAAACTTGGTCCCACATCTTCATTCTTCGCCTAAGCCAATAAAAAAAAAAAATAGATATAAATAGATATAAAAAAAAAATTAATAAAAAAAAAACAAACTAAGTATCATCCCAATACTACTATTGTTGGTACTAACTATTACTAACCGATATCATTAACCACTAATAACCATTAATAACCGCTAATAATCATCGTACATCCTTCCCCCCCTTCCTTTTTTTTTCCCTCTCTATCTCTCCTTTCCATTCTCTCCTTTTTTTTTTATTTTACCTCTCTTGATAATTGATCATCTTGTGTGTCACCTTTTTTCTTCTGCGTGTTGTTCCTATCAGATGATAAAGCGGTTGTAGTTGAATCAAACAAGGTTGTAACCTCCTTTCCAAACAATAATCTACCGACTGGTGAAGTAACGGAAGGTGAAGAAGGGGTTGAATTTGTTGTAATAGTAGTAGTAGTAGTAGTAGTAGTTGGAGGTAATGTTGACGGTGGTATTCTTGATGAAGTTATAGTTTGTCCTGTATTTGGAGTTGTTGATGAAGAAGATGATGATAATGATGCTGATGAAGATGAAGATGATAAATGCAATTTTGATAAATGATGATGTAAAGTGGAACCATTTGTTGAAGATGTCGTTGGTATTTCTTTATTATTGGGAAGAGGAGGTGGTGCATAATGAGATTCCTCCTTCAATACTGAGTAGCTAATTGATTCTTGAGGGTGAATTTGATCCATCGTACCCACTGCTTGATCCATAGAGGCTCGTCGTCGTGAAAACATTCCGGATAATCCCAAAGCACTTGGTGTACGTTTCCGTAATCGATAACCAAATGAAGAAGACGATGATACCATAGAAGAAGAAGGTGAAGAAGTTTGATAATATGCTGAAGAAGACGAAGTCAAATTATTAATATTGTTATTATTATTATTATTATTATTATTATTTTGTGACATGAGAGTAAGTCGTCGTGAAGTGGAAGCTGACTTTGCCACTAAACCTTTGACTGAAGCTTTGACAACATGAGGTAATTTCGAGATCTTGCTAGCTGTACTAAAGATAGAGCTTGTAGTGGATATGTTGGATCGAATGGATTCACTAGATGACTTTCTTCCAATAGAATTTTGTTGCGTCTTTTGCCAAGGTTGTTTTTTGAAAAAGGATTTCGAGTTTGTTTTAACAGTTGATAACTCATCCATTTGCTGTTGTTGGTCTTGGAGTTGCTGTTGATATAGTTCATAGTTTTGTTGCGTTTCGATAGAAAACCTTTCAGGAGTAGATTCAAGTGACGAAATTCGAGGTGGAGTATCAGTAACGTGAGGATGTTTTCCAGGTTCGTCAGTTTGATCGCGCGGTTGTGTTGATAACATATTATGGTAATCTGAAAAGGAATGAAATATAAGAATGGAAATACACAAAAATGAGAATATAAAACAAAACAAGGGAAAAAAAACAAAGAAGGAATATAAATATGTATATAAAAAATAATAAAAAAAAAAGAATATTGGGTATGGTTAAAAAGGTGATCAATAAAAAAAAAAAAAAAAAAAAAAAAAAAAAAAAAAAAGAGAGAAGGAAAAGAAGGAAAAAGGAAAATGTCCCCAAGGAGTGCTCATCGTGTAGTTCAACCCCGCTTGTTCCAAATTAGGTATGCTTGTACAGTGAAGGTACTAAAAAGAAACTCCCTTTTATTATTTTTTTTTTTTTTGTATGTCGTAGAGTATTATATTGTATATATATGTAACAACAATAACAATTGATTATTTAACTATATAAATCATCATTAACCATTTTATCTATACCTTTTTTTTTTGTTTGTTTGATCATATTCTCTCCATTATTATTTATTAATAGTTATATTTTGTTTTTATGCCTTCACGTGTTTTATATATAATATTTAAATAATAGAACACTTTGTTTGACTAATAACTGGGTTTGGAAATCATGAATCCCAATTTGCTCGTCTTCTCGTACCTGAAAAAAAAAAAAAAAAAAAAAAAAAAAAAAAACATTATAAACCATTATAAACCAAAATTCTTCAATAATTTGATCTTTATTTTTACTTTTTTATTTTACACAAATAATCTAATAAGTTCCAATTCCATTTAATCCTATTTTTATAAAGTGTAATTGACAACTTCAATAAACAAATCATTACTACCAAAAAACATTACCTTTAGGTTTGTAAGGGATCAACATTGTTCAAACGCCGCTTGTTTTCTATATATATAAAGTTTTTTGGTTAGTTTAGCTTCTCAATAACAGAAAATCCATACTCGTACAAATTGTCTTTTTACAGGGCATGATATTGACCCATCGTCATCTATTGTTACATTCATTCATCATTCACTATGTATCATTCGTCTATCACGTATTATCCATTTAATCACCATTTAATCAGAAATCATCCACTGAATCATACATTATCCACTTAATCACACATTCCGACATTCTACTCTACCTGATAAAGGGGAAACGATTTCATATATCAAAGACACTGATGGAGAAGATATTAAAAGGTGCAAGCGCGGTATTATAATGATAATCGGTGAGACTAATAATTATTTAACTTTTACGAGATAAAGCAATTACATCTTCTGTTATCTCCATAATAATCGATATGTATAGAAAAAGAAAAACTTTAAACTTTTTTTTTGTTTCTCCAAGTGATGATGATTAAATAGAATGTTTCGTTTGTTTCTATCAATAAGATGTTTTTCTTTTTTTTTTTTTTTGATGTTGGCAATAATGACGAGCAAGAAAAATGAAATGGCGTCTTATCACGTCCAAAACAGGTGATTAAAACCCAGATTCAAATTTAAAAATTTTATTCTTTCTTTTTTGCATATTTTCTTTCTTTCTTTCTTTCTTTTTTCTTTTTTTTGCCCTTTTTTTAAGAAAATGAAACAATATGATACAGAATATATTGATAATGTATCATTATCAAGTTCATCATCTTCAAAGGAACCTCCTATGCCTATAGACGAAGAAACTGGTCTAAAAAGAGATTTGAAGCCACGTCATTTAGCAGTAAGTAGTTTAGTTTCTTATCATTATTATTTGCTTTTTTTTTTCCTTTAACAGTCTATTCTTTTTAGATGATTTCAATAGGTGGAACCATTGGTCAAGGATTATTCTTATCTTCAGGAGCTAATCTAAGCAAAGCAGGTAAAAAAAAAAAAAAAAAGGAATCGATATATGTTAAATCACCGAATCATGCAAGGGATGCATCCTTCTAACAAGATCTTTTTTTTTCTTCTTGATGATTTCTCTAGGACCAGCTGGCTTGTTGATAGCATACATGATGATTGGGACAGTGGCTTATTTTGTTGCTTTACAATTGGGAGAAATGAGTGCGTATATACCAGTAAGTGAAACAAAACGAAAAAAAAGGAATATCAAATATTAAAGAATCTAATAATCTTTTTATTTGTGACAGATCTCAGGTTCATTTACCGTTTATTGCCGACGGTTCGTACATAAATCATTTGGAAATGCTGTGGGTTATAACTATGTTTGTAGGTTGAAAAGAAAAAAAAATGGATACATAATGAATATGACGAATAAAAGGGATCTAACATCTTTTATTTCTAGTTTGTTGGTCAATCATTGTTGCAGTGGAACTAACAGGTAAATATATTAATATAATGACTCTTAATATTCTAATTATCATAACAATATTTGTGAATATAGCGATACCTTTGGTAATGAAGTTTTGGACAAACGTTGTTCCTGATTGGGCATGTAAGCTATTACATTTTATTTATATTTTTTTTTTTTTGTTAACATGACATTCTTTTTTTAGGGTCTGCAATCTTTTTAGTGGTGATGTTCCTTATCAACTTGTTTGGCGCTAAAGCTTGGGGTGAATCAGAGTAAGTGTATTTTTTTTTTATTTTTTATTTTTTTTTGCATTGTGTATTTATTACGATGATTCTTCATGTTACTGATTCTTTTTTTTTCTAGATATTGGTTCACTCTGGTAAGTTACATACAAGGAAACGTCCTCATCCATACAACCATCATGTATAACGATTTAATTTCTATAGATCAAGATTCTTGCTGTTTTATTGTTTGTCATCGTTGGATGTTGTAAGTAATATATTTGATTATATATATATATATATATATATATTTGAGAATTAATCATACTCTTTTTTTTCTTCTTATTTTAACATTAGTGACCTCTGGAGGTGTTCTTGGGTAAGACTTTTCTCATCTTCTATCATTCTATTCATATCACTAAATATATTAACATTTGTATAGGGGTACTGTATATGGGTTCAAATACTGGTCAGATCCTGGTGCTTTTTCTAATGGTGTTCTCGGTGTCATCAATGCACTTGTGTTAGCTGCCTTGACAATGACTGGTGTTGAAATCGTAGGTGTCAGTGCTGGTGAATCAAAAAATCCTGCAAAATCTATTCCAAGTGCTGTTCGAAATGTCTTTTATCGTATTGTGTGTATATATCTTGCCTCTGGTAAGACAAAACAAAGATAAAAAAAGGGAATAATAAATTAAGTTTGTATATTTAATTATGTATTTCTTTTGTAGTATTCGTTATGGGAATGGTGATCCCATATAATGATCCTCACAATTTTGCTACAGGTCATCGTGATGTCAGTATTTCTCCCTTTACACTGGTGTTCCAAAAAGCTGGTCTTGAAGGAGCTGCTCATGTAGTCAATGCTGTTATTCTCACAACTGTAGGTCAAACAATCCCTCTATTTTAATTTTATATTGATCTTGCTCTTTTTTTTTTTTTCTTTTTTTTTCCTTGTCATAGTTACTCTCTTGTGGTAATAGTGGAATGTATGTCACTACAAGAACTCTTCAGGCACTTGCAAAGGAAGGCATTGCACATAGAAAACTAGGTATGTTTGATAAAAAAAAAAAAAGAGAAGCAGAATATTGATTTTTTTTTCTGGTTGTATAGCTTATACTACAAAATCTGGTGTCCCAATTTATGCTCTATTTTGTACATGTGCTGTTTCACTGGTCTGTTTCTTGACATCATTTATTCCTGGTGAAGTACTTTTCCTGGTTCTTTCTGATTTAGGTGGAATTGCTGGTCTTGTAAGTATAAATCTAAGAAAAAAAAAGTTAAATTCAATTTTATTTTGATATTGTATTATTAGATTACCTGGGCAGCTATCGCTATAGCTCACTATAGATTCAGAAAAGCATTTCTTACTCAAGGACATCAACTTTCAGAACTTCCATATGTAGCAATGGGTTATCCTTTTGCTAACTTCTTTGTAGCTGTTGCCTGTGTTATCATTATTATTATTTCTGGTTGGTCTTACTTTGTACCTGCATCTCCTCAAGGGCTTGTCGGTAGTTACGGAGTAAGTTTGAATTTTGAAAAAAAGGATGAAGTTTTGATGATTTATTATTTTTATATATTATATTAGGGACCGATCATCTTCATTGGTGGAATGGTGATACACAAATTTTGGACAAAATCAAATATGGTACCAATAGATGAAGTAGATGTGATTAGTGGAGCAAGAATGGATTGGAAGGAAGATAGTATATTAGCATTAGACAGTAAGTCATCTTTTTGGAATAAACTTGTATCTATATTTACTTGATTATATATATATCTGTAAAAATAAAAAGGTTGTCAATAAATAATATATATCTTTTATGAAATAATGATGAAACCACGTGAAGAGATGATGATTATGGTAACATGCAAATAAGAATGGATTAGGTGACGCACAGAACATTTTCCATGGTCAGATTGTTGTTGGCTGTGCATGAAATTTGGCTGTGGAGGAGGTAACGGGGGAAAATCTTATTTTTAGTTTTAAAAAAAAAACTCTTTTTTTTTTTTCTTTTCTTTTTTATTTGCACCCAAAATAATACCCAACAAACTATACTAGATTCCCCCTTTTTTTTGATTATTACTATTATATATAGTGGGTACATATCCATCCACACCTATTTCTTTCTTTTACTCAAATTGTAGTCTGATCTCAACCATGTTGAACATTACTCCTTACATAGCGAGGGTAACTGAAAAAAAAAACACTTTTGTTCCCCCTTTTTTTTTGCCACTTAGTTTACTCATGAACTAAGATTCTCTCTCTCTCTCTTTTTTTTTTTTTTTTATTATTTTTAGTATGTTCGATCCTTACATGCCTGTTATGATCATATACCTATTCCGTATAGCCATACTCAATTCGGGGTAGTCCTTATGGTGGACGTTGTTGGTAAAGAAATAAAATATAAAGAAATAAAACAAAATAACTTTGTTACTCATCCTCTATTTTTTTTTTTTTTACTAGGTTTCAGTGCTGTAAGTTCGTTTTTTTTTTTTAATATGAAAACTATCAAATATACAAGTATTGATAATGAAACATATATTTTACTTTATATTAGTTGACTACTCTTGCTACCGAGAAAGGTGAATCTGGAGCCGAAGCAATAGCTCTAGAAATTGGTGCCTACATGGGTGAAGTAAGTAAAAAAGAAAAAAAAAAAAAAAACTTGACAAATCAAGCTGACAATGGTAACAAACTTTATATTTTCTAAAATAATAGTGTATTGAAATCATAGAACATTATGGTGGTGATGTGGTCAAGGTAACATAATCATTATTATTATTATTCAGCAGTATTAAAGTCTTCTTCTTCTTCTTTTTAGTTTTTGGGTGATGCCGTTTTGGTTTGTTTTCAACCCGATTTTGCCGACAAATCAATAGATCAAACCGACATTACCTCACGACACAAACATGTCCTTGTACGACGAGCAATGGAATGTGGCATGCAATTACTGGCTAGACAATCTCATTATCGAGTTTATTTGACGGCTGAGGAACGTTCGAAACATCGATCATCAACAACAGGAGAAATCGATAGGCGCACAAGGAATATCTTTGGTCAACGTTTTTTACTCTTTGACAGCGGCAGTGATAGTGATAATCAACCTTCTTCATCATCATCATCTTCTTCGGCTGGTAGTCTTCCTTTGAATAGTTTGCAGAGACCTGATATTTTTGATTCTAATCAAGAATATTCCATGGCTTTTGATATTTGGGACTGTATACCATTTATCAAGAATCGTAGACGACGAATGTATGATCGACGGACAAGTATCTCTAGTGATGGGTCTAGTAGTATGAATTCCATTGATTTAGAACTTCATATTGCTCTTTCTTGTGGTGATATCTCCAATATTATTCTCGGTGATATGAATGACAATCCTTCCAACAATGACGACAATAATACATCACGATCTCAACCGATTTCTCAACAAGATGATGAATTATCGCCCATCAGCAACAATCGTATATCATTGAATTCATTTCTATCTGGCGATGGAGATGAATCCAGCGAACAACCTCTACCTTATAACGGAAGATTAGAATATGCCATCTGTGGACCAGCTGTAGAAGCCTTGGAATCTGTTCTTTCTATCGCCAAAGCTGGTGAAATGTGTCTCACACCAAATGCATTTGATCTGGTCAAACATCATAACATTCCTTTCTCATATGAAAAACGAAAACGGTTTTATATCATAAGAAGTACACCTAACAACAATGCTGCCTCTCTTTATGGATCTACTTTACCAACAAGAACTATTGGACGTCATTATCAACAACAACAATTTTATCATAATCCCATTTACACTACTATCAAGCCATCCCCATCTTTTGGACTCTCCCGTAACAACAACATCTATGACCGACCTCATCTCAAACAACAAGCACAACAATTGTCTATCGAACCTCTTGTTCCTCGTACGCGTAATCCTCCTATTATTATTACTACTAATGGTGGTGGTGGTGATGATGCATCGAATCCAACCTATTTGAAATATATCAATCGCAGCGCTCTTCATCGATTACAACAAGGTGTCAATGACAGCTTTCCTGCCCAATTTCGTGATGTGACCATCATGTTTGTCAGTTTAGGTAAACTCAACCCTGCCACTCCTGATGGTTTACAAAAGGCTCAACAAGCTGCTGATATATGTATAAAAACACTTGTCAAATACGAAGGTAAGAAGGAAATAAAAGAAAGCAAAAAGTCAGTCATATGATCTTATCTACATAAAAACTCAATCTTTTTTCATTTATAGGTACTTTACAACAATTTGCTGTGGATGATAAAGGTAAACTTATGAAAAAAAAGAAAAATAAAAAATGAAAATAAAAAAAAAAAAAGGAAGATATGAATTTTTGATCTCATTACTTTTTCTATTTGTTTTTTTTTTTTTTGATGTATTTTGTGTTACAGGGGCTACACTTTTAGGTGTGTTTGGATTACCACCACTTTCACACGAACGAGAAGCAATATTTGCCGCCAAAGCCGCCATTGAACTGCGTGACTCATATCTTCCCATCTTGTCTGATTTCTCCATTGCGTTATCCACAGGTACGATCTTCAACTCCGTTTTACCTCAAGGCTGTCCTTACCGACGTGATCCTGCGATTGCTGGTGATACCATTATTCTGGCAGTACGGATGCTTAAATTTTCATTTGCTGTTCGAAATATTGTATGTGATTTTGCAACGAAACAACAGATCGGCACTCTCTGCGACTACGAAGATTATGGAGAAAATATGGTCAAAGGTAAAATCAAACCTATTATGATCTATGGGATTCGTAAATTTGGCGTTGGAAAAACAAAACGTATCTCTCAGCAAGGCATTGACAAAGCAAATAGTAACAACAGCAACTATAATAACAGCAATAACAATAGTAACTCGGATTTTATTGGCTACAAGTTGGAAATGGAAAGAGCCACTCGGTTCTTGGATGATTGGAGCGAAGGTCATAATCATCATCTTTTGATTATCTCGGGACCATCTGGTGTAGGCAAGAGCTTCTTTTGTCATGCATTGATTAAGACAATGTCATCTTACAATTTTACTTGCTGGTAAGAATTATTCAAAGGATTTCCATATATGCATATATCATACTCATATCAACATTCTCTGTTTTTTTTTCTTTAGTTGGTCCTCTTCTACTGAAGGTAAACAATGAACATATCTCTTGTCTTTTTGTACAGTTCATGATTAATGTTTTCTTTTTTATTATTATTATTATTAATTCTTAATTCTTATATTAGTTGAACGAAGTTCCAAGTACTATTTGGTCAAGCATCTACTACTCTCTTTGTTTGATATTATTGACTCGGATAAAGTGCCTCAAAATACAAGAAAGCGATCATCACCTCTCAATCATTCTGGAACTCATACTGCTAATGGATCTACAAGTTCTCCTCAGGTGGATTCATCACCTGCGTCATCGATTTCCTCCATTCCCTGTCCTACCAATAGCTCGACTAATAACAAAGATCGACTTCATCGATTAACAACATATTCATCCATGACACGATCATCCTATGGAGCCTTCAGCACGCAAAGTCCGGACGCAGCTAACGAAATTCTGGAACTTATCCTTCGATGTCTTCGAAAATGTGGGGAAGATGATGGATTTTTACCTTTATTCAAAGTAATTTTTGGTTCTTTGGATGAAATGGAAGAAAACAGATATACTCGTCGTTTGGATAGTCGTGGACGTGATATTTTATTGACAGGTGTGATTACTCGTATGGTGAAATATGTCTCTGAAATCATTCCTATTGTTCTTATATGTGATGATGTTCAATGTAAGTAATAGGAATTGACATGTTTATTTTTATTTATCTTTATTATTATTAGGGGCTGATTCTGCATCTATTCGAATTTTACAATATATTCATGAACATTGTCAGCATGCTTTACTTATACTTGCTACTCGACCTATCAAGGATTATAATGTTACTTTTATCAACAACTTTTGTCAAACAGGCGCTTCTGAAGAAATTACCTTGAATGGATTGGATTCAGATGATATTGTCGACATTATTTTGCAAATGCTCAAGGCAGGTGTGACCAGAGTGAGTCCGGAAATTGTGCGTGTGATTCAGGTAAAAAAGAAAGAAAGAAAGAAGAAAAAAAGCTGTTTATGATAATGGGATGATCTGTTTAATAATCATTCATCTTCTCTCTTCTCACTTATATATACATATGTAGAAACGTACAGGTGGAAATCCTCTCTATGTCAAGTATGAAAAAAAAAAAAAATGATTGATTTTGTATTAATATGTTGTTTGACCTTGAAATCTTATATAGGAACATGGCCATCGTTCTCAAGGATTTTAATCATGTCACAGTACTAGAAGGTGAATTGGTACCAAGTAGTAATCGATTCGACCCCAAGGATTTATTACAAAATTTAGACTATAAGCGTATTATCAAAATGCAATTTGACAGATTGGATCCAAACTTCCAAGAATTTCTTACGGTAAAAAAATGAAAAATAGAAATAGAACAAAATTTCATGATTAGTTGTCGTACTTATCCAATTCTTTTTTTTTTTTTTTGAAAATATTTAGATTGCCAGTTGTTTGGATCAATACTTTACAATATACGAAGTGGAAGCTATGATCAAAGGAAGCAACGTCATATTTCAAGAGAATGATCCTCACACTATCAGGGAAACCATTGAAAAATACGATTCGTATCACTTTTTACACCAAGTCGCTGACATAAGTACAAATACCACCAGTAGCAACAACTCTAGTACCAACAGCAGCAACAAGAATGGAATCACCAACGTCAATAATATGAACAACATGAATAATCCTATGGTCAACACTGATGAAATGTACGCCTTTGCTCATATTACCATTCCCAAAAGTATCTATGATATGGTTTCTTATGAAACGCGCATTACACTTCACCGATTACTTGCAAAATATTACGAAGGACAACTGACCAAGGAAAATTACCCTGAACTATTAGGCAAAGTGGCACGACATTATCTACAAACGGACAATCTCGAAAAACAATTGTACTATTTGGAAGCTTTGGCTGATCTTAATATCCGGTCTTATTTGTTACCTGAAGCAACAAGCAATTTGGAAAGCATGGTCAAGATCTTGAATGAAAATCCTAATATCGCCTATCGATTTGGAAGGATCCATCAAAGTGATATTTATCGTCGACTGGGTGTATGTTTTACTATGCGAACACAACTGAGTATGGGTGAACGATATCTATTGATGGCTTTAGAATGTCTTGGAGAAAGTTGGCCACAAACTGAACCGGAATTCTTGTATAAATTTTGGAAGCAACGTTTTGCACAGTATCAAAATCGACGATGGCGTCTGGTGTGGAAATCAAATAGCTACAACAAGAAACAAACTGGTCATCGAGTGGTGGAAATCATGGCTCAACTATCCAACATTTACTTTTATACTGGGAAAGGAAGAGCTTTTGTCTATACTTGTTTGGTTGGTTTGAATGCATGCGAACGTCTGGGTGAAGTAGGACCGAATTACACTCTGTTTTTGGCACGTACATCGCTCTTGTGCTGGCTCAACGATCAAAAACAACATAGTATTTTCTACATCACCAAGGCTTTACGACATATGGACGAAAAGAACGATGCTGGTACACTGACGATATGTGCTCTTTTATGTTTTGCAGCTGGGAAATTCAGAAATGCCAAGGAATTATTGTATCAATCGATTGATGCGGTGAAAACTCTGGGTGTAGTAACGGATTGTCAAGCTTTCTATCGTTCTGTGGGACTAGTCATTACAATGATGATATTTGAAGGAACATTGGACCAATCACCAGATGGATTAGCACTTCTCAAGCAAATGGCGGATACGGCACATAGCAATGGCGATTATGAGGCCGAAATTTGGTTAGGCGTTTATCATGTTGGCAATGCTATTGTTACGGATCGATTAAGAGATTGTGAACCTTTTGTGGTCCTATTGGAACATCATCTCAAGCAAGCAGCTGATTATAATAGGATTGCTATCCATGGTACATTGTTATGTTACTATGCAAGATGTCAAAATTATGAATTAGCAAGACGTCATACTCGACATTTGGTTTCCATTCTACCATCTCTTACTGTCACACGTAAGTTTTTAACTCCAAAAAAAAAAAATGACGTTTTGCTTATAATGATTCTTTTCATTTTATTTTATTTTATTTTTATTATTATTATTTGATCAGCAAATATCTTTCCTATCTTTGGACTTATTTTTGCCACGATGGGATTATATTGTATGGTAGAGGACGAACAAGTAGAATTAGTGACAACAGAAGATACAAAGAATTATGAACGATTCATTTTAGGCATTGCACGACTCAATCATGCTTTCCAACAAGTCAAATTTTGGGAATTTACTCAACCTTGTCTTTATCTTGCTCGGGCTTTACCTTATATCAGTACAGGACGAACAGTAGAAGGATATATGGTAAAAAAAAAAAAAAAAAAAAAAATTGAAAAAAGTATTGATTATTTTTATTTATTTATTTATTTATTATTATTCTTTTTTTTTTTAGGTCCTTCGTCATGGTATCTATGAAATGCACTTTATTCAAGAAATCCGATTCCTCAAGGCATATTATTGGGCAAATATGGGCAAGTATGCATTTACACCAAGAGATCGTATTGACTGGACAGAACGAGCAAAAACTGATCTTGATGCTCTTAGTATTCCTTCCAATGTGTATATCAATCCTGATCCTGCCAAATTTTACTCTCAAGGCACCCCTTCTTCTGAATAATGTACCTCACTTAATAATATTTTTTCTCATATTTTTTCTTATTAGTTTATATCATGCATTACTTTACTATTTTTTTTTTAATCTTTATTCATCATCCTCTCTATTATTCACTTTATCATTTTTTTTTTTGTTATATTGATCATTACTATTATTTATTATTATTATTATTATTATTTCCATCCTATTTAACTGGTTTAAATGATGGTTTGTTTAGTTTCTTTAATAAAAAAAAATGTATGTACTTTATTTATTACCATTACTGTTGTTTTGTGATGAAGCTTCTTTTAAGAAAAAGAAAAATTGAGACTGTTTGCATATCATTTATATGTATCATCAACAAAAAAAGATATGATGTAAATAAATAAAAGTGTCATTGTGGTAGTCGAATCTTCATTTATTATACATGGACTTTTATCATTCATTCGGCTATCAAATACTATGATATATATATATATATATCATCAATGTGATGTACAAGCGGCATCATCACTCTTTTATCCAAAAATATCATAAAAAAAGAAAAAAAAGAAAAAAGAAGCATCTATCCACACACAAATTTCTTTCAAAACAAATGATTTTATTAATTTATTTATATTCTGGATAAACCAAAAACTAAAACTAGGTCGAACTATTTGTGGAAGGATCATCCGCACGCTTTCCACCCAATAAAGGTGCTGTCTGTCGAACAAATGTAGGATCATTAGGATCATGAGGTTGCTGTTGAGGTTGTTGCTGACGTTGAGTTTGTTGTTGATCTTGTTGTTTGCTTTCTTCAAAAAGAGGAATGTTCAATCCACCAATAACAGGAGCTGTTTGTCTGGAGAACATAGTATTATTATTACTATCATATGATGGTTGATTTCCAGTAGAAGGTTGATTTGTTTGATTCGACATGATATAGAAGATGAAAAAAGAATAAAAAAGTAAAAAAGAATAAAAAAATACTTTTTTTTTGTCCCCGCTTTTTTTTTTTTTTTCATTTCATGCCAGTTTTTTTTTTTTTTTTTTTTTTTGACACCTGAAACCAATTTTTTTTTTCTCCATCCATTTCACATTTCCATTTCCGCTCTTTCTTGTTTTCTTTCACTCTAAACATGATTTCAAGTCGTATGGTTCCAATTTTAATAGCCATTGGTGTTGGTGTTGGTACTGGTGTATATGTATTCCAACCCTTATTGAAAGAATATGAAGCGTAAGTATCCAACAAAGCAAAAAAGAATCCTTTTTTTTTTTAATATGAATTGTAAAAATAGAAATATGCTTTTTTTTTATTCTTCTTCTTATAAAAACTAATTATGATTCATTTATATAGTGATACCAAAGGTACTTGGATATTACCACAAGATGAAGCTCGAATTAAAACATTACAACAACAACAACAACAACAACAACAACAAAAGGATGAAAATACTTCTAATACCAGTCCAACTGAAAAGCAATTCCCAGTGTCTAACAAATAGTATCATTTTTTTTATATATATTGTTCTCTTTTCATCCCTTCTATAATTCATAGTATTCCATTTTGTTTATTATATATGTATATCACGTTTTTCTTGTAGAATTTATTTGATAATAAAGATCGCTCTGTATTGTATTTTTTTTTTGAACTCCCTTCAGCCACTCGATTTTTTTCTCTCTATCTCTCTCTTTTTTCCTTTTTTTATTTTATTTTTTTTTATAGTCATGTCAAAACCCCAACCTGTAGCTGTAGAAACACCTAGTGAAAACCAATCTGAATATGAACAGAGCCATGTTCATGATGTATATGAAGTGATTGCTTCTCACTTTAGTGATACTCGTTACAAAGTATGGATACTTCTCTTTATATATATATATATATATCAATAGAAATATTATTTATGCTTCTTTTTTTTTTTTTGGTGAATAGCCATGGCCTGTAGTAGAGAACTTTTTATTTGGTTTACCCATTGGAAGTCTTGGTGCTGATGTAGGTTGTGGTAATGGAAAATATATTGGTATCAATCCCAACGTGTTTATCTCGGGGTCTGATAGGTAAGGTGAAATTATATAAATACATTATGATCATTGACGCTATTAATTATTGTAGGAGCTCCAACCTCATTTCTATTGTACGTGATCGTGGATTAGAAGGCATAGTAGCAGATGGTATGGTCTTACCGTATCGTAATAATGCTTTTGTAAGTTGTAAAGTTTTATAATATGAAAATATTAAATTATTTTCATGGTATTTTATTATAGGACTTTGCTATTTCCATTGCTGTGATTCATCATTTTTCTACACCTGAACGACGTATTGCCGCTATCGAGGTAAACTTTTTTTTTTTTTTTTGGGATTATCAATATACTCTTAACATTTTTTTTTCTCTCTATAGGAATTGTTACGCATTGTGAAACCAGGAGGAAAAGTACTGGTATTTGTATGGGCTTTGGAACAAACGAAATTCAGTAAACGGAATTTTCAACCAGGTGAACAAGATGTGTTTGTACCATGGACTCTTGCAAAGAAAAAGGATGAACAAGATGATGGTGAACCACCCAAAGTGTACAATAGGTATATAATATATATATATATATATAAAACAAAAAGAAAAAGACCATACTGATATTATATCTTTCATCATTCTAGATACTATCATTTATTCAAAAAGGGTGAATTGGACAACTTGTTTGAACAGATCAGTAATGTATCAATAGATATCAGTGGATATGATAGGGACAATCACTATGTTATTGCCACTAAAATATAGATTTTATAGAAATTCCCTCCATTTGTGATTTAGTGTTATTATTATTATTATTTATCATCATCATTGTCATTTAATTTATTTCATTTCTCGTGCTCCCGTCTATCTTCCCGATCCATAAATTCATATATCATTTTGTTATCATCATTTACATTATCTTCCAATTAGATTATTTTTTTTTACGATTTATTACTTTGTTCTATTACATTGTGCAACTGAAATAAATATATTCTTTTTTTTTGTCATCATTCCTACTTTCTGGATAATTTTTGTATGAAAAAAAAAAACTGGGAAACGAAATGAATCGTACATGGGAAAAGAATGTTTGGGTCCATTACTGCACAATCTATCATGTTCATCCATAAAAGTTGAATTTTATTATAAATTTTCCACTGTTTTTCCTGGGTTTCTGGAACGCAAAAAAAAAAAAAAAAAAAAAAAAAAAAAAAAAAAAACAAGGAAATATACCGTACATGGGAAAACAGTATAGATCAAAAATTTAAAGAAATGATCTGATGTGAAAGGTAGTTACAGTCTCCATCAGTTACGCCAATAGCAGGGGGGCTATATTCATCAGTTTTTTTTCTTTTCTTTTTTTCTCGTCTTTCCCCGCGTTTCCGAAAAGAGAGCATTGACATTATCCCGCCATCAAACATGGATCCCAGTTTCCCACTTCTTGCCGGGATATTCTATAAAAGGAAAATCTATAAGAAAAAGGGATTCTTTACCGACTTTTCATCAAGGTACACATAATTAAATGTTTTCATATGTACTAGTTCAATGGCCGCATCTAACTTTATATTGAAAGACAGCGCATATATATATATAAATGATTCTTTTCTCTTTTCCTTTTTTTTTTTTTTTTACTTTTTTTTTTCTTTATATTCAAAAAAAAAGTACATATATATATATATATAAACTATGCCTTCATTTTCTTTGACTATAGCAGCTTCTTTGGCACTTGTTTCTCTTTTCAATGGAGTAGCCTCCTTCCCATCAGGCAATGCTACTATCTCGTCATGGGCACCCAATCAATCCAACATTAGTCTCAAGAACATGTTCACCAGTATCAATCCTCCCAACACAGCTCGTGGTTTCCTTGCTGCTTCTCTTTCTACCTCCAGTCCCAATTATTACTATAGTTGGACCCGTGATTCTGCTCTCTCTTACCGTGTCTTGGTCAATCAACTTCGTTCAGGTGCAAATTCTACCATTGATGGTTATCTCCAAGATTATGTGGCCTTTTCTCAAAATAGTCAATCTGTCAATACTGTGTGTAATTGTCTTGGTGAACCTAAATTCAATCCTGATGGATCAAGTTTCTCTGGTCCTTGGGGAAGGTAATTTTTTTGAAAAAAAAAAAAAAAAAAGTATATACTATGGATGTTGATCGTTTTATTTTTTTAAAAAAAAAATTGAATAGACCACAAAACGATGGACCTGCTGAACGTGCCAGTACTTTGATTCTTTACGCTGGTTCATCTTCTAATACCGACTTGAAAACAAGTAAGTCATTCAATATCTAAAAAAAAAAGTCATCCAATTCATCATTCTCTATTTTATTTTATTTTTTCTTGTAGTTATTTACAAGGATTTGGATTATGTTACTACTGTTTGGGATAATCAAAACTTTGATCTTTGGTAGGCAAACAAAACATTCTCTTTTTTTTTTTAAAAAAAAAAAAGAAATATTGTAGATACTAAGAGGAGATTATTATGATATGTATACGTGTTATAGGGAAGAAGTCAATGGTCGTCACTTCTTTACCTACATGGTGATGCGTCGTGGATTACTTGATGGTGTGGATTATGCAACCAAGAACGGTGACACAGATAAGGCTTCCTCCTACAAGGCAGTAGTAGCTAATATTGAAAGTAGAATCAACAGTTTCTGGCAATCGGATCATATCACTGTCACTATTGATCAAGCAAGTGGTGTATCAAAACCAAGCGGATTGGATGCTTCTGTTTTAATTGCTTCTAATGTTGGTAGTCGTGCTGATGGTTTCTTTACACCAGGATCTGACAAAGTAAAAAAAAAAAAAAAAAAAAAATCTATGACTGATCCATATTTTTATTTTAAAAAAACTAGGTTCTTGCTACAGCTGTCAAGATTGAAGCTGCTTTTGCTAATCTTTATAATATCAACAAGAACAAGGCTGATTATCTAGGTACTGCCATCGGAAGATATCCTGAAGATGTATATAATGGTACTGGAACAAGTACTGGTAACCCTTGGTTTATTTGTACGAATGCGTTTGCTGAATTATATTACCGTGCTATCAAGGAATGGACGGATGCTGGTTCAGTCAAGGTCACTGATATCAGTCAACCTTTCTTTGCCAAGTTTGATTCTAGTGCTACTTCTGGAACCACCTACACCGCTGGCTCTTCAGAATTCACCAGTTTGGTGAATAATATTGCTAATGCTGCTGATCAATTCCTATCCACCGTCCATTATCATCAACATGCCAATGGTTCTCTCTCTGAACAATATAACCGTGATACTGGATATAGTCAAGGTGCTTATGATCTTACTTGGAGTGGTGCAAGTATGGTGACGGCTCTCAATGCAAAGGCTGGCAATCCTGATTTGTAAAATCATTATTTATTTATATTTTTTTTATGTTTGTACTATGATTCCAAATAATAATAATAAAAAAAAAAAATCTTTATTTTCAAATATTTATGATCATAACCCAACAAAATAGATGTTATTATATTGATAATAGATGATGACATATTAGGTTCTTGTTCAATCCCAATCAATATGTGCATTACTTTATGTTTTCTCTTTTTATCTAAGACACTCTGCGGTCAACTCCGATGCCTTTTTTTTTCTTTTGAGATCGTCTGCGCATACAATTTTATTCCTTTCCTTTCTTTTTTTTTTTTTATTTTGTTGTCCAAGTAGTGTTTTTTTTTTGGCATTATGGTAAGAAACAATCATTAACAATAAAAAAAATGACCATTTTAAGTAATATATGGATACTCACATATTATATTTTTTTTTAATTTATATGACTGATTTTTTTTCCATTCGTTGTCGTTCTAGTCGGTAAAGTTTGTATATCAAAAACTTACGAAAAGATCTCTTTTTACTCACCATATTGTTTTCATTTCTTTCTTTTTTTTCGTTTAATCTTGATAGTATTTTTTGCCTCATTTAACCAATGGTAAAGTAATCTTGGATGAATAATTTATTATCACTTACTTTTTTTTTTTTTTTTGATGTGTATATAGGTTGGCAAGTAGATCAAGCCATTCTCTCAGAAGAAGATCGTGTGGTGATTATTCGGTTTGGTCATGATTGGGATCCCATTTGTATGAAGATGGATGAAATCCTGTATAGTATTGCTGAAAAAGTCAAGAACTTTGCCGTGATTTATCTTGTAAGTCAATTAAAAAAAAAGGTTGTTTGTCCCCTCATGTATATTCTTATAATGACTGTTTTATTCTTGTCTTTGCATGGTGTATAGGTGGATATTACAGAAGTACCTGACTTCAACAAGGTAAAAAAAAAAAAAAAAAAAAAAGATAAATGTAAGCATAGTCTATTGATTTTTTTTTCTTTTTATATATTCTTGTTAATAGATGTATGAACTGTATGATCCTTGCACCACCATGTTCTTCTTTAGAAACAAACATATCATGATTGATTTGGGAACAGGAAACAATAACAAGATCAACTGGGCTTTGGACGATAAACAAGAAATGATTGATTTGACAGAGGTAGGATCAAATAGATGATTGATATTTTTTAATACTGATTTTTTTTTTTTTTTTTTTTTTTTTTTTTTTTTTTTTTTTTTTTGGTTTGACTTAGACGGTTTACCGAGGGGCTCGAAAAGGACGAGGTCTCGTCGTATCACTCAAAGATTATTCCACCAAATACAAATATTAGTTTTATTTTGTTTTACTCAATAAACCAAATCAGATATTATGATTTATTTTTTTTGTGAAGATCCAGTTGATTAAATATTATATATTTTTATCTATATAATAGAATCGCATTATTCTCTATTGAAGATAAATAATGCATGATATGTAATATTATACTGATGACAGTATGATGCTGATTGGTTTGATGATGTGTTGATGGTAGCCTTGACAACAATACAAACAGAGATGATTGTACGACAGAAAAGTAAAGTTAGATCAAAAGGATGCTACAGGAATCCGGAGGATGAATTTGCAATAGATCTAGATTGAATAAGCAAGTTAGTGTGAACCTTTGTGATCATCTCCTTCATTCTGGTGTACCTATTCCATTTTTTTTTTTTTTCGTTTGACTGTGTGGTTTTATTACCTGATATTCTAATAAAAATCTCTTTAATCATATCACGTTTTATCAGCCTCATCATTTTGCTATTATTGTCATTCCATCAGCACATATCAGCTAGTCGTATCCATCGTCTTCTACATAAAAGAAAAAAGAAAAACGGAATGATAATAATAAAAAGAGATCAACATAAATATTTTAGTAGACGGTTTTATTGCGATATATAAACATCTTTTTTTTTATTACTATTTGTTTGTATATATAGAGTGCATTTATGAATAAAGAAAAGATATATAGATGACTGTAAAAAAGAAAAAAACAACAAATGAGGGGTAGCAAAATGAAATATATATATATATATATATATATATATAAAAAGAGAGAGAGAATCAAAAGCAGGATATCAAATAAAATGTATATGTATAAAAGAAGAGGAGATGAATGAATTTTTACTAAACTGGGGAAGCCAATCGATCCTTGATTTTGGAGGTGCGTAATCGATCAACTTTGATTTGTACTTCATCCACAGAGAACTTGGACCTATCAAATTTCCATTCATACCATGTGGCTATCTCACCTGTACGTGAAGAAGAGTGACAAGGAATAATAGGAGATGGTGGTGGTGACATGGGCATAGCAGATGATTTGACATCATCATTATTATGTAGATTACGGTGGTGAAGATTGATACGAGACACATCAACAGGAAGTCCCAAAGCAAGTCGGATCCATTCATGACTGAGGTAACGTTCTTTTAATCGCTTTGTTTGAACTTGAAGTTTGACTTTGGTGAGTGCACGAGCAAAAGGAGTGATGGATGGAACATCATTGCTAACTTGTTGTTCAAGTCGACGTTGGGTATTCAAAGCTGCAGCTGCTGTAGGAATAAGGTCGGATAAGGAACTGTTCATGTTGGCATCTTTTGAATGAAGATGTGAAGAAGTGACTTTAGAAGATAATAATAGACAAGAATCCATCAGTATGTGCAAAAAAAAAAAAAAAAAAAAAAAAAAAAAGGAAAGAAGAATAAAAAAAATATAGAGAGAGAGAGGAAGGGAGAGAGAAAAAAAAAAGACGAGGGATTTTAAAAATATGGATGATTTTTTTATTTGGTTCAAAAATAAAAAGGCTATTTTTCCCGTAATTGGTCTAATCGACGAATTCGTTCCTGAAAAAAAAAAAAAATTTAAATTAGACAACGAATAAATTGTTTTTCCTTGTTTACCTCCTCTGTCAAAAGATCAGTATCCGCAATAAAGGCAAGTACACAAGGACTAGGTTGAGTAGTACAGGTCATAGTTTGAACAAGACGAAGAATGATTTCTCCCATCAATCTGTACTTTTCCCAATAAATGCCGCCACATGAGGTCACATCACGTTTAGTTTCAGCTAATAGAACGAGATCTTGTCGGTGAACCCATCTATAAAAAAAAAAAAAAAAAGGAGGCAAGATGAGAAAAAAAAAAAACAATGAAATACATGAAATGATCTATTCCTTTTTTTTTTTTTTTTTTTTTACAGATATGGAACGCTTGAACTATCGTTTGTTCTTTCAAGATCTTGTCGATATAAAGCATAATTTCTAAATAATAAAATTGATTAATTTTTTTTTCTTTTCAATTTTTTTTTTTTTTTTTTTTTTTTTACCTATCAGGATTCATCAATGTTTCCAATTCTTCAAATTGTTGTCTTTTGGTTGGATGGATACCTAAAAAGGTTTGTTTCAAACAATCCTTGATTTGACCCAATCCTTCAAGAATAATCGCCAAAGTATTATAATTTCGATGATCATGATAAAGTCGATAAGCTAAATCCATAAACTTTTCCAAAAGAGCCATTCGTTGACAACCATGGTTTTGTGTTAATACCATGGTTATTAACCATTTCTTGATAAATTGACCATGAGCTATTGTTGCCATCATTGCTTCTGATGCTCCTTTTTCACCCCATAAATGTCGAATATAATCCCTAGGCTAATTATATCCAAAACAAAACAAAATGAGTTTATATAATAATTTCTTTTTTTTTTTTTTTTTACTTTGATATTTCTATATAGAGTTAATTCTACCCAAGTCAATTGTTCAGCCAATAATTCCACAGAGAGATCCATCAACATAGCATAACGAATATGAGACATGGATCTTAAAGATGTTTGGAGTGCCACCAAAGAAAATGGACGTCGACCAGTAACTTCCAATAAAAGTAAGCCACCACCAAACAAAGGTTCGCCAGATGTTAATGCTGCATTTCTTTTCCTCATTGCTCTCGTTGATAATGTCGAATTTCTTTTTCTGTCTTTTTTGTTGAGTTCAGTTGATGTCAAATAAGTTGAATAATGTAAATCTAAATTAGTTGTAGTGTCAATGCCTCCTTTATTCATGGATGACACAGATGTTTGAGAAGTGGATGTTGTTGACGTTGGAGATGATGATGATGATGACGATGATGATGATGATGAATGTCGTTTATCTACTTCATTGTACCAGTCAAATGATGTAGACGGTCGTTTATCAGAAGGTGAAGCCATATATAGCATTGTGGTAATACTTGGTGATTTTTCCCATAAACCATACAAACTAGTATTGATATCGATATCTTGCTCTTCATCTGTAAGACCCCAAACACAATCAGGATCAGTTAAAGGACAAGGTCTTGTAATCAAAGGTGCCAATAAATGATACATAGTGGAAAGATGTTGATGATGTCCAAGTCGTTGAAGAAACCGGTTCAATGTTTGATGTGACCTCCCATAATATACATCACCCCAATGATGAGAAAGCCAAAGACAAAGAATAGTGCGAATTCTATGTAGATCGTAAGAATAGGAGTAAGAAAAAAAAAAAAAACTATTCACCTTTGGAGAGGATCATCCATTGACATTGAAATCCCGATATGGCTTGCAGCTGCATATATTTTTTTTTATTACCTTTCTTGTCGTCGAGTGGGTTGATGATCAGATGTATAATCTTGTTCAAATCTATATAAAAAAAAAAAAAGGTTAGAGGAGGAATTCCCCTCATAAACGTAACATTAGTAAAAATAACAATCATATTAATAATAATAATAATATTCTGTAGGAGTAAGTAATTACCTTTCTATTAAAGACTGTACTAATTGATAAGGAGTCATAAATTTCCTGTAGAATGTCAAAAAGATCATCATCAAGCTTTCTATAAAAAATAGATGTAACACAAAGAAGTCAGTCATTCAAAGTGGCAAATCCTCCTCTTTTTTTTTAACAAAACTTACCTTGATGATGATAATCCCATAAAGTCATCTTATTGACAATAGCATCAGCAGTCAATCCAGTACTAGAATTAAAAAAAAAAAAAAAAAAAAAGGAAAATTTTATTATCATGATCTTATTTCACTTCTTTTTTTTTTTTTCCTACCTTGTAGTTGGTGTTACATCATGATGTTGATGATTTCCATTGTTATCTTGTTTTTTTGGTAATAGTTGAGAACAAATTGAAGTAGGTCGTTGAATGGGAGATAAAGGAGGTGTAATCATTCCAGCATATGGATCATGCAGTAGGATTTGTGATGAGGATGAAATTGATGAAGATGATGATGTTGATGCAATGGATGTACCATCCGTATTGGCTAATGCAAGTAAATCATACCTATGTTCCGATCTAGGTATTCTGCTTGGACGACGTTGAGATTTCTTTGCTTGTAAGGAGGGTGATGATGCATGTGGTGAGGAGGAAGAGGATAAAGGTCTTTCTGCCACTGACTCCCTTTTTTTTGTGATGGATATAGATGAAGTTGTTGAATAAATACTTTGTTGTCTAAACGATCGTCTTTGAATATGATGATGGTGATGGTGATGATGATGATTGTGTTGTGGAGGTGGTAAAGAACGTCTATGTGGTAATAAAGAAGTAGAAGCAGAATGAGGTCTTTTTTGAGGATGAGCAATCTTTTGTACTAGAGCATTATAGACCATTTGCATTTGAGTGACACCATTGGGCGTATAAGCATCGATGAGTACAGATGGTACACCAAACAAGGTTGCCAACTTGTGACCTAGTTGAGGATCAGTTTCACATTTTCCTGTCAGATCCGTTTTCAGCCCCACCAAAAACAATGGTATTTTCCATGTGACAAATGCATCTAAAATATGTGTATAATGAATATGTATGTCTTTTGCTATTATATGTAACTTACTAAGTAAATCCGGTAAACTATTCATTGAATCACGACGATTGACATCATAACAAACAATTACTCCATCAAAATGTATATAATCCTTATTCATCAAAAAAAAAAAAGATGAGTTCAGACGTGTAAAAATGAAATACCTACCCCTTTGTCTTTTCTCCTTTCTTTTTTTTTTTTTTTTAATTAAGAGTATTCATGACCTACTTACATTGCGTGCTTCAGAAGAAGTTTTCTTGATAGCATCCATAATATATATGTCATCCATTTTAACTAAATCTAAATGATATATATTTTGATCCAATACAAGTTTTGTCTGAAATGTATGTGCACCTAAATAGAAAAGATTTAAATAAATAAATAAAAAATCATATATATATATATATATATATATATGTTACCTTTGTATTTTGAACGTATAGGTTTAACATTATCGAATCCGATACGTATAATAGTTGATTTTGGAACTTGAGGAGCACCAACAATCATGATTTCTAAAGGTACATTATTTGTTGATAAACCAGTTGTTGGAGGAGAAGTTTTTTTAGTTGACATATTGGGTGGCGTTGTTTCTGGTGATAAAGGAGGGGTCAAAGTATCAAAAGAAGGTGATTTTGATGTTTCATAAGATAAGTTGGTATTGACTAAAGGTGTAGACCGTTTATTAGGTAAAGTAGAAGTAGATTGTGACTTGTTTGGTTTTCGTAATTGTTTATTAAATGCTGATATACGTTGTGATAACCACATTGTTAATGTATATATATATATATTCTATAATGTATATAAAAAAAGAAAGGAAGAAAAGAAAGAAAAAAAAGAAAGAAATATAAAAAAAAAACAAGAATAAAGACAACAAATATTTCAAAAAAGAAGGGGAAGGAGAGAGAGAGGGGTGGAGAGGGGAGAGAAAGGGAAAAGAAAAGAGAAAAAAAGAGTTGATTGCATGAACATTTTCATTCTCAGCTATGGACCCATCCATATTCAAAATAGGAAAAAACAGGTATTGTATCCTCGGTTCAAAGAAATAAAAAGACACCCGATCCTTTTTCTTATGTAACACAAAAAAGAAAGTCAATGAAATAAAATAATAAATAATGATTTTTGATTTTTTTGATTTTTTTTTTTTTTTTTATTGATAACAAAAAAAAAAAAAAAAATGGTTGACTAACTAAAATACAAATTGAGAAATAATAATAAAAAAAAAAAAAAAAAAAAGAGGTAAAATAATAAGATAAATATATATATAATATGTATATAAAGATGTGTATACAAGAGACTAAGGTCGATCTGATATTTTTTCGGTACTGGATGGTTGATCGGAGGTTGTTGACCGACTAGTAGGTAAGATAGTAGCGTTGGCTTTTGCCTTTTCTGACATTTCCACGTTCCTAAAATTAAAAAAAAAAAAAGGTTTCAGTAATGATAATTTTTTTAAAAAAAAAAAAAAAAAGAAATACTTACCCATACCAAGCACCACCAAATAATGTTAAAGCAATACCAAAAGCGTTTGTCATATTGATATTCAAATTGAAAATAATAACAGCAAGAATGATAGATAACACTTGCTTCACATTACCTAATATAATATAATAAAATAATGTTAAGACTCCGTTCTATAAATTATATATATTATTATTTATTTTTTTTTTTTGTTATTACCTGCTACTGTCATGGTCAAAGCACTTGTTTTCTTGTTGGCAGTAAAACTAACAATATTGAGAGCAAAAGCTAAGATACCATTGATCAATAATCCAGAGGCAAGATGATATGTCATGTTGGTAGATGAGAATTCCCTAACTCTTTCCAATTCTCCAGTAACATAAGCGTAAAATACACATTGAACGAAGGCAAGTGGTGACATACGAAGTAATAGATCCAATGGATGAAGTTTCAATCGTCCTACTTGAACTCGATTGGTAACAATGGTTTTAACAGCTGCAAGTACTGTTCCTAATACAGTTAATAAGAATCCAATAACAGTATAATCATATTCACCAATAGTAGCAAATGCAACACCTAGTACCACCTATAAAAAACAATAGAAGAAGAAAAAAAATGAATCATCATAAATAATAAATAATAATAAATAATATTTACGGGAAGTAATGATAGATAAATCATTTTAGAATAAGACTTTTGAAGGAATACAATCGAAATAATCACTGTAAATACTGGTGTCATGGCCCGAATCACTTGATGGAACTAAAATAAATAAATCATATATATATAAGCCCAAAAAAAAAAAAACTAGTACTTTTCCTTTTTTTCTTCTTTTTTTCCCTTTTCTTCACTTACAGCCACTGATACCAAACTCCTATATAGAAGATAACAACAAAAAAAAAAATCATTAAAAGTTCAATTGAGTATCATCTATTTCCTTTTTATTTTTTTATTTTTTCACCCCTATTTTTTTTTTTTTTTTTTCGCCACTATCATCTCACCAAAAAAAAAATTGCATTGTTATTATAAACAACAAGACAATCTTTTTTTTTCCAAAAATAACCAATACATAAATAAAAAAAACCCATCCTTTTTTTTTCTAACTTACAAAGATACATTACTGATAGCTATATTAATAGTATAAAGGACAGAGAACATCAACATAACCATATTTTCATTGTCGTTAAGTTTTGCAGGAGTAAATACACCAAGGATATAAAGAATATAACAACCAATGGAACCACAAAGAGTATGAATAGCTGTAAGACTCCAAGGATATCTAAAATCCAACAAGATGGCTTTATTGTAAAGTGTCAAAGATAGATTCAATACAAAATAAGCTGCAAGCCAAAAGTAACCACTTTCTATGGACCTTTGAGAAGCTGACATTTCTTTCAAGATGGAACTGGGAATATTAAAGATAAGAAAGGAAAGGAGAAAATGAAAGAAGTAAAAAAATAAAAAAAAATGACGGAATAAGGGGGGAAAAAGGAAGGAAGAGGAAAAACGAAGGGGAAGAGAAACAAAAAAAAGAGAAAGACTGGAAAGAAAAAAGTGTGAAAGTTAAAAAGGGTTTAAATAATAACCCGAATTTATGAAAATATTAGTTCCAATCATTTTGTAGCCAATCAACTTGAAAAATCATCTCCGCTGTTGATAAGTTTTTCCATCGTATGTTTCCATTGCCACACCATAATAGATTATTATATATATCAAAATAAAGATAGTTATAATAAATGATTATTTTTTTTTTTATTTTCAAAAATATATTTATATATTCTAAAATAATAACAAAAGTAAGATTTAATGATCACCTTCAGCAGCAGCATGACCAGCCTTGGATGAAAGATAAGCATGCTTGGATTTAGCGGAAGTATAGATAAAGTAACCCAAAGCAAAAGCAGTACCAGCATAAGGTACATTAGAAAGAACTCGACGAGAAGTGTTGAATACAGCTTTTTGGACAACACCAGCAAAAGCACGTTGTTCAAAAGGTGAGATAAGGTAAGTAACAATACCCTAATATTAATATAATATCAATATAATAATAATAATATAATAGATTAGTTTTCATAATTATTATTATTATTATATTTACTTACACGTTGAGTAGGACCACCCATGTTACCCCACCTATCATCAAATTAGAAATAATAAATAAAATACGTTTTTTTCTTTTTAGTCTATCTCTTTTAATAACATTTTATTATTATTTATTTTTTAATTTACCAGCCCATATAACCGTGACCACCCATGTTTAATAGATTTCTAATTCAAAATAAAAATAAATATTATATTCATAAGTTTAATTTACTTTTTCTTTTTATTTATGATATACCTTGGAAATAGATGAAGGAAAAAAAAAAAAAAAGAGTGGGGAGATTCTTTTAAAAAAAGTTTGTTAGAGAAAAAAAGAAAAAAAAAAATAACAACTGTTTTGTTTTTGTTATTTTTTTCTTAGTATAACCAGCCCAGCCCCCTTCCCACTTATTTTTTTTTTTCGATGTCATGGATCATTGATTCTCCGCTGTTCGATACGAAAAAAAAAAATGATGATTTCCTTCTCTCCTAGAAAGATTCAAAGACCTTTCCACTGGGAAAATTCTTAGTATACAACGTGGTCATCTTACTTTGGATTATAAAACGTGATGATGATCTGTCACCAAAAATGAAAAATTTGAGGAGAGTGGCAAAAAAAAAAAAAAAAAAAAATCATATCAAAAATGAATTTAGCAACAATGTTACCTTTTATATATATCTGTCATACTTTGAGGCAAATCATAGGCGGTCATTCAATTTAAACTTTTTCTTTTTTGTTTAAAAATCTTCATTCTTTTTTTTTACTTTCCTCTTTCTTTCTTATTCACTCTCTTTTTTTTTTTTTTAGTAACACTCCTTTTTACTGTTATAGTCTTTGTTTTATTTATTTTGTCTTTTACTTTGTCCTTCTTTTTTTTTTTTACACGATTGACTCGTTGTACTTTTTCTTTTTTTTTTTTTTGTCTTATTTCTTTTATTCTTGTTACTATACAAACTGGAGACTATTATTATATGAATTCTGTGGTAGTGTTTGTAAGTAAAGATGTTTATTAAATTGAAATAAAAAAAACTTATTTATTATTACAATAGAATGCCACTTTTATATCATGGACATCATTTTCGCTCACGACTTTCGACTATTATATCTCCAACGTGGTGGCGACAAAAAATCATCAAACTTACTGGCAAAGGTGATCATGATATCAACAATAATACTACTACTGCTACTACTACTACTCGTGATTGGCGATCTTTATCTCCCAATAATCCACCTTTACCACTTGTCTTGGAAAATGATCATAGTATTACGAAATCCGATTCTCTCCCTCTTAGTCAAACAACGGAACGGTCTCCGAAGGTAGTAAATAAGAAAAAGAGTTTTTTTTTTTTTTTTTTACTTTTTACTTTTTATTTTTATTTTTATCTTTTTTTTTTGTATTATACATTCATTAGTTTTAGTAAATGGTTTTGACATATCTTTTATTATTTGTTTATTTATTCCCACTTTTTTTTTTTTATTTTCACTTTTCACCCTATTTTGATACCTTAATCTTCCCCCTTTTTTTTTTGGTACTGATCTATGGTTACACTTTATTGGATCGTGTCACTTTTTTTTTGATTCTATTCTCACTATTCTATTTATCTTTTTACCTTATTTTTTTTTTTTTTTTTTTGGTTGTTTTCAATGACTCCTTTTGTGGAAAAAGCTTTTGTACTCATATACTGGTTACTAAATCTTTATATTTTTTTTTAGCGATTACCAATTCCGAATAGCTATCGGCGATCGTTTGATGATCCTCATTTACGAAAACTATCCACGATTATTGAAGAAAGTGATCTTTTGACGGAAATATCAATTAGTCCAAGAAGTAGTACTAGTTATCATCGTTATCGTCAACATCATCGACATCAAGAACAAATACCAACACATCCTCAACATGATAAAGACAAAAATAATGATATTACTGTTGTACCTTCACCACCACTACCACCCAATGATACATCACATCCATCAACTTCTTCATCATCTACATCATCGTCATCTGGTACATCTTCTTCTTCATCTTCTTCTTCAACATCATCTACTAATTCATTTCAACCTCCACCATCTTGGCCTATTCATCCAAAGACAGAAAGTCGCTGGTCGTCTTCTCCGTCACTTTTACCCATCAGTGAAAAAAAAGCTAAACGCAAATTTATTAAAATGATTCAAGCAGCTTATCGATTTCGACAAGAAAACAAACAAGATATGCCTTCTGAAATGGAAATCCTTTTTGATTCTAAAGATAACATACAAAGGTTACGATTATGGATTCACGACAAAATTCAATATCATACATTCAAAGGGTAAAGATTATCTATATGAAATGATGGAAAATCTTATTATTTTTTTTTTTTTTTTTTAGTGATGCCCAATATATACCTCCAGAATTATCAAATCGTAGGACATATCATTGTGATTTAGTGGATGTATGGGTGTTAGGTATTTCTCTTTATAGAATGTTGGTGGGAAAATATCCATTCCATGCAAACAATGATCGTCGACTATTCAACAAAATGCAACATGCCGATTTTGGGATTCCTTCACATCTATCATCTGGTAAAGTAATAAACACTTTTTTTTTCACCTATGTAATCTAACCCTTTTATTATTATTATTATTATTATTATTATTATTACTTTTTTTTTAGATGCAAAAGACTTGCTACGTCGCATGTTGGCTCCAGATCATTCAAGAGCATCGTTAGATTTGGTAATGTTCCATCCATGGTTGAAACCTTATACAGTAGTGATTTCCAACAATAATGATAAATCTTCTTCCTCATCTATCATTACTCCTTCTCGCGTTGTACCATCTACCTCTTTACCAACTCCTTTGTGGCATCCATCCACTAGTACATCTTATCATATCAACACTAGTCGTAGAAAGAAATCATTGGTTTCCCATCTTACCAAGGTCATGGTTTTCATCATTGAAGGTCCTTATCCACCTCCTCGACAACCATACCGTGATTTATCTCCAACCATTCGATTTTGAACCTTGTTATTTTTATATAGAAATTCTTTATCATTCCATTAGTATATCTTTTTTTTTTTTGAATTATTACCACTATTACTTATTCCCCCCCTTTTTTTTTTATTGTACTTATCCTTTACTTTTTGTTATTACTATTTATATACTATATAGTTTGTGTCTTACAGCTAACATTGTATATTATATTTTTTTTTTTTTAGTTTCTCATTCCATTATCATATATTTTTATTCATTCTATCCATCCTTTTTTTTTAGACCTTCTCGTTACTTTAATAAAAAAAAACAGGCTTTTTTTTTGAAACACATTAATGATTTTTTTTTCCTTTATTCAACAAGATCACGTTTACCTTATTTTGTGTTGATAGTAACGCCACTCCTTGATCTTGTTTCTTTTTAGCCATTTCCCTCCATTTCCATCACCCCCTCCTTCACCTGCAGATCCATCCTGCCATGCGACTAGGCATTTTATTTACATGTTCTAAACATCATTTCATCCACGTGTACATCCAACTTTATGGATCGTTTATCCGAACAACCTACCCCATTTTTTTTTCTTTTTTGCTATTTTAAGAATCATCATTCCACGTTTCGATCTACACTATAACAAGTAGCTTGTTTTGCACTCACCAAAAATAATCATAAATCATAATAACAAATAATAATAATAAAAAAAAAAATTCTTCTGACAATGGAAACCAATCAAAAAAAAAAAAAAAAAAAAAAAGTAAATTTATTGAACTTTATATCCAAAAAAAAAAAAATATGTCTACAACTACGCTATAAAAAAGGATTTATGTTCAGGTACAGGAGTAATAAGAGTCTGATCCTTCATAGCCGCCACCAGATTATCCAAGACCAAATCTTCCATTTTCTTTTGACTTTCATTCGTATAGGTACCAATATGAGGCAACAACACCGATCGAGGATGGGTCAATAGACCTGGATGAACCTTGGGTTCTTCTTCATATACATCTAAGCCCGCCGCAAGTACCTTGCCTGATTCCAAAGCTTGCACCAATGCCGCTTCATTGATCACCTTACCACGCGCCGTGTTCACCAACACCACACCTTGTTTCATCAATGCAAATTCCCGGAAAGATAATAAATGAGTGGTTTGCTTGTTCAAAGGTACACTCACTGATAGAATATCCGATGTCTTGAGTAATGTTTCAAAATCCACATAGGTAGCATTGTATTGTTGTTCCACTAAATAATTCATACATGCATATGGATGTAAATGGGGTGACATATAAACAAGAGAAATAAAAAATTAAAAAAAAAAGATACATATAGTCATAGGTACATTGCAGTTTTTTTTTTTTTTTTTTTTTTGTTACCTTGCATGGGTAATCGAGTTCTATTATAATAGATAATATTCATTTCAAAACCAGACATCCGTTTAGCAATGGTCTTTCCAATCCCTCCCATACCAAGTAAACCCAATGTTTTGCCTTCAGGATCTATTCCCATAGATACACCATGACGGAATCGACCTAAAACAAGTGAATATAAAAGAGAAAGATGAATGATGATACCAAAAAAAAAAAAGTAATGTCATTCCATGTTATTTTTTCGTATCCTACCTTGACGAAGATTCTCTTCAGCTTGATAAGCATTTCGACAACAATTCAGGATCAAAAGAACAGCAATATCAGCCGTTGCCTAAAAAAAACAGAGAGAGAGGAAGAATGATGATTATTCATGTCATCATCATCATTGGAACTTACGTTATCTACAGCAGTAGGAGTATGAGAAACCATGATCTTCTTGGCAGCACAAGCATTCACATCAATAGAATCATATCCTGCTCCACAGTATACAATCCATTTCAAACTTGCCAAAAAAAAAAAAAAAAAAAAAAATTGGACTCGTTAGAAATACATATATATATAGTTCCTTTTTTTTTTTTTTTTTTTTTTTTTTTTTTTTTTTTTTTTTTTTTTTTTTTTTACCTGGAAGGTAAATGATGAATCATTTCTTCATCAAAAGGTCCTATCACAGCTTGAGATTCACTTGACCGATAGATTAAAACCACATCCTTATACTTGTCATGACAATCAGCTATGAATTCTTCTCGAGACCGAGAGGTATAATATTGAATATCGTATTCCTTTTGTAGTTCAGCAAGACGATCAGTGGCAAATGTAACACATCCAACTATAAGACAAGTACGCGACATTTTTTCCTTTTTTTTTTTTTTAATGAGAAAAAGGAGTGAGAAAAAAAAAAATAGGTGTGCTTGAATCTTTTAGTGCCCATCATTTCGGCGAAAAAAAAAAAATCCGTTTTTTCCCAACAAAATTAGTTAAATAAATAAAAGCAAAAAGAAAGTTTATTTCACATCATATAACTGGAGGGTATCACCAAAATAAAACTAATCTGAAGATGGTGTGGGGGGTAAAGGATGATGACTATCTTTACTAGCTATTGTTTTTGATAGGGTTTTCTTCAAAGGCAACTCTTGATGTTGATCTGATGATGCTTGGTGATTGGCTTTTGTTGTTGGAGGTGAGGTAGTTGGAAGACTTTCAGGAAAGACAGGTTGAGGTGGACGTAAAGAAGAAGTTGGTAAGATTTGATGTACAGGCTGTTGACCAGGTGATGATGATGATGCCGATGAAGGGGATGAACCTATAGATGTTGATAATGGTCGTAACGGTGGAGAAGTTGATGTGGTTGATAAAGAATCAGGTGACGTTTCTGTTGGTGATATGATGGATGATCCTTGTAACGATGTTGTTATCACTGTTCCATTTTTGCTGATCTCCATTTTACTTGAATGGTTCTTGCTATTATCATCTGTATCCATACTTTCATCATTGGCATCTGGATAAGGTATGGTGTAATTAACAGGAAAGATCCCACGGGTATTTTGCTGTCCATTCTTGACAGGCATTTCGCCTAGCCACCAGCCATTGTCCACCTTATCCACTACATTGATGATGTCGTTCACATGGAATGTTAGTTCATCAGGATGATCTTGAACATGTTCATAAATAGCCTTTCTTTGTTTTCCCTTGATTTGATCTATCAAAAACCATTTGTTAGTATCTTTTCTTTTTCCTTTTCTTTTTTTTTTTTTTAAAAAAATTTGAACTTACTTTTTTCAACCTTTTGAGTATCAGAGTCTTTTTGATCATTGTTGATTCTAGTATCTTGTCCATCACACTGATCCCATTTCTTGTTTGCGTTTTCCAATATCTTGACTGCTTCTTTGTGATAAGAAAGTTGATTTTGCAATAGGTTTCGTAAGGCATCAATATGATCATCCTATTATATAGATAAAAAGTTTATTACCGATGAATATATTATCTACCGAAAACTTACTTCTGTTTCTTGAAGTGTAATCATACATTGTACTACATCGAATTCGGTTTCTTCATATTTGACCTTGGCAGCTTGTACACTTTGTTCAGAATCCGGACTTTCCTTTTTCGCTTTTTGTAGCCGATTGTACTTTGCATCATAATCCAATCGTCTTGATTCCAATTTTCGACAAAGAGTGAGATATTCCTTAAAGTTTTGATTGAATTGTTGTAGTACTACCATATAATCATCTTTGATACTTTTGGCGAATTCATCTTCCATTTCAGAAAGACGACATTCACCTAAACCAAGTGTAGTCAAGGCATTCCCTAATAACAAAAAAAAAAAAAAAAAAAAAAAAAAAGGAAAGAAAAAAGAAAAGAAAAGAAAAAAAAAAAGTTAATTTTTCATTATTTTTTTTTCTTTTTTTTTTTTTTTTTACATTGGATTGAATCACGAGGAAACATATTGGCATGACATACCAGTGCCTCACCATAAGCACCTAGAGGAGCTCGTTTTGAACCATTATCTGAAGTAATCTTGTTCTTTTGTATATATTGTACAGCTAATTCAAGGGTATGACGCATTTGATCAAAATCTTCATGTCTTTGTTTGGTTTCACTTTGGAAGTCCTTGAATTCCTCTGAAGGTAATGTACCATGAGATGCCCCCAACTTTTCACCTGCCCACTAGATAGTTTACATTGATGAGTTATATATAAAAATATAATTTCACCTTGATTTGCTTTTTCTTCTTACTTGTCTTATTTTGCCAAAGTTTTTGATCATTAAAAAAAAATATATATCTATATACAGTCTAAAGAAAAGGATGAAGTAACAGAAAAGAAGAAGAAAAAAAAAAAAAAAAAAAAGAGGAAAAAGAAAGAAGAACCAAATAAAAAAAAAAAAAGAGATAAGCGTATTTTTGTTTGTTTGTTTTTTTAACTTCTGTGTTTAAAAAATCCATTCATCTCTTTTTTGCCCATACTTTGAAAAAGTACATTAAACTCTTCTAGTTAATCAACTTCCTTTCATCATATTAAATCAAACTTTTTTTTTAATTGAATCTATATATATATATAACTTTGATGATGTTTTCAAATTATATAACACTAAAAAAAAAAAAAAAAAAATTATCATTACACAGTAATTTCTCTTTATTTATATGAAGATCATTCTTTTTATATATATATGTAAAAACAATCAATCATATAAATAAATGATATACAATATATACTATCTTATATAATCATAATAAAAAAAAAAAACATATTGGAGCATAGAAAAGTGTTAAAAAAAAAAAAAAGGTATTGTCACAATTCCCATTTTTAGTAACTACATGGTTAGACAGTGACATTATGCAAAAAAAAAAAGGGAAAAGATATACTGTAAATGTATACTCCGACAGAAACAGCAAAAGTTTAAAAGTAAACGTCAGCTACAGGGTTCGAACCTGTGCGGGCAGAGCCCATGAGATTTCAAGTCTCACTCCTTAACCACTCGGACAAACTGACGGATATTTTTTTAACATAAAATCTGAATGATAAATCAGAAGCATAAATTTCTGCAATGTGATTGGTCAATTGGGCTCGGTAATTGATTTTACCGGTTTGTTAGGGGGAGGATTCTTCGGCGTTTGATTTAACCGATGCTCACGCATCAAATTTTTTTTTTTCTTTTTTCTTTTTTCTTTCTTCTTCTTTTTTTTTTTTTTTTTTTTTTTTTTTATAGCTTTATTATATTTGTTTCATTATAGCCAAACTTGTATTATTCTTTGTCTGTATTATAGGAATAATTATTTAATTTAACCTTTAGACAGTTGATTCTTATTAATGTCGAACATTGTTTCTCATTCTCACCAGGTAACTGAATTGTGCCTTTATTATTATTTTTGTTACTACACAATTCTTATTATTCTTACGTGTATTATAGTGATGAGACTATTGGGGGGTGATAGGAATATATTGTAGGACAACTCTGTAGACTTTTATGATTAAAGCAAGTATGAACGACTGATGCTTCTGGTAAGGATCTTGGAACAATCCTCTCTCAAATTGGTACTCTTTTTTTTTTTTTTTTTTTTTTTTTTTTCATTGCATATTATACAGTGGATAGATTTATATTTATTTTGATTCAAATAAAAATACATTATTTCCTGTATTTTTTTTTTTTTTTTTTATCGTTTAGTCCATAATGGTTTGTGCATGATGATGATGAAATGTGTGGAATGAAGGATGATATATAGTAGTTTCACTGGATGATGATGATTGATCAACAACCGGATATTTCAGTGATGGTCCTTCCTTTTTTTTTTTTTTTTTTTTTTTTTTGAATGGTGATTGTTCGAGAGCCAAAGGAAGAGAGCGAAAAAATAATATGATTTTTATTATCTAGAATTGTGGATGGTATAATGTAAAGGAATGTAACTAATGACTAGGGTAACAAAATGATCAGATTATACTAACAAAAAATATGGATGATCATTCCAAATGTAATCTTCCGTTAATTTTTGATGGTGAATAACGTGTTCAACTAATTATTCTTTATTTCATTGGATTCATCATGTTGGCAGTTGGAGTTTATATCACAAATACATTGTTTTTTGGTTGATTCTTCTAATCGGATCAACTGATTCAAAATATCGTCATCTAATCAATGAAAGGGTAAATTGAAGAATAGTTTGACGTGATTGCTTTTTACACGGTTCCTTTTTTTTTTTTTTTTAAGGAACTTACAAGTTTTGTTGATGCGTGCATTGACTATTGCAGACTCTGCTTTCTATAGTACAAGTATAAAAAAAAAAAAAAAGGAAGAAAGAAAGAAAGAATAAATAACGCGTCTTCTAATATGCATATATATATTCAATTACCCAAGTTTCAAGTAGTTCTGTTATCTATAGGAACTTTATTAGAACTGGTTTATTATTAATGTATTTCATACTTACTTTATTTTGGTCGTTTCTGATTGATTCTGTCATATCACTTAAAATATGTATTTTTTTAAAAAAAAAGGGAAACGGAAAAAAGAAAAGAAAAAAAAAAATGCAAACCGGTGATTGAAAAGAAAAAAAAAAAAAGTTGGTTATCTGGTGATTTGCTGAGGTCCATTTTTTTCTTCTCTTCTTTTCTTTTTTATTTTGCTTCCTACCCTTAAAGGACCCAATGTCTACTAATAATACTGAAATAGAACTAACTGATGAACAAATCTTACAGTTCGAACAACAAATCAAAGATGAAGAAGCTCAAAAAGTAAGTGATGATTATAAAAAAGTAAACTTAATAATATTTATATATATTTAGATTCCACTTGTTTGTCAAGACGAACCATTATTAAAACTGGAAGAAGAATTCAAAGATAATGAACCTTTCTTACAAAAAATTAAGGCAAGTCAAAGAATAAGAATAAGAAAAGAAAAAAAAAAGAGGTTAATCTGACTTCAACTTGGAAATAAATATATGTTTGTTAATGGTTTTCCAACTTGTTGCTATAGAATCTTTCTCGAAAGCATAACAGAATACGAAAATGTCGTGGGGATGGTAAGATAGAAATATATATATATATATATATGTATGAACTAGATTCCCTTACTTATTATGTTGTTTTTTTATTATTTTTTTATTTTTTTATTTATTTTTCTTTTATACAAGGAAACTGTTTTTTTCGAGGTACGAATATGAATACTTTATATATTTATTTCCTTTTATATTAACCTGTTTATATAATTGTTAGCTTTTGCCTTTGCTTGGTTTGAAAGTGCACTACACGATAATGATAAATTCAAAACGGCACTTGCACGACTGAAAATGACGCCCAAATTACTAGAAAAAGGTGGATTTCAACCATTGGCTTTTGAAGATTTTTACGAGATCACAGTGGAACAATTTGAAAATATACCCAAGTATGCATCCGATCCTGATATGTTTTTGGTGAATTTCCAATCTGAAGAAATCAGTAATGCCATTGTCATGCATTTACGATTTGTCGCCTCTGCTTATCTACGTGTTCATGCTGATGAATATGAACCCTTCCTTGTGGCAGAAATGATTTCTATTGATGAATTTTGTGCGATGCATGTGGAAGCTTTTGGACGAGAATCGGATCATCTACAAATCATTGCTCTGGCCAAGGCACTGGATACTCCTGTGGAAGTGATTTATTTGGATGGAAGTAGTGATTCAGAAGCTGCTGTACATGAATTTTGGCCGGATGAATCTCAGAAAGGACAACGACAACCATTACAACTTATCTATCGACCAGGTATATATATAAATGAAATCATCATTCATCATCATCTTACTCATACTCTTTTTTTTTTTTTTTATTGTATATGATTAGGACATTACGATATTCTCTATTAGCTTAGCTTAGTTTAGGTTTCTACCCAAAATAATAAAAAAAAAAAAAGAAAAAATTTATTCTCCACTTTTTTCCTTTTTTTTTTTCTTTTTTTTTCTTTTTTGTTATTATTATCTTAACGATCTCTAATGCCATGAATGGAGGTATCAAAAGGAAATTGTCGATAGATCACGAAAACAATAGTGAAGATGATACCATGGAATGTACCATTTGTTCTGAGAACTGGACAGAAACTGGCCCTCATCGTTTAGTGTCACTCAAATGTGGCCATCTCTATGGTGAAATGTAGTAAAACAAAACCAATCGATATATAGAAAAGAGGCAATATACTAATAATCTTTATAATATAGGTGTATAGTTCGTTGGATAGATCGATCAAGAGGTCCAAAAGCTCATTGTCCACACTGCAAGTATGTATATACTTTAGCAAATAATAATAATAATATTCTATACTAAAGACTTCCTCTTTTCATAGACAACCGGTTAAAATGAATGATCTACGACCAGTGTTACCCATCAAATTAGCAGCAAAGGATACAACAGAAATTGAACTTCTTAGAAAGGAACTTGAAGCAACAAAAGCAACTATGGTCGAAAGACAATATCAATTGGAAAATTCTCTTCTTGCTCTTAGTATGTCACAACGCGAAATCCAAAAATTGACAGCCAGTATGGAGAAATTCAATGTCAAAGAAAATCACACGGGTGACACTAAAAGGTATTATAATAATAATAATGTAAAAATCATGATATAGGAATATTTTAGTTATTGGTTTATTATTTTTATATAGGGATACAACTATTTCGAAAAGACTTCAACATTATAGGACAGAATATTTGCCAATGAAGGTAAACAAGACATTTTATTCAGTGATGCTGCTCATCACACTATATATATATTAATGTGCATTTTATTTCAATTGTAGGATGTAGGTCCAAGGGTAATGGCTCTATATCAACAGAATAGATCGGTAATTGTATCAACAAAAGAGAAAGATCAGTATGGTGTACATATATACAGTCTGGACAAAACGGGTCAAGATTCATTTTTACCCATTCATTCTGGTGCTATACGAGATATCAAATGTCAAAACGACCTGTTACTTTCTTGTGGACATGATAAAACGCTGAAATTGACATCTATAAAAGATAAGCAATTACTGAATACGTAATATAGAAAAGGAAATGATGATTGGATGTACCCGTATTTAATTTTTTTTTTTTTTTTCAACAGGTTTCCTCTTAGTTCCACTGGTTGGTCTTGCTCTTTCCATCTAGATGACCCATCTTCTCATTTTGTTTATTGTGGATTAGCCAATGATACAACCCTTATCTATGATCGTCGTCAACCACAAACACCATTACATCGACTTCAAAATAGGTCACTAACAGGCGGATCACCCATCTACTCTATCATACCTTCCAATATTGCCGGTACACCTTTGATTCTATGTGGCAATCTGAACAAAGTTTATGCATGGAAGTTTGACAACCCCTTATTACAACCATCCAATGATCAAACAATAAATGATGCCCATTGTCATATTTTTACCCTAGAAGACATGGAAGGTAAAAGCAAATCAGTGAAATATAGAATGGATTTCTAATCAATTAAAATATCTATTCTTTTATACTTTTGGGAATCTAAAATAGATTTTCGACCTTATTCTCTGACGACATCGACAATAGCAGATTCATTCCTGATATCATTACGACGACATAATTCAAGCAAACATATTATTGGGACAATCAACAGTGATTTAACGATAGACGTACATCATAGCTTTGGATATCCTTACCATCAGAAATGGGTAACTCGGACGATTCAGTTTGACACTGATGTTGGATCTGTGATAGGTTATTCCAATGATGAACATGAAACGGTAAGAATATTTAAAAAAATAGCAAAAGAAGTATATATATATATATATATATATGAGTGTATTGACATATTAGGTGAAGATGAATAATTATTACTGTTATCGATACTAACTCCCCTCTTCATTTGTTCATAGTTATGTTTGCATGAACATGATAAAATTGGAATGGAAAAAACATATCCTATTGGTGAACGCATTTTTGATATTGGCCATTGTTCCCTTGGTGATGTTGATAGTGATATGGTGGCGGTCTTGACAGCATCCAAGCTTCATTTGTATAGATATATGTAGATATTTCTTTTATTACTTTAGTGTTTATTCTTTAGTTGTAAATTTTCTTTTTGTATGTATATATTAATAAATTCTTAGGTGGTAGAAAAAGGGTTGGATTGAATTTTATAGAACATTGGGTTCAATGTAGTATGTGATTCTGCTTATCATTTGTTTAATAGAACATGACAATAATTTATTGGTAACAGGTTGACTTTTGGAAAAACGGATGAAAAGATTTCTCTAAATAATAGTGAAAAATAAGCTTTTTTTTTTTTTTTTTTGAGCAATCACCTTTTTTAGAAGTACACGTTATGATATCTGTTTTTAAAATGATTTTTTTTTTTTTTGTGCACAGAATTTTTTTTTTTCCTCTTTCTCTTTCACACTCTCTTTTATGCTTTCACCAATAAATCTCAAATGTCATCCGACGAATTAAATACAGAAAAACCATTACCTCATATGAATGACGAAAGCAATGACATTATACCAACAACAGCTAACAACACAACAAAACAAAATATACCAGTAGCTTTGAAGGAATTGGACCTTTTACTTAATGGATCACCATCATCGTCTCATTCACCCAAAGTCGCGGTAAAAAAAAAAGATAAACATCATAGTGTATAGATATATGTATATTTATTTATTGTTCTTTTACATTCGTTTAGTTGAATCAAGAAAAGACCATGCAAGAGGATGATATACAAGCCTATTTTGACGATGATTTATTCGAGGATATATTTTTTGACAAAATGGATGGTAAAGATAGAATTATACTTACGATAAAATTATACTCACATTCCAATTACTATTGTTACCTTTTTTTTTTTTTGTTAGATCGAATATCAACCTTACAAGAAGATGACTTTGTCAGGGAGATTTTGGAAAAAGGAATGGATTTGCGGGAATACGCTCAAGAAATAGAACAAGAAAAGGAACTAATGCAAAGAAGTCTAGAGAACGATTGTAAATACAAAATAATAATAATACAATAATTGGTGAAAGAAAAAAGTAAATTAACTATATATTATCTTTGATAGATCTACAGAATATTGAATCCTTTGTTGACTTACATTCGGAAATCAGGGTAAATGGAAAAAAAACAAGCATGGTTTTTTATTATGATGATTTTTATTGATTCTTTTTTTTTGAGTAGTCATGCGATCAAGTGCTGGGGACTATGGAGGAACTGTTGAATGTATTCCAAAGTGATCTAGGAAATATTAGTGGTGAAATCCAAAATTTACAGGAAAGATCATCCAAGATGAACATACGACTACGAAACAGAAAGGTAAAAAAAAAAAGTGGAATGATAAATGAATGATGAAATTAATTAAGATTTCATGATTTAATAGGCAGTGGAAGCTAGACTAGGCAAAGTACTGCAAGGTATGGTGATTCCTCCTTATGTTATCAAGTAAGTATTTAATTAGTAAACCCAATGTTTTCTTATTCTTCTTTTTTTTTTTTGAATAGAAAAATAACGGAAAGCGAAGTGGATGAAGTCTGGTTACAATATCTACTTGGAATCAACAAACAAATGCGATTTGTTAAGACTAATCAAAACAAACCGATCAAAGCATTACGGAACGTTGGACCTGAATTGGAAAAACTACGACTTAAAGCAGCATCCACTATCCGTGATTTTTTTATCTCTCGTATTCAGTCTCTTTGTGTACCCAATACGAATATTCAAATCATGCAACAATCGGTGTTTTTAAAATATAAGGATCTTCACATGTTTGTCCTAGAACGTCATCAAGATGCAGCAGCCGAAATCCGACAAACTTATATTAATTCTCTTCGATGGTATTTTCAAAATCATTTTGATCGATATGCCAAAGGTTTATCCAAATTACAGGTAATTCCTACCAAAAAAAAAAAAAAAAAAAAAAAAAGAAAAAAAAATTGATTCTTATATTTATTTCTTGATTGATGTTCTTTAGACTGTCACTGCAGATAAATCAGATCTGATTGGTGTAGAGGAACATATGCGAAAAACCGGAGGACTTTTTAGTAGCAATAAGATGGCTCTCAAAGACAAATCGAATCTCTTTGCTTTAGGAGATAGAATGGATACACTTCATTTACAGAACCTTGGTGTGATCTTGGTGCATGTGGCTGAAGATAAGGATATACGATACCAATTTGAACAATTATTCCGTAGTTTAAACCTCACCATGATTGATAATGCCAGTTCAGAATATCTATTTATATATGAATTCTTTTCCAAAGATGTTACTACCGCTGCTGATATTGCCAAGTCCGTCTTTCAACAAATCTTTGAACCGACTGAAAAGATAGGATTGGTAAGGATAACAAAAAAAAAAAAAAAAAAAAAAAAAAAGAGAGACTTATTTTTTTTTTATTAGAGCTTTACGAAGAATTATGTGGAATCTTCCTTCGATACTGTTGGTATTCTTTTATGTATTCGTATCAATACTCAATTGGCTTTAGAACTTCAACGACGACAAGTGCCTGCTTTAGAAGGCTATACCAACTCAACCAACATGTTATTATGGCCAAGATTCCAGTATTTGATGACATTACATATCGATAGTCTCCGGAAATTAGCAAATAATAAATCAGTACTTGGTAGCATCAAAGATATTCATCCGCACTACGTAAGTTTTATATATAGAAATATATATTTATTTATTCATTTTCTATATATATATATATATATCAATGCAGGTTACCCGTCGTTATGCTGAATTTGCAGCTTCCTTATTGGTCCTGAATGATGGTTATGATGATGCTATTTTGGCAAATAGGTATGATGAAAAAAAAAAAAAAAAAAAAGAAAAAGTTGGCATCGAATCTTATCCTCATCATGGTATTTTTTTTTTTTTTTTAAAAGTGTCCAGAAACTCCGGAATGAATTTGAAGGATTATTATCTCGCATGTCCAATGAATTCTCGGATAATCTTCGACGAACAGCATTTTTGATAAACAATTATGACTTGATTGTGTCTGTTTTTCAAGTAAGTGAGGGTAAATGATACTGAATTGAATTATTAACATCTTTTTTTGATAGGAGGCACACAATCGAACGGTGGAGATTGAGTTGGAACATATGAAGCAAATACTTGCATTACATGTCAGTGGATTTGTGGATGAACAATTGAAAGCTTATTTTGGTACCATGATGGATTATGTGAAGAGATATGAAAATAAATCACAATCACTGGATCAAGGTAAAAAAAAAAAAAAAAAAAAAGCGATTTACATCCTCCAATCATGTTGACCTTTTTTTTTTTTTTTGAAAAAGATGAATTAGGTTCGATCTGTTCTAGTTTTGCAACAAGTTGGCGAACCTCTATCTCATCTATCAATGGATCAGTGGTTCGATATTTTTCCAATTTCAAGAATGGTACTACGGTATTACATGCTGTCTTGGGCGAATTGATTGTGTATTATACTCGGTTTTTAGACATTTTAGAAAGTCAACAGTTAGTCAACAAACTTCAACCGGTGGATGTACAAACTGTGATGATGGAAATCAAAAAGTTTAGAAGTACATTTTGAATTGAATAAAGAAATAAATATTTTTTTTTTATTGAAGAAACTATGGAATAGATGATCATACGTAGATGATGATATTATGATGACAATTTGATAGAGAATAGCTTTTTTTTTTTTAATATATGGGATTACTATGAACAAAAAAAAAAAAAATTATAAGAATCTATACTACAAACTATTTACAAATGAAGTTTCAAAGTTGACTCATTTTATCCAAAGAATCCATTTTCAACAAGATGGCCTCGCCATTGCCTTCAAGAGCCAGATATGCATTGACTGCGATTGCTTGTCGATAGAGATGTTCCAATGAGGATACAGTAGATTGGGATTGAGATGCTATTAAAAGAGTGAATAGAGTTATTATTATTATTATTTTTTTTTTTTTAAAAAAATGAGACGGTTTACCAAGTATCACTGAATTCAATCGAGTGGCTAGTTGATCACGGCATGTCAAATCCAACAAAGGTGCGGCTGGACTATTTTCCACATCAGGATATGCCAGTAAAGAGAATATTTCCTACAAAGCAAAATGAAAAATGAAACAATCAATAACCACTTTTTTTTTTCTTTCTATTTTTTATTCCATTTTACCGTTAGCCTTTCTTTGGTAGAAGATCGTTTATCCAAACGATATTCTTCTTGTAATTGTTGTCCAAGAGCCATAGCAGATTTCAACAAGCTCACACCATCATTTCCTTCGTTTTCCACAGCAAGGTTTTCATCATCACCATGGTCTTCGATTGTATGAGAGCCATTTGGGATCGTTTGAAAATCTTTGGTAGACAAATGGTCATCATGATGGCTGTAATGATTATCATGGAAGAAATAATCGCTGCAGTTCGAATGGGACGAAGTGGAAGAAGGAGAAGACGATGAAGATGGTGGGTTGGCGGCTGCAATGGATGCCCAACTAGTACGTCGTGACGAGTTGTCATTTGTTGCTGTTAAGGTGTCAACCAAAGGAGAATGAGAAGAAATATTGTCACTATTGTCATCCATAATAGTATCTTCATCTTCCAAAGTCGTCGTAATAGTCACTTCGCTATGCTCTGATGATCGTTGTTGTTGTTTCCGATATGCCATATATTCCCTCATGATTTCAATAAATTGTCCACATTGGAGTTGGAACATCATGTCGTCGCCTGGTTGTAAAACACCTGGATAATAAAGATGAGTCAATCGAATAGCTTCGTCGATATTTCCCTTCATAATAGTGCATCGAATATCTATCATAACAATATAAAATATATGTAGACAAATCAGTATTAAATAAAGAAAACATTTTTTTTTTTTTTTTTTTTTTTTTTACCTTGTCGTTGAGATATATCAGGTTCAGAATGAACTGGATTGCTGGATGCCAAAGTAGTATGATCATGTACCAAAGCATTTGCTGTTGAAGTATAGCCATGATGTAAGAGATAAGACATGACAAGAGTTTCCATATCATCTTTAGTTTCAGACAACGTGTTTTGTTGTGATTCTTCTTGTTGTAATATATCTTTCCAAAAGAGTCCTGCTTTTTCCTAAAAAAGTATCCACCAACCGATCAAGAGAAAAAAATAATGATGAGTCTTTGTTTGATATATATATATATATATCTGATTTTTTTTTTTTTTTTTTGTGTATAATTTTACCTTGATATAAAGTTCAATGTCAAACATAAAATCTTCATCACCAAAATTGGTGGCCACATGTTCTCCAGGAGTACGTAGTCCAATAACAGGATAATATTTTTTTGTCAAATCAATGGAAGAAAAGGCAGTTCCAATCAACATACCATTCTTTGTATAAAACGCGGTTGCATCACTAAAGTTAACTCCACATCCAATCACGTCGCCAGTGGTAAAACTTGGTCCATATGTTTTTCCAACACCACTACCAGCAAATCCATGTCCATCGTCACCATGATAGCCAAATGAATTAGTATCCCAACCTAAAAAAATATATATATATATAAATATGAGGTCGTTATTTATTTCCAAATATGAGAGTTTATTATTATTACCTGGTAATCTTTCCAAATCATTATCCTTTGTACAGAAACCGATTCCAATATAACCATCATCTCCTTTTGATATGACTTGCATTTCAAAATAAAAAATTCCACATTGAGGTGGCATGGGAAAGTTGCTTCGAATAGAACCAGCATGAGCTTCGGTTTTCCCAGGGCCTATCATCCGATATATAAAAAAAAAATTAGTATTACTATATATGAACTACTTTTTAATGTTTTTACCAGCATATTTCAATTGAAGACCATGACTATCTACTTCGACATGTTTTGCTTTATCTTTCCAATTCCAAGCTGTTGGTAATCGAAGTTCAAGATCATCCCATTCGGCAGTAGAAGAAGAAGCTGAAGATCGTCCTTTTGGTTGATTAGAATGTTCATATTGTTCATAGACCAAGTTGGCATAGGAAGTCTGTTTAAGATATTTTGGATACTTTGGTGGTGCAAGTGATTGATAAATAGGATTTGTTGAAAGGGAGGAAGATGGCCAGTTGGATGGCGAATCCTTATGATAGACTTTTTTGGCGATACTATAAAAAGCAGGTGGTACTGGTATAGAATGTAATGCTGGGAAAGCTGATGTATATGAGGTCATTGAAGAAAAAAAAAGTTATAAATAATAACAAAAAAAAAAAAAAAAAAAAAAAGGCGGGAAGAAGTATAGTGTTGAGAAAAAAAAAAAAAAAAGAAAATAATCAAAAAGAATCAAAAAATTTCTCAGCTGACTCTTTGGCGTGAAAAATGGCATGCATGAACTATCAATAAGACTCTCCGGTCCAATCAAATACTTCAGGTTTAGCTTAAAATAAGAAGGGTAAAATGATCTTCTTATTGTTCATCATCATAAGATTCCTTTTTTTTTTTGTGGATTGGAACAGATATATATATATATTTTACAGTGTTTTCAAAATTTTTTTTTTCTGGTCACAAGAAAATAGTTTCATGATATTATAAAATAAAATATCAAAATGGGATGTCGCATTACCATTTTTTTTTTAAAAACTCCAGATATGTCAGTAGAGATATTGACGATTGATGATGATAATAAAGTATATTAATCATTCTCTCTTCCTTGGTGTTCCAATTCAATGTGAATAATCAACCTGTTATCACCTCTTAGGAGGGATGTATTGAATGCTTTTCTACAGGCAAATGAAAAAAAAAATGGATATGTTGATTAAATATTTTTTTTTCTATTATTTAAAAATCTCTTGTATTCAATGGAACTATCTATATTTTGTAAACGGCAGCGGAGTCTTAATGATGTCTCTTTCCCCAATTCAAAGTCGAAAAAAAAAAAAAATGAATGACGTTTTTGTAAAGTTTCACCTTCTTTTACCATAAAGAAAAAATATATCATGTTGAATATATACACGGCAGCACTAGAAGGAAAACTATTTATTGTACAACAACTTTTACAAGCTGAACCTGCCATTATCAATAGTCATGATGAAGTAAAAAAACCTATCATATTATCAAAAACAATGACTTAATATATATATTTTTTTTTAACAGGATGAACGAACACCACTACATTGGGCAGCTTCTGGTGGTCACGATGAATTAGTCACTTTTTTGATTGATAAAGGTGCTGAAGTCAATGCTAAAGATGATGTAAGCTAACCAAAAAAAAAAAAAAAAAGAATGACAGTTTACTAATATATATATAATATATCCAACTTAGTCAGGTTGGACTCCTTTGACAATAGCAGGTATATTTTAGAATATATATATATATATATCTATATGCTTTGGTCAACTCATTCATCTTGTTTACTATTGATATAGTATCCAGTGGTCATGATAAAGTGGTTCAAATACTTTTAGAAAATGGAGCCAATGTTAATTCACAAAATGAAAGTGGACAAACACCATTGTAATATATATATATTATATTTATTTTGATGTCATATCTCACTTTTTTTTTTTTTTTTTTTTTTTTTTTTTTTTTTTTTTAAAATAGACATTATGCAGCATCAAAAAACAGACTTGAAGTAAGAATTTTTTTTTTTTTTTTTTTTTTACTTATTTTTTTTGGTTCATAGATTGCCAAGATTTTATTGAAACATCAAGCCAATGTGAATCAAACCAATGATATCCAACAAATCCCATTGTAAGTAGGATGAGAAATAACAATCATCATATGACTGATCCTCAACTTATATGTAGACATCGAGCATCAGTACAAGGATATACACCATTGGTCAAGTTATTATTAGACAACGGTAGTCGGGTAAATCCTCCTGATCAAGCTAGGAATACACCATTACATTTGGCTTGTGAAGAAGGTCATGGTGATACTGCTGTAATCTTATTGGAAAATGGTGCTGATTCTGATAGACTGAATACTGATGGGAAAACACCTGTTGATCTTTGTTCTAATGAATTGAAATCTTTTCTATCTCAACATTTAGATTAGTATATATATATATATATATATATATATATTTTCCCCATCAATCATTATTATTTTTTTTTTTATTATTATATATAGTTTCTATTTTTATCCATTTGGTTATACGATATGCCGAACTTCTTGGCATTCTTTATGTTGTGTAATAAAAAAAAAAAAAAACAGAATCAGATAATCATTACCTTATTTATTAATCATTATTATGTTATCATCATGCTTCTTTTGGACAATGAGGATAATCATCAGTAATAATCATTATAATGTTTTTTTTTGGTGACCAGCAGCATCAGATGAGATGTTTTTTATTTTCTTTATTTCATTTTCAAATAATTTGTGTGTGTGATGGTATGTGATTTTGTGTGTGTGTGTGTGAGCGAGAGTAAAATAATATATATATATTTATATATAGATGACGATACGTGTGGTTATGTTGCAATGAGAGGAAGTTGACTAAAGGGATGAGAAAAAAAAATAAACATGATAGATAAAAGAAAAAAAAAAACTATACAGATACAAACAAACAAATGAATGAGTGTTAAAAAAAAAAAGGAGGGGTGAAGGTTGGGGGTGGGACTAATAAAAACCAGATAGGGTCATAGGTTGTAAAGAATATGAACCAGTAAGTGCACCAGGTTGAAAAGAAGCCATTAGAGTTGAAGGTTGTAAAAGAGCCTGTTGTTGTACTTGTTCTTTTTCTTGTTGTTGTTGTTGTTGTTGAATTTGTTGATTTACTTCTTTCTTTTGAGCTTCACGCTGTTTCTTTTGTCGTCTCCATTCTTTTCGCATTTCCTTGAATTCAGCAGGATGCCGTTTAGGACCCTAAAAGTAATATCAAGTTCAATAGATGGAATAATATTTTTTTTTTTATATTTCAAACTTACATGATTTTGCATTAGAATATGACTATTGAGATGATTCAATGTGCCGTATGATTTTTTACATCCAGAGAATGTACAATGATATAATCGTTCAATTTCATCATATCTTCTCCTAGGTCGTTTCTTTTGATTCATACCAGGAATAGCAACGAAGGAATATATCTTGTCAGATGAAGCACTACCAACTGAATCCTGTCGTTCTCGTCCAAAAGTGTCGAAAGAAGATGAGTTTGTTGTAGTTCGATAATAAGCTGATATCAAATCAGTAGTGTCATCAAGACTAGAAGGAACCGTTGATGATGGTTTAGGTAAACAAGCAGTAGTAGGTGTCATCATAGTAGAAGGGTCATATATCATCGTAGCAGCAGCAGCAGCAGCAGCAGCAGTATTCATATCACCAGTAGTGGTAGAATTATTTATATATAAATTTGTAGAATCTTGTATAGAAGAAATAGGCGTTGTCATCAATGGTGTAGTGGTCAACATACAAGAAGTAGTAGTAGTAGTAGTAGTAGTAGTAGAAGGTAAACTGACAGGTGGAGTCAAAAAATCAACAGACGCCATAGTTGGTTCAGTGTTTGTCAAAATGGTAGATGGAGAATGTGTGGCATAAAAAGAACCTGTGGAAAGTAATGGTTGATCTGCAGAAGCTGTAGAAGTTGGTGTTGAAGTAGAGTTCGTACCGTCATCAGTTAATAATTGTGATAATGGTGGAAGAGATGGTGACAAATAAGTTTGACTAGAATATAAGGAAGTTGAAGAAGACATGTATAGAAGAAACGGTTATAGAAGGAGATAATAGAGATAATAATAATAATAATAATAAAAAAAAAAAAGAAAAAGAAAAAAGAAAAGTAAGAAAAGCAAAAAAAAATATCTTTTTTCTCTTTTATTCCTTTTTTTTACCCCTCCGATCTTTTTTTTTTTTTGCCCCTCCGCCTTTCAGATTTCTTCCTCCCCCCTTTTTACAACTTTTTTGAAGCCATATTATAGGATAAGGTATTATTTCAAGGGACCACTCAAAACAATTTCTTCAGCATGAATTCATTCTTTTTATGAATCGATAGCACCTGACCAATAAAAAACTATTTCATTAACAAAAGGGATGAGACAATGAATTTCCGCATTTATATTCAAAACAAATTTCAGCTATATAAAAAAAGATGAGATAACAGTCATATACAGAATTTATTAATGTCGGAATGGGGTGCCTACCTTTATTGGTTTAGTTTCTTTTTTTTTTCGCCTTGAAAAGTTAAATAAAACTGGAACGCCCGTCCTCCCCCCTGTCACACATACACGTTTTCCCCGACTTACTCGGTGCCAAAGAGAGGATCCATTCTTTTCCAATCAAAAGTGATCTTCATCGAAGTATGTTCAATTCAGAAAATCAGAAAAATAGATCTGAATTTTATATAAAAGATATTTATAGTAAACTATAGATGATCAACATTACACTATACCATGATTATAACCTATTATTCTATCACCATGTATACCATCTCATTTCACCATCATTATTAATAAAGATTACTTTTTGAATGATTTTTTATTATGAAACTTTTTTGATTTTCTACTAGGTCTAGCTATTAACAAAGGAAAGTCAGCTACTGTGGGAGTGTATTGGTGATAATCCTGCTGCTTATCATCTTGTTCTTGTTGATAAGTATTAGGTGAGTGATATCTTGCAACATTTTCCACTTCCTCCAAATTATGAGCGAATTCACATGTATCACCTTTTAGGCATAATCCTTGTAACCTTTTTTTTTTGTCGAAATAAATAAACACACACACAAAAAAAAAAAAAAAAAAAAAAATAAAAAATAAAAATAATATGAAGAGGGTAAGTATCAAGTCGTCTTTTTTTTTTTTTTTTGATTTACCAAAATTTACATGGCTTCACCTCCAAATCATGAGCAAACCAACAATCCTTTCGATAACATTCACCTGCAAGATAATGTCGACATACTTGACGTTTCTTGGGAGATCCAGATATTGCTGTTGATGCTGACGATGTTGTGATTGTTGTTACTGACGAAGAAGGTGATGATGCGATCATGACTGTTTTGGATACCTTTCCTACTTTGGGTGATGAAGATGTCACTACTTGTACTTTTTGGTTGTTGTCTGTTGATACAGTGGTTGGTGTTACTAATAATGGTGTTGTGGTTGATGATGACGATGATGATGTTGTGGTTGTCGTTACTTCGGTAGATGAAGATGATGATAATAAGGCTTCAATGGTTCGTTCCACATCATAATCAAACGCTGCTAATGTTTTCCCCAGTTCCTTTTCGTCATGATCCTTGAATAATTGAGATAGTTTCTTCAGTGCCATCATCGCCATACTTGGTTCCTGTTGTTGTTCTACAGATATATTTTCTGTCTCATCCTTGTTCCCTGTCGTTGTTGTAGTTGTTGTTGTAACAAGGTCAGTCGTTGCATGATGACCGTTCAAATTATCTTGAGAAAATTGTATAGTTGGATCAAATTCAGAATCATTATCATAGGGTTCAAATCGATCCCACCAAGATCTAGTAGGAGTTGAAATATATTCATTCTTATTGGTGTCCTCTTGTCTTTGTTGATCTATCGTTGATGTAAACATGTTTGTATTGTGCTGATTCGATGACCCTGATAGTAATAGCGATGAATGTGATAGTGATGGTGTTCCTAGAGTTGTTGTATCAGAACCAACAGGAGACCAGGGCCTTCCGAATGTATCACCCATATTTAGTCGCCAAGGTGTGGTCAATCGAGTTGTTGTAAGTTCTGCAGAATGAGTATGATTTCCACCCAATGTTGTCCTTGTTGAAGAAGAAAAGTTGTTTCTGTTAGTTGGTATCGTTTCAGCATCTACATCTTCAAGAAACTGTCGACTGAGTAGATTACTGAGTTCATCCAGGTCATTGTCTTTTGTATTGTGAATATTTGTATTGTTCGTACTATTTTCCAGTGCGTCAGTATTGAAAGGATCAAAAGATGGAAAGATAGGAGAGACATTCAATCGTTGTTGCTGTTGTGAAGGTGATGGTAGACCTGAAAGAGAAGAATAGAGTGGTGACGATCCGTTAGAGTGACCATGTTGACGAGGTGACGATAACATCTAAAGAAATCAAAATGAGTTTCATGAAAGAGAAGAAAAAAAAAAAAAGGGGAAGGTTAATGATATGTCACTTCCTTTCTTTTCCTTTTTTTTTTTTTTTTTTTTACTTTGAAATTGTCATCCAGTGATATATTGTCACTATAAATAATAAAAAAGGAATGAAAAATTTGTCAGTCGATAAGGAAACATATGAATACCTTGGACTATTGTTCTTTGAATTTCAATATCAAATTAGTAATAATAATGACTACTAAACATTACCGTGGTGAAGTGAGATGATTAAAGTTCCAGCTTGATTGAAACCTTGAGGGATCAGTCATGAATAAGGTGAATAGAACATATACACAGTAAAAGAATAAAAAGAATGAGAAGAAAGGGAGAATTTTTTTTTTCCCCCTTGTGTGTGTAGAGAGCAAACTGACTATGATGATTGGTTGGAATTTGACTTTTTTTTTTTTATCTTTAACATTCAATTTCCGCTGAGTCCGTGAGCAAATGCGTTTACAAAAAGGACAATAGAAAATCATAACCTGAAAGGAAGAAAATGTGATTTTCTTTTTTGCTTGATACTACTGGAGTCAGTATAGCTGGATCAACCCTGAAAAACTAAACTGTACATTCTATAAGGTTCAAGGAGTAAGAAAAAAATAAGACGAAACTTTTCTTGATGCTAGAAGATGATCCTTTGGTCAAAAGTATCTGCTAGATGACATACATCTTCAGTTCTGTACTTCTATATAACTTGATGGAGGTAGAAAAAAAAATCACATTATACCCCTACTTGATGTGCAAATAATTAGAAAAAACAAAGAGAGAAAAAAAAATTATAGTAGTACAGCAGAAATGATGATGATGATAGATGATATGTAAATGAGATGTGATGATGATGGATGAGATGAGATGATAATACACGATATATGATGGATGATGTTATGTGATGATATGTGATGATGACAGATGAATAATGATGGTAGATTTATGATAGTAATAACAATGGTGATGATAGTAAAGGTGATCATGAATCAAATGGTGATTCCTCTAAAGTTGAATCCAATGACGAAATGTTGTTGTGTCATTTCTATTATTGCAAAACAACAAAACCTAGATGGCCGCCAAAGTTGACATCGGTGGACATTTAAGCATAAACAGGTTCTTCAGACAACCATGTCTTCACTCATTGATAAACAAAATAAAAACAGAAAAAAAAAAACATGATATGCTTTGGGCCCTTTTGGGTAATACCCCGTTCAAAGTACCTCCTTTTCTTTTTTCGCACATATAGCTCCTATTTTTTTTTTTTACTTTGTTTCTCCGCAGGTGGCCAACCTTGATCTATCACTGATTTCCCAACAACTGCCGTCAAGTTCATTTATAATCGATCATCATAAATTTCAATCTATTTATGATAATTTATATCGTGTCTTCATATATTTGAACATGTGTCTAAGAGTCATAAGTGTTAAAAATATGAAATAATAAAAAAAAACAGGATAACAGAAAAAAAAAAAAAAAAAAAAAAGAAAAAGAAAAAAAAAGTTCAATAACCGCATTGCATTGATAATATGCGGATGATTCTCTTTTTTTCTAGGATGATCATATTATTCTCTTGTTTCTTTCTTTCTCAATATAATAATAAAGAACTCATATTTCACAAAAGAAACATCCTCTTCCCCCTGAAATAAATAAATAGATCAAAAAAAAAAGAAAAAAAATTGGTTTCTACCCCTCCTCTCCTTCCCCTTGACCCCTCGTTCTCCGCTTTACTTTTTATATCCTCCCTTCACATACTCTTCTCTTTCTTTTTTTTTTTTCTCTTTGATTTTCGCTCCCCCCCTTTTTTTTATTTTGTTTCTTCATCCATGCTTGGGATTACCCAATGTAGCTCCTGGCAAATCAACCAAAAAAGAAAGTGCCAAACAAGTGGATTAACTTTAAATTTGAATTCTCTATATAAAAGGACCCAAAAATCATCATCATCATCATCCTTTCATCATCGTTTTGTATTCCATTTTTTTTTTTTTTTTTATTCCTCTCTTTTCTTTTCTTTTACTTCTATCTATAGCAACTGACGAAAAAAAAATGTTCAAGTCTTTATCACTTTTGTACTTTGTTAGTATGATGATTTGTATCAATGCTTTTCCTTTAATGGAACGTGGTGTGGATGTGGGTAGTGCTCTTCAAGAAGTGGGAAAAGTGGTAGGCAGTTTTACGGGGAAAGCCACTTTTTTCAAACCAAAGGAAGAAGGAGGTCCAGTTGGTAAGTTCATTGTAGTGTAATATCCATATGACCTTTTTTTTTTTTTGCCTACAAGATGAAACTGATTCTCTTCCTCTTTTTTTTTATTTTTTCAGGTGCCTGCGGTCCTACTGAAAATAATGATAGTAAGATTGTTGCTTTGGTAAAAAAAAAAAAAAAAAAAAAAAAAAAGAAAGAAATAGTTTTATCCATTCAAATGAAGCTCACAATTATGTTTTATTTCAATGTTTAGAATTTGCATCAATATGGTGACGCCAATAAGAAGAGTGATTGGTGCTTTAAAAAGGTACGAATTACCTATGGTGATAAGTCAACCGATGCTACTATCACAGATGCATGCCCAGGATGTCAAGAAAGTAAGTCATTTTTTTCTTTATTTTTTTTTTTTTTTTTTTTTTTTTTTTTTTTACTTGCAGCTACTAAGTAATCTCCCTTTTCTTTTCTTTTCTTTTTTTTTATTATTAGAATCACTTGATTTGACTCCCAGTGTCTTTCAAAAATTGGCTTCATTTGATCAAGGTATCATTGATATCGATTGGTGTGTACTTGAAGGTGAAAATTGTTCTGGTGGTAGTCAAGGCAAATCAGCATCTTCTTCTGGGAAGAACAAAGGAAAGGGCAAAGCCTAATAAAAAAAACCCAATGAATCTACTTGATTTTCAACTTGTTCACATCCTTCATTTATTATCCATCTATCTTATCTAGTTATTATTTTATACATTTCTATTAACCTTTCTTTTGATGTTGTAATGTCGTTTTTTTTCTTCGTTTCTTAAATATAAATTGTTTATAATTTCTATATTTCAAAATAATATATACATATAAAATGATAATGTAGTACATACTAACTAAACAGACTATGATAATCTAAGGAGGAGTTGGGGGTGGGGGAAAAGGAAGGGGGTGGGATATAAAATGAGATGAGATACTAACTGAGGATAGGAAGAAACTAGATAGAAAAGAACAAAAGAAGTAAATAAATCACATTGATGACAAAAAAGTAATAATCTATTTTTGTTTTGAGCTTGTTACTTACATTACCAACTATAACACTTGGAAGATCGAATATGTCACGTTTGATCATGAAACAAAAGGTGCAGGGTATAGGTCGTTTTTCAGGTGATTGCAGAACACAAGTATAGCGAGCGCTAGAAGAATCAGTATTATCAAATGCATGTTTTGAAAAGAGTTTCCAATATTCTACCGCCGAAGGACAATCCATCAACTATGATAATCAAATAGAGTCAGATGATATAAATATTCCCTTATTACCCCCCCTTTTTTTTTTTCTTTTTCTTATGTGCTTACTTCATATATGTATGTCTTTTTATCCAGTAATGATTCCTTGGTCCATTGCGTCAACAAACAGAATTCCTTTCCTAACAAGCAGATTTCCCCTGTTCTTCGCCAAACAACTGTAGGTGTACCAGAAAAACTAATCAATTTTTCATATTCCTGCATAAAAAATAAAAAAATAAATAAAAAAAAATAAAAAAAATAAAAAAAAAATAAAAAAAAAATAAAAAAAAATAAAAAAATAAAACAAAAATAATCAGTAATTCATTTATTTCTTCCAAGATCGCTTACCAAAAGAGTTCTTTGTATACATTTTTCCGTAAAGATCAAATCTTCTTCTGTCAGATTCATAATGAGTGCCAAAAAGGATGGACGGAAATTTGCTAATGCCTTGCTGATTCGCATCAAATCATCACGATCCATTCTAAACACACACACACACAAAAAAAAGATAGTAAATGAGGATCATGATGATCATTCATTAAATCGAACTTACTTTTCACGCACGTATTGTATTAGATAATGAAATCCTTCAGCATAGTTGAAAGGTTTTTCATCTATGGAAGAACTGACACGGTTGATATCATGAGAATTGATTGATACATGTTGTCGTTGCTTTTGTTGTGATTGCCTTTGTTGTTGCTTTTGTTGTTGGACAGTGTTTTTGAGCCTGGTTAATGATGATGACGACGAGGATAATTGTACTGTTTCCTGCTTATGTTGTCGAGGATGTGGATGTCGTGGAGAGAATTCTATTGATGTTGAATACGATGGCTTGCGAATTACTGGTTCTGTCACTTTGCTAGTGAAGGAGGAGCGGCGCGTAGGTTCTTCAAGTGGATGTTGAGTAGTAAAGGAAGTGATTGCTTCATTAGGTGTAGATGAGATGGTCGGCATTGTTGGTATTGTCTTCGATGGAATATGATCACTATGAATCGCCGATGCTGATGTTATTGTTGTTGCAATACTCGAGTTGTTCCAAGATGGTAAAAATGTATCTACTTGCTGAGCAGGTTGTTGTAATACCATATCACCAAGAAATCCATATTCCAGTCCAGCCATGTTCGAATCAAAATTGGAAAGGGTAAAGTTGAATGTATTCAAATAACCTATATGGAAGATGATGATGTTATTGAGCCACATGATATATATAAACTATATATTTCAAGTCAAACTTACTCATACCTGTTGAGGAAATAGCCAGATTGTCAGGTGAAACTATAAAAAGAGATCAACGGTAAAGATGTAACCAAAAAAAAAAAAAAAAAAAAATAAGACAAAAAGGTTCCTGAAAAATTAAATAAACTATTTCCTTTTATATATAATATATTGTTATAATACCTGATAAATAAAAGTTGTTGTTATTATTCATATTATGATCACTACTAGTTGGTCGTTTATTGGAAAATTTATTTGTTGTAGTACCTAATTCAGAATGATCAGTAACTACAAAGAAAAAAAGAAAAGGTTATATATTCCTATATCACCTAAATAAAACTAAGTAAATAAATAAAAAAAAAAGTATCAATATAGATATATTTGTTTTTATGATAAATACATGAATCATTTGTTATAATAGTACTATAGTTCGACTTTTTTTTTTTTTTTTTTTTTTACCCCTTCAGAATGAGAACAGGCTTGTTGAGATAAAGTCTTTAATTCATCTATTTCGTCTTCATTGTTCGATGAAAGATTCTTTAATAAAGTGTTTGACATGAATATAAAAAGATACAAATGAAAAAGAATTGCAATAAAAAAAAAGTGTAAGAGAAAGAAAGAAAGAAAAAAAAAAAAAGGTAACAGTGAAAGGATCGAAAAAGAAATTAAGAAGAGTCTTTTCAATAACCGCCGCAGTTTTGTAAGAAGCTCATGCAAATTATTCAATAATGAAGTACAAAAAAAAAAAAATAACTATTTTAAGGGGGGTACGATACGATAAGGACCAATGAATCAATATATAAGACAATAAATAAACAAAGAAAAACAGACTTTATTTTTTATTTTTATTTTTATTTGATGCTTTTTCTAGTAATGTATAAAAGATAAAAAAAAAAAAAAAGTCAATCCAAAAAAAGAACTACTACTACAAACTAAGACTACCATAAACTAATAACTAAAGAGAGAAAGAGAGAGGGAAGTGAGGTATTCTTTAATTTAAAGGGTACGGGTCACAGACCAGACACGGATAAGGTTGTCAGTGTAACCAGCGAAGAGAGTAGCACCATCAGCGGACCAGGCAAGAGACAAAGCTTGAGGAACCAAAGCACGACCCTTACCAACTTGAGTGAAATCAGGACGAAGTTCATCAACAATAGACTTGGATTCCAAATCCCAAACCTTGATAGAAGAAGCAGTGGCAGCACACAACCAGTAACGGTTAGGAGAGAAAGTCAAAGCATTGACAACATCACCAGCTTCAAGAGAGTACAAGTGCTTGTATTCGTTCAAATCCCACAACATGACAACACCATCCTTACCAGCGGAAGCACAGAGAGAACCATCAGGGGACACAGTAACAGTGCTAACATAACCGTTGTGACCGACAAAGTTGGCCTTGAGCTTAAGTTTGGTCAAATCCCACACCTTGACGAGCTTGTCCCAGCCACCAGAGATGATCAAGGGGTTAGCAGGGTTGGGAGAGAAACGAACGCAGGAAACCCATTCAGAGTGACCATCTTCGACAATGTTGTACTTGCATTCACCAAGAGTGTTCCACAACTTGATGGACTTATCACGAGAACCAGAAACAATTTGACGGTTGTCAGCAGAGAAAGCAACAGAGAGAACATCCTTGGTGTGGCCAATGAAGCGGCGAGTGGTAACACCAGAAGCAAGATCCCACAATCTCAAAGAGTTATCCCAAGAGGCAGATAAGGCAAATTGACCATCGGAAGAGATGGCAACATCTTCAACGAAGTGGTTGTGACCAGTCAAGGCCTTGCGAGGAATACCGTAGTTAACTTCGTCCTTGGTCAAGTGCCAGACAATGATAGACTTGTCTATTGAAATATATATATATCATAAGTATGCATTCACTTTTTTTTTTTTTTTTTTAATCATTATTTACCGCGAGAAGCAGACAAAACCATATCAGGGTTTTCAGCAGTGGTAGCAATGGCAGTGACCCAGTTACCATGACCTATAATAATAATAATAAAAATAATGATAAAAGAAGGTTCATTAGTTTTCTATGCAAACTTTCAATGTTAAATTTCAATAGTTGTTATGCATGACTCTTATTCTATTTATACGCTCATCCATCCATCCATCCATCCATCCATCTATTCATCTATATATATTTCTTTTCATCTATCCAATATCTATCTTTTTGTTGTTATCGTTTTCAAATAAATCGTACCTTCCAAGGTGCCGCGAAGAGTAAGAGTATCCATTATTCACAATAAAGAAAAGAGGGAGTTCATCTTTCCAACAGGATTGCTCGACTTTTTTTTCCTTTCCAATAGAGCGGAAGTTAAAATGGCAAAAAAAAAGAAAAAGGCTTACCTTATTGAATGAAACTAATAAAGGTTCCTTTTTTTATTGTTCATAAGAAATGTTTGGGATGATGATGATATATAAACTTTATTGAATTTATTGTTTTTGATAAAATATTTACATATAATATACATATATACATATACTAATCTAAGCTAAACCGATTCAAGAGAGGAAAGAAGGGGTTCAATATAAAAAAATATCTATCTACCACTGAAATTCTTCTAGAATAGAGTTGATGTTCTTGGTACGCTTGATAGGTAAAGGGCCAGTAAGAGGTCGTTGTCGTTTTGTCAAAGTTGATGTCGATGATCCTATTCTATTTTCCAAGGAGGGTCGAGTAAACACAAGTATCCTTTGTCCATCATGTTTTTTCCACCAAGAACGCCAAGATCCATAATGACTACTAGGCCACTGTGCTTTATCTGTCAAGAAATTATTGCCCAAAAGTGCCATCAATTTTTCATTCTTATGTATCCTATAACCTGGATTAATCGATCCGTCCATAAGATATTTCATCATGTTGTCCTTCGTTGATGATGATCCATAAGTAATAAGACTCCATTTGTGAAGAGGACAATACCATTCGCGTTCATTTTCTTTATAATCACCGATAATTTGATGATTGCTTCGTTGTTGTTGATCCAAAATAGAATCATGTCGTGTCATCATTAAATTGATTGTTGTTTTTGGAGTACATCCAAGTTTGATAGCTGATTGGTTGTTATCGTTACCATTGTAGATGTAACCATACTGTTTCAAACAAAAGCGAGCCACTGCCACATTGACATTGGTTGTCGAGAGATCCACACCAGATAGAGTATGAATATTACGTAAATGTTTGAGACATCCATCCGTTATATTTCGATTATAAGCCAAACTAAGAATTTTCAAATACGGCAAGCCTTGTTGAGTCATTGAAGTACGCTTTAATTGAGAGAGACGAGCCAAGTGACTGACACCATAATCCGTAATTAATGTACCTGTAAGATCCAATACATTCAAATTCACCATTGTTTTGAGTTGAGGTATATCATTGTCATTTATCCATGTCATGGATAAGTCAAGCCTTGTAATGAATTGTGTTGCTCCACTGTTAGAAAAATAGGATAACTGTTCTGATGATTTTGGACCATGAGAACCAGTTTCGACAGAACTAAAGTGAATATATTGTGGTTGACATAATGAGTGTCCATGAGTATCACCAATGCGAGCAAGAAGATGTGGTATATTGATTGTTGATTGTTGTTGTCGTTGACTTCTTTTTCTTGTATTATCCATTGACAAATCGTCCATAAGATAATTATCCGTAAAGATATGATTCAGTAGATCCACCATGAAAGGTTCAAATGTAACAGTGGTAAGACTATCAACATAAGCTGAATAAGATATCAAATTGTCAAGACATATTTCGTACAGTGTTTTGACCATACGCCAATAAAAAAAAAAAAAAAGGAAAAATATATATTTAAAAAAAAAAGAAAAAAAAAAAAAGAAAAGTACTTTTGTTAGGATCCCAGCTCCGCCATTTTTTTGTGTATGGAAATAATTACGCACCGGGGCTAAAAATTGACTATATTATTCAAGAATCACAAAATTATTTGGAACCTTCCTTTTCACTGTGAGCGTTAAAGGTACATATCACAAAGAATGACAACAATAAGAACGATATTATATATTATCAAATCTATCAACAATTGAAATGGATGGATGGAAAAAATGGATGGATGGATGCGATGATTGAATGGATGGATAGATGGATGAAGTTAAATTGGATAGATGATTATTTAAAAATGGTTACAACTTTTATTCGACAGAACACATAAATACAACGACATTATATACAATGACCAAAAAAAAAAAAAAGTGGACGTATATAATTCCAAAGCCAATAATACAACATATAATTATCAATCGCAATCCATCCATTGATGAACTAAAGATCTTATTGATTTGATTATAGTTTGGCTAACCATTATCTTTTTTTTTTTTTTTTTTTACTTGTTCCTTATTTTAGCATAATGGAAGCTGTACAAACTTTTGGTCGCAAGGTAAAATATATAAGAATGAAATAATATAATTGAAAAGGAGGATAGTAGATTGATTTACAAATTTATTATATAATAGAAAACCGCCACTGCTGTTGCCCACTGCAAGCGTGGACGTGGTCTTATCCGTGTCAACGGTTCTCCTCTTGAACTCCTCGAACCCGAAATTTTGAAGTTCAAGGTTTACGAAGTTGTCCTTCTCCTTGGTGAAGAACGTTTCGCTAACGTTGATATTCGTCTCCGTGTCCAAGGTGGTGGTAAGTAATATCATATAAAAATATATAATATAATTTGATATGAATCTAAATCATCCTTTTTTTTTATTTTTTTTTTTTAGGTCACACCTCTCAAATCTATGCTATCCGTCAAGCTCTTGCCAAGGCTATTGTTGCCTTCTACCAAAAGTACGTTGATGAAGCCGCCAAGAAGGAAATCAAGGAAATCCTCGTTCAATATGATCGTACTCTTCTTGTTGCTGATCCTCGTCGTTGTGAACCCAAGAAGTTCGGTGGTCCAGGTGCTCGTGCCCGTTTCCAAAAGTCTTACCGTTAGAAAATTATCTTATTTTTATTCTTTGGTTACTTCTTTATGTACTCCATTCTCCTTTTTATTAATAAAAAGAATTTGTTTCTGAAACACGTTTGATCATTTTATGTAAGCGGAGGTGTGTGCATTTTTTTTTCCTTTTCCTTTTTTTTTTTTTTTTTTTTTTTTTTTTCTTTTTCTTTTTCTTTTTCTTTCACTTTTTTTTTTTTTTTTTTAATACCATGAATCTCGATGCTCATATGTTTCATGAAAGACAAGAACTACATGAACAATACTTGGATGCAGTTGCAGCAGCTACAAATGATATAGACAATGGGGACAATAATAACAACCTACTGGATCATACAAGAGGTCCTTCTCCTAGTTCTCAACCTTCTATCAAAACTGATACACACAAGGAACACTTACCTCCTTTCTCTGCCAACCGTGCTGTCATGAGTTTTTATGAACTTTATGAAACAAAAACTGTAAGATTTATAATATGCTCTTTTTGTATGAAATTAACTTTATTGTTTTTAATGTAGAGATATTATATTGTAGGTACTGATCAGTCAAAACAACGGTATCGTGTTCTTCAAATCCATCGAACTAATCCAAAAGACCTTGTGGTAATTGAAGATGATGTTGTATATACGGAACAAGAAAAGACAAAGTTACTCAATATGATTGAAGATGGTAATCTATCTGTGGGCGGACTCCATCTAGTACCTATGCGGATTTATGGCATTATTGGCTTCATTCGATTTACACAAGGTTGGTATATGATTTTTATTACTAAAAGGAAACAAGTAGCTCTTCTTGGTGGACATTATGTATATCATATCGATGAAACTCAACTAGTACCTATTGGATTACAAGTGAAAGTCGATAAAAATTCGGATGAAGGAAGGTAAAAGTTTTGTAAAGTAAAAATTTTGTATTACTAAATCATCATCTTTCATTCATTTCTTAGATATATTGCTACTTTTCAAAACATTGATTTGACCAAGAACTTTTATTTCTCTTATACCTATGATATTACAAATACTTTACAAGTTAACATGACAAGGACTCCCGATTTGAAAAATTCAACTACAACATCCGAGAAATCCCAAGACTCCAATGCCAATGATATGTTTGTATGGAATGATTACTTGTTGAAGGCTGGTTTCAAAAATATAAATACTAGATCTGGTTGGATTTTAAGATTGATCTATGGTTTTGTTGATCAAGCAAGTAAGCATTATATATATATATTCCCTGATGATCCAATAACATATTTTTTTATATTTTTATTCTATATTTGGACAGAAATTTCAATATTTGGACGCAGCATCATTGTCACCTTGATAGCAAGACGATCTCGACATTTTGCTGGTGCTCGGTTCTTGAAACGTGGCGTGAATGACAAGGTATTAAAAACTTAGATTTTAGTCATCATCTACTAATAATTTTTCTTTGATGATGATAGGGGTTTGTTGCTAATGATGTTGAAACTGAACAGATTGTTGCCGAATTATCTACCACATCATTCCATTCTCATGATCGATTGTATGGTAATCCTCATTATACTTCTTATGTACAACATCGTGGATCAATTCCTTTGATTTGGTCTCAAGATACAACTAACATGTCTCCAAAACCTCCTATTGAATGTAAGTTCTATTTTTTTTAATTTTTTATTTATTATTATTTATATCCAATACCTTTCTTAATTTTTTTTGATAGTGAATGTTGTCGATCCCTTTTTCTCTGCTGCTGCTCTACATTTTGAAAATGTTTTTCAAAGATATGGTACTCCTTGTATAGCTTTGAATTTGATCAAGGTAAAACATATGGAGGAATAATAAGAAAAAAAAGTGAAAGTGCTAACCAATTTCTTTTTTTTTTTTTTTGTGACTATAGCAAAAAGAAAAAACCAAGCGAGAATCTGTTCTTGGTGAAGAATTCGCTGAAGCCATTGCTTATTTGAATCAATTTCTACCAGATGACAAAAAGATCAAGTATATTGCCTGGGATATGTCAAGAGCATCAAAAAGGTAAAAAAAAAAAAAAAAAAAAAGATTAAAAGAAATAGAGGGAAAAAAAAAGACGATATTCTGGATTGATTTTTTGTTTCTATTTCTATTTTCCAGTCATGATCAAGATGTGATTCGATTTTTAGAACAAATCGCTCAAGAAACAATGGAATCTACAGGATTCTTCCACAGTGGATCAAAATTTGACAAAACTTCCACAACAGGCTCTTCACTATCATCACCTCAATCTTTGCAACATGGTGTACTACGAACAAATTGTATCGATTGTCTAGACCGTACGAATGCAGCACAGTTTCTCATGGGAAAATGTGCTTTGGGACATCAGCTCTATGCTCTGGGAATTGTGACATCTCCATATATTGAATTTGACTCGGATGTGATCAATATCTTTACTGAAATGTACCATGATCATGGTGATACAATTGCCCTCCAATATGGTGGATCTCATCTTGTTAACACTATGGAAACCTATAGAAAAATCAATCAATGGACAAGTCATCCTCGCGACATGATTGAATCTATTCGTCGGTTTTATGCCAATGCATTTTCAGGTAATATTGATAACACAATGATAGTGATTAGACTTGCAATAGCTTCTGACTATCTTTTTTTTTATTGTTATTATATATATATATATAGATGCTGACAAACAAGATGCAATCAATTTGTTCTTGGGAAATTTTGTTACTAAGGATGGTCAACCAATGTTATGGGAATTGAATTCAGACTATCATTTACACAATCAAGATCCTCGTATCAAACCAATACGTCGAGAGTAAGTCAAAATGCAAGTGTTATGTAGTTTATTATTGACCTAATTATTATTTCTTATAGTTACCGTAATTGGTGCTCACCTTCTGTCTTATCATCCAAAAAAACTGATACAAATGCGGATTCTTTCTATATACCAGTTGAATGTCGAATACCAGCTGATCGTCCTGAAGAAGGGGATCCATACAAAGGCCATTGGGAAGAATACTACAATCATCATCAATATACAACGTTGGATCAACTTTTTGTCTTCAATATGAATGGAACTTTGAAATATCGACCACCAAAAATATCCATGTATTCAAGAGATGGAAAGAAAGAGTAAATAAAAAAAAAAAAAAAAGACGCCAACAAAGTATAATAGAATTGACTTTGTTTATTCATTTAGGTTGACACGTGCTGAAGCCAAAGAACTTAGCCCATTTACAGTACGGACAACATCAGCAAATGGAAGAAGAGTATCAGGCATAAATACGCAATCTAAAGTAGATAATGACATTGTGGACGGTGAAACAACTTACAAGGAAAAGAGTATCCGGACTTTGGAAAATATCATCAATGCAAGTTTGGACCCAACTGTCAATCCAACAGAAACAAAAGAATATCGCAGGTAAAAAAAAAAAAAAAAAGTGGAGTGATTACAGTAAAACTGTTTAAACTTATATATTAAATATTCAATAGATATACCCAACAATACCGAAGTATCGAAAAACTTACTGCCACTAATAGTGACAATTATGGAAATGTCGACAACTTCCCAGAATATCAACAGTATCTCAGCTATATACATCGAAACCATTTGGATGATCATCCATCAGCTATCAAGACTCAATCTATTGATGAAGAGATGTTCAAGACTTATGTACATATGCCAAAGCGTGCAGCTTCCGCTGAACTAGGTCATCATAGAGGTTGGACGGATCATCTACGGAAAAGATATGAAGGTTATGGTATCTATCTCAAGACAGGTCGTTTCCCTCAAAACCAAGATCATCCACGATTATTATTAAAAGCAGATTCTTTTGTCAGTACACTTAGTAATAGCAATTTAGATTATTAGGTTTGTTTTATCAATTCAATAAAACTTCTTTTTTTTTCTTTTCTTTTCTTTCGTGATTCTCACATTGATAAATCTTTTGTTGGAAATCCTTTTCCACTTTTAAGCTATCCCTGTGGGCGGAGTCTTGATATTTGCATAATATTTCGCTTTTTCACTTTTGGTATTCCCAATTTGATTGGCCTTTATCCTAAAAATTTAATGGATCCCGTAACTTTTTTTCTCTCTCTCTCTCTTTTTCTGCCTCTTTGTTTACATTTTTTTTTCTTTTTTATCATGAAACTGTTAGTCCTTCTTTCCAACGTTCTCAAATCATGGAGGTGAACTAATCGGAAATGATCCAATACAGCTAATGGGACTAACCGATCAAACAGACACTATCCAGCCACGGAATGGACTATGAAGGAATATCAGTCAAAGAGTATCATTATGTACAAGAAGTGATTCAAACAATAAGAGTATGAATAGGTCTTGGTAAGTACTGTACATTTTTGAGAATAAAGAATATGAATATTCTGCTAACACTTTTTATTATATTTTATAAAAGCTGAATGCCAACTTTAACATAGACTGTTACGTGGTGATGACGAAAGGAAGCAAGTCATACACGTCACGAATAAGTCAATCTATTCTCAACAGTAGAATACTATACGAAAGCCGGATGGATTCAGAAGGCTGTTACGAAAAATCAATTCATGGAAAGCGCCTACTGTGGAAAGATTAGAACGGGAAATTAGTGCCAATCGAGTAGCGAGTATGGATGGTATACGCCTGTATATAGATTCCACTCTGAATACTTTCGCTCATCTTACAAACTATTATGGACAGTGACACATTCAAGGGTTCAAATTTTTGAATTATCAAGGTCGTCATCGGTTGGGACCAACTACTATTTTACCTCCTCAAGAACCTCCGTGAAATGTCGATCGTGAAGTTCGGGCGGACCAAGAAAGAAGTCGAAGACGGCAAACAAGGCAATTGGAAACTGGTGAAGCTCCTCTTTCTTCAAAGGAAAGGTAATTTTTAAACCGATGATGCTATTGATGATTGATGATTGGAAAGTTGTTACTGATTTTTTGTTGATATGATTAATAGCAAGTGGATAAAGTCCAGTGTAGAAATCATCCAGCGAAGTCTCCTGTGGTTGTTTATGGTGCTGTTACTTTTGGTCGAAATATGTTTAAAGGGAAATCTGGCAGATTGACCGACATACAAGAAATACTCTATAACAACATGACATAAATGATTTCAGAAATATCCGCATCATCTTCACAAGTATCATTCGACATGGACAGAAACCGACGATCTTCTCTTCTCAACTCCCTGCATAACAAAAATATGTGGTGTCTACAGCTTATGTAAGTACAAAAAAAAAAAAAAAAAAAGGAAAAAGAAAAAGAAAAAAGGAACTTGATTTATATTTATTTAAACTCTTTTTTTTATATTTTTGTTTCATTATACTCCCGTTGGCTTCTGTTATTATCACCATCACCATCTATCCATCTCTCTATTATTATACCTTTTTCCCCTTTTAAAATTTTTATTTTTCCCTTTTCCCAATTTATTTACACTCCGTCAAAAAAATCAAGTAGGAAACCACTCTGAACTCTCTTTTCTTTTCTTTCTTGAAAAGAAAAACCACATGGGTGGAGTTTATGAAAGATTGACTCTGTAAGTTGAAATGATAGAAAAGAACACAGCCATCTTTTGAAAACTAATTCATTATTTCTTGTAGAACGGTGACTCAATCTCATTATGTCTTTACACCATTATATGAACCGGCAAGCACACTCAATGACAAACCTATTCAAACGTTAACTATTGATAGAGGCACAGGGCAACTCAGTCTCGATGGTAAAAGCTTACAATCACTTTTTTTTTTTTTTTTAAATCTATCAAAAGGAACAAAAATGAACAATTTTTTTTTTATCATAAGATTTAGATGTTCCTCGAAAGATTGGGTCTATAGTGGAAGAATTGGAGGTGTATGGTATCCTTGGATTTTGTCGATTACAAGCAGGTGAGAGAAAGGACAGTAATATATGTATTTAATGATACATATTGACTTGTAATATTTAGATGAATACATGATTGTAGTGACAGGCCGGACTTTGGTGGGCACATTACTTGGCAACGCTATTCTTCGCGGAACCACATTCCAGATTTTACCGATGAGCAATCCTTCCTGGGGAAAATCATATTCCGACAACCTTCTTTTTGAACAAGAACAAAAGCTTATACATTTATTGGAATCTCATTTACGTCTCAACTCTTTTTATTTCTCTTATACCTACGACTTGACCAACAGTTTACAACGTCAATCAAAACAAAAGGTACAATTACAAAAAAAAAAAAAGAGTACAGTAATTTGATTTTTTTTCCCGGTTATTTTCTTTCTTTAATCAAATAGATCGATGATCGCTTTTATTGGAACAAACATCTCTCTACAAAATTCATTATGGCTTCCTATTTGGATGATTCAAATAAAGGGGTAAGAAAAATAAAATAAAAAGAAAATGATGAAAGAGTTTGAATTCATCTTTTTTTTCCCTGTTTTCTTGTTTAGATCAAGGCATATACTCTACCAGTCATTCAAGGATGTAAGTTATCAACTGGACATAAACAAAATGACAGCGAACTTTTTTTTTAAAAAACAAGAGCAACTAAATTTTCTTTTCTTCCTTTCTTTCTTCCTTGCAAATTAGATATCTCTATTACATCAATGATTATCGATTCAAAACAACTGACATTTGCACTTATTAGTCGTCGCAGTCATGAACGAGCAGGTACTCGGTATTTTTCAAGAGGTATTGATGAAGATGGTCATGTCAGCAACTATGTGGAAACGGAACAAATTGTGATATATGATACAGCGACGGATCATTCATCTAGCTTAATCAACAAAACATCATTACCTTTATCGACTTTAAACAATAAGCAAATACATTTATCTTTTATACAAACTCGTGGAAGCATACCTATCTTTTGGGGACAAATACCAAATACTAGATACGTACCTCAACTTTGGTATGCTGCTCACTCATCCTCCAAGGTATATATACATATATATATATGAAATCAAAGTGAAAGTATATGAAAAAAAAGTCTTATTGATGATTCTTTTTTTTTTTTTTTTCGTACAATGATGGGCATAGAATATTCCTGCTGCGAAAAAACATTTTGATGATCAACTTCGAATATATGGACCCAACGTTTTGATCAATCTAACTAATAAGACAGGATACGAACAACCTCTAGGCGATATATATGCAAGAACCATCCAAGATCTCAATAACCCAAATATTCGCTATATCCATTACGATTTCCATCAAGAATGCAAGAATTTACAATGGCATCGAGTGCAAGCATTGATTGATCGACTGATACCCGATTTGGAAAAGGCTGGGTAAGCAATAAGAGAAAAAAAAAAGAAGATGATGACAAAAGGGTATAACTTGTTAAGTGGATTGATCTTTTTTTTTTTTGATCTAGTTATTATCGTGCTAATACAGAGGACGAACCTTTATCTCAAGTGGGTGTTATTAGAACCAACTGTATTGATTGCCTTGATCGGACAAATGTAGTACAAAGTATGTTGGCAAAATGGATGATTCAGTCATGGCAACGAGATATTGGTGTTGATCTCTCCTCTTATCCAGATTTCCTTTCGATGTTCAACTCTGGTAAGTTTATTTGATTACAAAAAAAAAAAAAAGAACTCCATTGATCATGATTTTAATTTTCTCTCTCTCTCTCTTTTTTTTTCTTTTAACTTATACTTGATATATGTATAGCTTGGGCGGACAATGCAAATAATCTTAGCCTTTCTTATTCTGGAACGGGTGCTCTTAAAACAGACTTCACAAGGTATAGAAAAAAAAGGAATGAATCTCATTTTTACTAAATTTTATTGATTAGACAAGGAAAACGGACAATGATAGGTGCTCTGAATGATTTGAACAATTCTATAGTGCGTTATATCAAAAACAATTACTTTGATGGATCTCGACAAGATGCAATCGATTTATTCCTTGGAAAATATGCTCGTGATGACACACCACAGCGTCGGATTCAATATGATAATGGATTTATATCTCAATATGCCTCCTGGAAAGTCCAAGCAGTTCCTCCAGCCATGATCTCATCTTCCTTTTTATTTTTTTGGTTACTCTTTTTCTCTGATTCTACACCCATCGAATCATCTACTCTGTATATATTACTTCTTTCATTTTGTTTTGCAGTGTTGGTATCCACTTGGCTTTTTATTCAACAACATGGTGTAGAGTTCATAGATTGGCCTAAACTGAATCCTTTACCTTTGGACATTGACAATAACATAGAATTACCCAGTTTTTTATCATCAAATTGGTTTTTCCATTCTTCTGAAAATCTGGATCAAGTTGAACAAGGCAAGAAAGTCACCTGAATGTGATACCATAGAATTTTATGTTTTTTTTTTTTGTATTTTGAAGATACTTATTTTCGGAGTTGGGTGATGTTTATTTTATTTTTTTTTTTTTGTATCTTGGACCCCTTTTTCTTTGATTTCTCCATTTTTTTTTTCCCACCCTCCTTTTTTTTTTTTCTTTCTATCATGGTCAATAAAATTACTGTTGAAAGCCTTACATATGAACAACTTGCTAAAGTGTTTGATCATGCTATTCTGAAACCTGAACAGACCAAACAAGATGTGGTGACTGGTTGTGAACTGGCCAAAGCGTACGATTGCAAGTCAGTATGTGTG